CATAGTCATGCTGGCAATTGCAATGCAAACCCAATGATCATCCAATCATAGTCCCAATCACAACTCTAAAGTAAGTCCAAACATAAGCCCAACATACGTAATAAATAGGTCTGACATTTTGGGTTGACCTACCCTCTGGTAATTAAACATGCCATGGAAAAAAATACACATTTGTAGATGATTTATCACGTTATTTCCATTGTCATTTTTCCATGAATATGTTAGATTACTGTATACCATATTGTACCATATTATACCATTAGTTTTGATACTTAGATCATCCCCAGTCAGCCATTTTAAAAATAGCTATCCAGTGATCCGCGTTAATTGAGGGTTAAACCACCATAAATCACTAGAATTGTTCATGGTACTAGTAATAAGTTTCCCATTCTGTAGCCAAAAAAACACATCCCAATTAACAATCGATGGTGAGAATCAACCGAATCGTCACATCCACATCTATATTCCCATGATATTGCCATGGATGTCCCCCTTAAAATTTAAGAATATATATGGAGGTTTCCATAAATGGAGGTATCCCATAATAGCTGGATGGTTGAAAAAATGGAAAATCCCAATCTAAAATGGATATTCCCATGATATTCCCATGATATTCCCATGATATTCCCATGATGTCCCCCTTAAAAACGCCACAATTTTCTCTTCGAAAAAACTGCTCCAAGGCCTGTGCTCTTCCCAGTGTGTGGCAGAAGGCCATCGCTTTGCTGGAGGAGATGAGAGGCGCTGTCATGGGAGTCCGGATGATGCATGGAAGAGCCGGGAATTTTATCATATTTTATCCACCAAACAGGGGGATTTAACCGACCAACAGGGTTCTTAAGGAGGTTGGTTAAATAGGGATTTAACATCAGGTTGGTGAACATTAATGGTTCTTTAAATCCCCCATCAATAGGGAAATCAACAGGAATTTAACCAACCAACAATTTATTCAGATTAAACATAGTGATTTCCCTATTGATGGGGGATTTACCACAAAAGCAACAAGTTTCCCAGATTAAACATAGTGACTAAACATAGTGATTTCCCTATTGGGGGATTTCCCTATTGGGGGGTATAAATGTTGAACAAATGGGAACTTTAGCGATTTCGGGGAAGTTAAACCAGCGAAGAATGGATGTGGATTTCATGGTCTCCCCCATGGGAAATGATCGGAATCAACAGTATGGGGTAGATGGGTTTGTCTCAATCCAGGTGACAATTCTAATTGGAGGAAATGATGATCGTTGGGCTACACATTTTTGAGACAAAGCCATGTTTTTGTTATGTAAAGATATATGTATAATTATATACAGTGTGTATATATATATATACTGTATATATATATATATGGGTATGGATCAATACCTATTAATACCATTTTTAGGGGGTTATTCACATCCATAAATCCCAGCTATTTTGATGTGAACTACAGGGGTACTATTGGTGTTTGACACACTGCTATATATAAACAAAATGTAGGATTTGTCCATGAATAAGCGGGCATGACCTCCACAGGCCGCGTGGAGGTGGACGGCATAGCTCCTTGGTCATCTTGTGTTGGTCATCTTGTGTGGCCAGGGGGCCAGGGGGCCTTTACAATTGGAGTTGGTTGTGTACCCTCTGGTTATGTCAAAATAGCTATTGAAAATGGCCCAGTCGAAATAGTGGATTTACCCAGCTATAAAATGGTGGATCTTTCCATAGTTATGTGAAAGTTTACCAGAGGGTACCCCAAAATGTCAAGGTCCATCCCAAACCAACCAGGTCCTAAATGCCACCGTCACGGCCTGCCAAAAAGCCTCGGCTTGGGAGAAGGCAGGGGGGCTCTGGGGAGGCAACGGTGTCCAGCGAAATTTTAGGGGATTTTTTTGGCATTTGATGTTGAAACTTTTTTTGTGAGGATTTTATTTGTTTTTTTATGAGGATTTTAGGAGATTTTATGAGGATTTCATAGGCGATTTGATGGAATATAAACCAAGAATAGTGAGATAGCTGGGAAATCCCGAATTGACTGGAGGGTTAGAGCTTGGAAAGTCATCGAACGCTGGGGGATTTTCCAGCAAGCGGAGGTCTGAGGCTAGGAATCAACAACTGGGTCTGAAAATGGGGGATACTGAACAAAATGGCAATCTTAATATGGAAAAAGTGATGATTGACCAGTGGTTTTTTAGGGGTACCCCATTTTCAAACAGACCCAAATAGGTCACAGTGTGAAATGGGGATAGTAAACCCCACAGTGGGACATTTTGCACTCCCCAAATAGATAGACACGTGTCTCCAGGATGGTATAGATGATATTTTTCCTCTAATTTACAGGCTTCCAACTTTTCTATTTTCATTGGGGTTACAAAAAGAACCAGAAATCTGCCTGGGCATGCTCCGACAGTAACGGTAACCAGCCCCAAGTTGTGGTTTATAGCAACACCAAAAAAGATGGATCCTAGAAAATCGTGGAAATGTGTATTAGATATGATACATCATCTATAACCACCTGGAAAGACATTTTTCGGCATTTGGGGGCTACCCTGAACTGGTTAGATGCCACAGGCAGTGGAACTCTTTGAAGTCGCTGGAGACCATGGCCTGGTGGATGCTCGAAAGCCAAGCCGGGATGGGGAGACCCCCAAAATCATCCAGTCGTCACTAGATCATGACTTTGAAAGAACCATGGTGACGACTCAGGATCCCCCATGACTTAAGAAATCACCATACATATCCATACATGATATATGATAAGTGATTATAACACATTATACACTTACGATTCATAGATACGATAATAGTGACATGTGTCTATTAGACACACATATATATATATACTTATATATACACACACATATATATATACTTATATATATACACATATATATATATACATATATATATACACTTATACATATATATATATAATTATATATATATACTATATATATATATTATATATATATATACATATATAGATATCTATAATTGGACCTAAAAAAAACAACCTGGAGCAATCACCTGACGATTCGCGGCTCTGAGGTGGTGGGTTTCAATGCCGCCATGAGCGCCTGGGCTCAAGGTGGACACTGGCAGCAGGTGCTGCATCTGCTGCGGAGGTTGAGGTGCCACTATGGAAAAGGGGGGGGTGGAAGATCAGCAGAACATGGTGCGGAAATCATGGTATATATTTGGATATGATATGTATGTATATATGTATATATATACATATGCATGCCGTTTCATATGTATTGGTATATATATATATATATGTATATACGTATGTACATATATATATACAAATCAATAGTATGATATTTAGGGAGGATCACATCGTTTGTGGAAGGGCAATTTTGAGTTTCTGGGTGAAACATGTTTCCATGGATTTCATGTACAGCCTTGAACTAGCGATGGTTATTGGCTAAAAGTCCCAACATAAGTGGTGAATTTATAACAAATGTCACCAGCTTACAAACCAGTTCTTTCAAAATTATATGGCTTATATATATACATATATGGGTTATATACCAGGGATTTATTTGTGCACCCAGAGACAGCCCCAGGTGCAGCCAGAGACCCAGCTCCGTGACCTTCAACAACTGTATCTCCGCGGGCGAAAAGGTGTCCGTAAGTACGGATTTGGGACTGGAGATTTCACCAGTTTTTGAACGATTTTTAAACATATTACCATAGGCCATAGAAATAGTGGATTTTCCCATTAAACATGGTGATTTTCCATAGTTATGTGAAAGTTTACCAGAGGGTATCTTATAGATGATTTTTATAGGTTTTATTTTTATGATTTTAGATATTATGGATTTTCATCATTTGATCATGGATTTTAGATGATTTTATATGATTTTATTATCTAAGAATAGATGATGGACATAGATATGTTAAACAATTCCATGTGATCATGTCTCTCTCTGGCTCGTTCTATCAATAAGCAAATAGACAATTTCTTTGTATATATATATAATTAATTATAATTATATATATATATACACTGTATAATATATGTATATACTTATATATACATGTTCTGAAGAGGTCAAAAACATATAATTACATGCTAGTACAATACAATTTGAGTTGGGACTTTGGATGCTTGAAGTAGCTCACTGGAATCTTGCTGGACGTGGTTGTTGATGGTCCATTTTGGGGGCTGACAAGCCATGGTTAGTTTTCGGACTTCCTTTGTATCTTTTCCTGAAAAGCAACATAAATAGAAGTATAAAGAATACATTACATAGAAAACTATATATACACATAATAATAATTGTTATATAGGGATCATTTGCGGAGCCAGCATCCACCGGCCCCAAGACATCCAGCTCTGGTAGATCACCTCCCAGCAGGCTTCACAGTGGCAGATGTCCCTTGAGATGTTGCAGGACGCACCATGGCACCGATTCCCGGGCCACCAGCGGATGGCTTCCATGTGGAAAGGCTATAGATGGCTGGAAAAATTCCCCCCAAAATGGAGGGTTTTCTTAGGAACTGGTCAGTAGCTGGGATTAGTTCACCCATTTATAAATGGGATCAACGGTACTTAGAGTCAGAGGACTTACGATCACGAGGTTAATTACCTACGATTTATGGTTTGGCCATTTTGGATCGTTCCACCGAGTTTGTTGGTGGTTCTAGCTGGGGGCCACTATGGCTTTTGGGGAACAAACTGTTCGACATGATCAGCAACAACTGCCTGGTGCTAAAATATTCCACCTGGAAGGATGACATTTCCAGTCCCCAACAGATTTTTGGGATTGGTTGAAAGCACCAACCCTATACTGCCGAGGCTTCAGATGCTTTTATCGTATTGGAAACGACCAGGATAATACGGCTTCCATCATTGGGCTCACATAAAACATAAATACACTGTCACCCCCTGATTTGTCATTTTTCTAGTCAAATGTCAACCCCACTAGCAAAGCCCTTTTTTTTGGGGGGGGCCTTCGATGATTTTCCTCATTTTCCCTCATTAGATAGCCCATTGGTTGATTGACATCATGCAACGCTGCAGGAGGCCTGCAAGGAGGCGCCGTTGTTGAACGAATTGAGATCAAGTACCATATTATAATATATTATAATGACTATTTCTATTTTTGATTGCTTTTCCGAAATCCAGACATTGTTACTAGTGTCAGTACTAGTGTCATCATTATTGTTGCAATTGTCATTACCATGACTAGTTCTACTCTTACCCTTTGGTAATCAAACGTGGCTGGCAGGGCCACGCCAACCACGTCTCCTTCAACGCCACCATCACGGCCTGTGAACGCGGAAGCCGTTGGACGCTGGCGCTGCAGCTGTTGCAGGTATCCGGGATCCGGTTTGAGGTGCCCTGGAACTGTGGGAAGTTTCCCATAACTATGGGAAAATCGTGTACATAATGAGATGTCATGGCATGTCTCATGGCATGTCATGGCATGTCATGGCATATATATAATATATATATAATATACATATATATATATAATATATATATAATATATATATATATAATATATATATATATAATATATATATATAATATAATATATATATATAATATATATATATATATATAATATAAATATATAATATAATATATAACATATATAATATATAATATATAATATATATAATATATATATAAATATTACGTATGTATGCTTGAAATCTGCTTGAAATGGATATTGGATAATCGATAGTATCGGATAATCAAGGGTGACTCAATGATACTTTGAAAGGGGATGTCATTGTCACACACACACACATATATATATATATTATCTACACGGCAACAAATTTGGATGTCCTAAAAGGTAAATTACACAAGTTTTTGGAACGGAACAACCATACTTTCCTGTTTGGAAAATTATCTACACCTAGTGGCTTTTCCATATCTATGTTGAATGACCATAGGATATTGGCGGAGCAACCGCGCCATGGGGGTTCCTTCGCAGGAGATGCGTTCGCGCGGGGTAGTTCCTGACACGGGATGCTTGGCAAAGAGGGTAGATAGACAGGGCAGGAAGGAAGGTAGAAATAAGAAACATCTAGAAACAGTAGCGATGAGATGCCATGAGAGACCATGGGATTTTGGGAGTTTGGGTTTTCCCACCATTTTTAGACTTTCCCATTTGAAGAGACGGTGCATGAGATATTTGGGTAGACTTATGGATTAAAAAAGATATTGTAGAACGTATGATTTTTGCCTATCCAAAGGTGGAGGATACGACTACAGTGACTACAGACTACACTAGCCAATTAGATCTTCAAACAGCTTGATTTCAGAACAAACTCAGGAGTTTGATGAATTTCCCTTATTGCTTATTACTAATATGACTTCAGATGGCCATTCGATACCATCGATATTCCCCAGCTGTGAAAATCCGACGTCACCAGGAATGGTCAGGATGGTCAGGGCTCCCCATGTGTTCATTGCACCAGTCATCCAGATACAACCAGATACATAGAATACGCCATTATAATCAATTATATCCCATTATCCCCCCCCATTATACCATCCAATCAAATTATATATATATATAATATAATATATATATAATTATATAATATATATATATAATAATATTCTATTAAATTAATCATTAATATCCACATCCCTATTTATCGTTGATTCCTCCATTGACCAGCCAGAAGACTTGGGTGACGTTGCCCAAAACCTAGGAAGCTACGGAGCTTTGCTTCTTGGCCGTCGCACGATGTCGCACGGTCTGGCCGAGTTGACCCAAAAATCTCGCGGCAGAAAATGGAGGACCCACCTAGAAGTGGGTAGTTTAATCATTTAGTCTTTTGGTATCAATGGGATTATCTAACCAGCTAAGAATTTTTATTTTTTTGCAGGGTATCTAAGATTGGCACTCGAAAAATGGGAGGACCCTGGTCCTGACAGTTGAAACGCCCGGTTCGGGTTATCCTGAGAAGTACTGCAATCCGATTGAATTTTCATGGTGAGTGGGATATATCAATGATCTCCCATTCAAACTGCCTGAAATCTTCGTGTTTTCGGGGGTGTGATCTTCCGATCCTGTCCCATTGTATCCCACTATCAACCACATGTTTATCACATTCTATCACCATATGAGTCCGAAAAAAAACCAAGATTTCTCAAAGAAATCACCCAAGAATTCCCAAACATCCAATGTTTTCCCAAACAATCACCCAATTTAGACATCTCAATTTCCCGAAGAAAACTCCATGGCCCCCAGGCTGACGGCTCTGGGCCGCGGCTCTGGGCCATGGCAGCAGGCCGTGTGGCTGCTGGAGAAGGCTTTGGAGGCGATCCCATTACAGGGTTTCTATGGGATTTCTATGGGGATAACATGGGATATCATAGGAATCTATAGGAATAATAGTGTTATACTGGTTGGTGGTTTGGAATATGTGGATTAACTAAATGGTTTATGGTAGATATAATGAACTAGTTAATGGGGATTATAATGGTTGATAAACCAACAAACACTGGTTGGTGGTTTCAAACATGAATTTTATTTTCCATAATATATGGGATGTCATCCTTCCCATTGACGTTTTTTTTTTTTTTCAGAGGGGTTGAAACCATTAACATATATCATATATTTGGATGAGTTATAACGACCTCACTGCAACCGAAGCCTGGAATCATTGTTTATTTTAGGGAAATCATCCTCTTTTATGGCCTTAATTCAGATTAGTGAAATATTATGATTTACCCAGATTATATCCCACTATACATATAATATCATATAATTATACATCATATATAATATGACATGAATGAACCTCCAACTGAGGTACGTTATGGGTATAATATATGGGTGGGATATTGGTATATATATATATAGGGATATAATATGATATAATTGGATATTAATAAGATATCAGTGGTTAATCATTTTTTTTGTGGGGAATACAGCCAAAATTGAACCTCCTGATTTTTGAAGACAGTAATAAACCTACCATTTGGGGATGGTTTGCTATTGATTTTACTACATTAGTTATGTTTCTTTGTGTCGGATATAATATAACACACAGACCCCGAGGTTTGCCCAAGCCCAGAATAGCGTAAAAACCAGGGAATTCTGTACGACGTTCACCAACTGGAAGGATTTTATGTTCAATTATGTTGCTAGGCTGTCAACCAGAACACGCTGCTTCTACATGAAACCAGAACATGTTGTTTCTACATATCAAATGGAATTAACCATACAGTCATTAGGGTTTCTTATTCATAATCCCCCGGCCCCATGGAACAATCAACCATACAGTCATTAGGTTTTCCTCTAGGGTTTCAAGAAGATATCAAAATCCCCCGGCCCCATGGAACAATTAACCATACCATACAGCTATTAGGTTTTCCTCTAAGGTTTCAAGAAGATATCAAAATCCCCCGGTCCCATGGAACAATTAACTATACAGTCATTAGGGCATTAGGGTTTCCTATAGTGTTTCAAGAAGATATCAAAATCACCATCACCATCATCATCATCATCATCATCATCCTCCTCCTCCTCCTCATCATCATCATCATCATCGTCGTCGTGATCATCGTCATCTTGGCTTCCCCGGACGCTCGTTGCGAGTCCGGACAAACCTCAGGGTCTTCCCGTAATTTAAGTAAAATTGAACTATAGGAACAAGAATTTTCAGAACATGGATTCAAAACAATCACCCATTTAAATTGCACCACATTTTGACCTTTTTTCATCATGGCGTCCTAAGTTATCTGGGGGGATTCCTCCATCCAGTTATGACCATCTTATGGGGTCCCACAAGTAATTGGACCACATTTTTTCCGATCAAAGTCCAACAAGTCCGGGACAGGTGATTTCTTTCGTTACCCTCTGGTACTCAGACATGGCACCTGAAAATTAAAAAACATGGAGGTATTAGTTCCGTAGAGTTCACTGCGAAAATCCATCGAACTAAATGGTGGATTTTCCAGTGGTGGAGCTCATTCCCGGAAAGTACATGGCAGGTCAGGCGGCAGGAGCGCACCGCGATGTCTCTGAAGGAGCTGATGGAACGCGCTTGGAAACCCAGCGGGTAACCATGGTATACCCCAGCTTTCAGGCACAACCTACTATCATATTATTAGTCTTTATATCATATTATATCCCATTCATATCTTATGAAACATCCCTGTTCAATGGTGGTCGGTTATGAATTGCCATCTTTTTGTTGGTCAAAACCCAGCATTTTCAGACACCCATGGCCAGGTGCGGCTGTCCTGAGGCCTTGACTCCCATTTGGACCTCGGGACGCCTCGCCGAGGCTGCAGGGAAACCCATAGAAATGGCGGCCATCTTCATGGCAAAAATATGCAAAACACCATGGATACACCTGATTTCGGAATCAATTTTTGACATTTCTATGGGTAGTTTTCACTAAGTTATACTAACTTGAACATAGCTAAGCCAAGTGTTGGGTTTATGGATGTTTATGGTAATTATACCACATTATACCTGTACTTCGATGGGGTTACAAACCAACATACCTTGGAGGCCCCACCTTATTGACTCCACTTACCCGCTTTGAGTGTCCGTGGCAGCCATGATTCCCATGACTCATGATCCGAATTGGCAATTTCTCAATGGGAAATAGGATAAGTACTGCTGTGATATATGATACCCGGCCTGGTAAACTAACGGTTTGCTATGGAAAATCACCATTTTTAATGGGTAGATCCACTATTTCTATGGCCATTTTCAATAGCTATTTTGACATAACCAGAGGGTAATATAATATATGTATTATATATGTGGTAAACCCATTGATGTAGTCCCATCTTTGTTAGTTTATCTCCATGTGTGGACAAACCCAATATGGACCATCAAGGAACTGTGCCAGAGGTTTCAGTATGATTTTGTGATATCTCTCCCATTCTCCCATGGAATATCCACCAGAAAAGGGATCCCTAAGGCATGCTAAGGCCACCAATCTACTTCGGAATCGTTTCGATAGGCCCGCAGCAAATTCCGACCACGCCAGGCCTTGATGATCTACCGCCAAGGGAAAGACGCTGGAGTGTTGGGACCCTGGGAGCAGTGGCAGATCCAACGGCCCAGTCTTGGACCATCCATGACCATCCATTTTTGGGGGTACCCTCGGGCAATTGAACAGTTTGCTATGGACAATTACCATTTTTTATAGGCAAATCATCGAAATCTAAAAAGGCAATGGCTTCCTTAGCAAACTGTAAGAAATTGCCAGAAGTACATTTTGAAGTAGGACATCCACATTCTTGGGCACTGCAAGTTTGAGCACTACCCACAGGGAGGGCCCAGTATTCAACCACGCTAGAATTTATGAACATTTATGGTGGATATATAGTTACTGTAGATGGGGTTAGAAACCAATTTATAACTTGGGAACTAGTTTGAACTCGCTTTCGGTTGGATATGTGTGCTCTTTGTCTACTCTGCAGGGCTGGTTTTGCATCACATTCCTTGCAACGGAAGGGATCCGATCCATAGGGAGGCTCTACTCCTGAAGATGGAAGCACCGACCATCTACCGTGAGGAAACCGCATGTAGTTGGGGTTACACACTACTGTTTCATACTGTTTCCTTTGTTTTTTTCAACATATTCAACCTGAATCTATTGATCCTTGGCTCAGGTGGCCTGGTGACAGGGGCAGCCGTTTGCTGGACCGCATGGGAACGGGGCGAACGCTGGGAGGATCATCCATGGGCGGTTGCATCTGCCATCATGATTATATCTGGGCAAATTATAACGACCTCACTGGGAATCATGGTTTATTTTAGGGGAATCATCCCCTTTATGGCATTAATTCAGGTTAGTGAAATATGATAATTTACCCAGATATATGCCAACAAGCCTTTCAAGGAGACCGATGGGTCGGACTCGCAAACAGCAAACAATTCACTTAAGAGGCATCAGTCTAGAAGAGGCATCAATATCCGGGCAGTACATGTATCCATGTGGCAGTTTGTCTTAAAAAATGTGCTATACCCTTAGCCGTTTCAAGAACCATTGGAATTGGAATGATGAGAATGATGGATATCCCATTTCCCTGCATATCCCATGGAATTCCAATAGCCATTTCCCTCGGGCCGATTGGAAAAATGGGGGGGTACCCTCTGGTAAACATACAAAAAACATCAAAAAACGATGGACAATCACAATTTTTCATGGGTAAATATGGGTAAATCAACTATATCTATAGCCAATGTTCAATAGTTATAGGCTATGTATGGCTATCTGGTTGGTGGTTTGGAACATTTTTTCATTTTTCCAGATATGGGGAATGTCATCATCCCAACTGACTTTAACTCCATGATTTTTCAGAGGGCTTCGGTAGGTATACCACCAACCAGCTATGTGATTTACCCTCTGGTAATTTAACATAGCTATTGAACATGGCCATAGAAATAGTGGATTTTCCCATTAAACATGGTGATTTTCCATAGTTATAGTGGATTTTCCCATTAAACATGGTGATTTTCCCATTAAACATGGTGATTTCCAACCAGCTATGTGATTTACCAATTCAAAATGGCGCTAAAATCCATTTTCGCAACGACTGTCGTCGTGGAGAGGACCTGCACGACTTCGCCGGGGAATCCGCGCAGGTGGCGGTGTGTGCACAGCTGCTGCAGCTGGCAAAGGAGGGAGCAGGTGGACGTCCGGAACCACGGGGAGCTGGCGGGAAAGTTGAGGGATTTCCATGGATTTTCCCGGATTTCCACATCTTTCAACGACATTTTGGCCTAAATTTCATAGAAAACCATATTTTTTTCAGGAGTGAACAACCATGAGCTATAGAAATTTCATGAAACACACATAAAAAACATGGGATTTCAACCAAATTTATATTCAATGACATTTCGTCATAGCCCAAAATTAGAATTTTGATGGGGGGAAATGATGATACACTATGCACCAAAGCTGATGGTGTATCACAATTTTTCCGTATTTTTCCGATTGAGATTGCCGTTTGGGGTATAACCGACCCATTTTGTGGACAAAGTATGACACGTCATATTAAAATTATGATGTTTCCTTGATAGATACATCCCCATTTATTGGTGGTTATATTAGATTCGGTTGAAAATTCCCCTTGATTGATGCATTCCCTATTGATTCTTCTGGGTAAATTATAACGACCTCACTGTTCTCCCTCACTGGAATCATGGTTTATTTTAGGGGAATCATTTTCAAATGGCCTTAATTCAGGCTGGTGAATTATTATAATTTACCCAGATTATATCCCACTATACATATAATATCATATAATTATACATCATATATAATATTAATTCCCCTTTATTGATGCATTCAACCTATTGATTCTTGCTTGGTAAATCCCCATTTCTTCTTGGTGAAGCCATTGCAGTTGTTGGTTCACGATCCAGGAGAGGTGGTGATCGTCACCGGAAGGGGTGGCCACAGTAGGGAAGGCCCGGTTTGTTTTTCGGGAATCGAAGGTGGCTGGCTGGGAGATCCTATAGAAATGGTGGGTTTATAGCTGGGAAAATCAACTTAAGTATTACTAGGGGATGGTCCATTGCTATGATTACTAGAGGATATCCCAAAATGGCTGAACCTTTCAGGTCTGTGAATTAGTATCATTTGCCCAGAGTGATATTACCATTATAATGAAATATCATTGGGATACAACTCAAATATTTTATGGGATCTAATGGTGATATAGCCAACAATCTTGTATATGAGGGCTTGTCTGAAAATGGGGGGACTTGCGGTGGCAATTTCAACATGGAAAATGACAAGCCCATGTGCTCTTTTGTTCAAGTTTTCCAGGAATGGATGGTTGAGAAAACCAAGGTTTTCGATATGTAACCACACACACACATGTATAGTATATATATATACATATGTAATAACTATGATATAAATAAATATATGTATATACTGTATATACACATATATCATATATGTGACATACAACGATACACATGCTGCCTCCACACCTTGACACATTTCCACGTGTTTTTTCTTTCAGACTCCGCTGTGTCCTTTCGCTCATTGCCGGAGGGGGTGTGACTCTGCACCCGCTGTTGACCCATTTTCTGCAGGAGTCTGAGCCTCGGGTAGCACCAGGGATTTCCGGAGCAAAGCTTCAAGAGTTGATGGGGATTTAGTGGGATTTCGCGGGATTTGGGGGCTGATTTAGGGGGAAGTAAGATTTTGTGTGACTTGGGAACTTGGGAAGGATTTTTTTCTGGATTTCGTGGGAATCTAATGGGATGTGTGATTTTTCAGTGTACACAGACACATGGCAACAAGTCGCTTTGTCCCCAGGGGACGATAGACATGTTCATGCAGTGTTTCGAAACTTGTTTTGGTTTTATTCGGGGAACACAATATGTTACAATATGTTACAATTGTACCTCATTGTAATCCAGATTTCTCTGGGCTTAACATTTTGTGGCTTACAATGGGTAGAGATTGCAACTAGTCGTCCCACCGCCAAAAACAAAAAGTGGAATTGACAGCAATGATTGGGGTTCTCCAGTTTCAGCCTTTGCTTGGAATCCAAAGAATTCCTGAAAAACCTGGTCCTTCGACTTCGATGTCCTGCTTAAGTGCAGTACTTGGAATTGTGGCCATCCGTGGACCTGCTTGAAGCCATCTTTTTGTAATCAAATGTGACCATGGAAAATCCGGCATTTATGGATTATTCCCCTCACAAACTTCTAGGATTCTAGGGGATTTCCAATTGCAATGTGTGAGCGCTGGATTCCACCAGCTGGGATGATGGAGGTTGAAGATTCCAGTGCGCCCTGATCCCAAGATTGCAGGTGGGGCACAAAGGAAGTGGCCTGGTGTTGATGTGGGGTGATTTGTAGCTGAGAAAACCATGGTGAAAGGCTTCATGATTGGTAAATAGCTTCATTTTTACCTCTACATTCACATGGGGGAATAGAGCATTTCGAGCCAGAAGCTTGTGGGGCTCTTTGACAGGTCGTACTCGTCGCAAAGGCATTCAGAGGTTACACATGGCACCTGTTGAAGCTGGGATTCCATTGGAAACCCCACCCAAAAATCATATTTTGCCAAAATTTTGGGGTAGAGAAAATTCCCAGAATTTCCCCTGAGAAAAGGGGCTAATTTTCATTGGGTTTGCCATAGCAGATTCATTGTTTTCTACAATTTAATAGTGGTATTTCCCACTCTTCCGGAATTGAGTTGGTAGAAAATGTTTAGGAAACTCCGATGTATTTGTGGGCAAAAGCCAAATGGTTTCGTGGTCAGAAGTTGCTTCGAGAAATCCATTGAATCCTTGGACAAAAACCGTTGGGCCATCATTTTGTTGTTAGTTTATTAGCTATTATGGTTAATAATACAACATTAGGATACATTAGGGATATATGTATGTATATATATTATTATTATTATTATTTATTATTTATTATTATTATTATTTCTAAACATCCCTAATATACTTCATTAACTATTTTCAATTTTGCTTTCTAAACATCAGAAAAGGCACCCGGCTCTGCGCCAGAGGTCGCCTCAGAGTGTCGCTGCCTGAGGACTTCTACGGCGTGAAAAGTCGAACGGATCCTGTTGGGAGATGCTTGGGATCCTCCGGGGATTCTACGATCAACCCGTATATCTGCTTGGGATCATGGGATTCTATAGCAATAATAGTGGTTAATGATGGTTAATGATCATCAACTTTGGACAATCACGCCATTTTTCATGGGTAGATATGGGTAAATCAACTATATCTATGGTCGATGTTCAATAGTTATAGGCTATGTATGGCTATCTGGTTGGTGGTTTAGAACATGGCTTTTATGTTTCCATATGTTTCCCATCATGTTGGGAATGTCATCATCCCAACTGACGAACGCCATGATTTTTCAGAGGGGTAGGCATACCACCAACCAGATATTGATGTATGTTGTGGATAGTGATACTATCCGTTATATGGGAAATTTCATAAAGTGGTGGCTAAGCATGGAAAATAAGCCACGAAAAAGATACATCACCCAGTTATGGCTTAGGGCTTAGGATCCAGTTACAAAGTGGGATCCGCATCAACGGAAAGGTGGGAGAAACCCGGCCCATGGCTTTCTTTGCTGAAGGTCCAAGTGTTTGGTCAAGATGTTTGTCACTGATATCCGGACAGTATCCCCCTTGACTAATTCTTTGGTCCCTCACAAGCGCTCATTTCTCAGTTATCATGTAATCTTACAATAACAATGATCTGAGCATGTGAGTCATCCTTTCATTTTACATGTCATCTATCTATGTATATGTATATATGATTATATATGATATATTAAAATCTCATGTTATCCTGGAAAACTTTGGCGCAAGACATGCCTTCAGGTCACATCTCTCTGCGGTTTTTTTTCCCCACGGGGTTTGCACCGCCCGCAGGTGCAACACCATCCCCACCAATGTGGAGCCCGAGTATCCGGGCGACCTCACCATGGAGCGGGGGGAGCGTTTGGGAGCGGATCTTCAGGTTGGGTGAACGGCTGATTCCTATCCTGAATATATGGGATATAACTATATAGATATAATATAATTATATATATAATTATATAATTATATATATAATTATATATATATAATTATATTATATCTATATATCTATATATCTCTATATCTATATATCTCTATATCTACATATAATCAGCAATATAATCTTTGGGATTTCTATGTGCCACGGTCAAGTTAGATCAATGATAAAATAGCCATATTTTGGGGATGGTCATGACGGATTCTCATTGTATGACGGATGACCATACCACATATACCACATATACCATGTTGTGTATAATAGGTAGTATTTGATAGCGTAATGGTTTATTATTGTGTTACATATATATATGTATATATTCATCATGACAAATATTGTAATTTATGTTGTAGCAGTGATATATAATCTCTACTACGTATTGTTGCAAGTACTAATATGAATGAATGGTGTATCATGATTTTTATAATTGTCAATGGCACATGATAATAGTTTTAATACGATTTTATTGTCAATATCATTGGGGTACTTGGAAGATCTAACGATTTAGACACCATAACAAGTTTATCCATTTGCAAAGAAAGGATATAGTATGATATAGCAAGTTCATCCATGTATATGTACCATACTCCCTTGAATTGAGGACTTACAATCAACAGGAGTATAAGCTATGATTTGTTTGATGATCCTGAAAGTGGCTCAAAAGTTGGGATTTTCCCATGACTTTCAGAGATCACTTGATGGTTCAAATTGGACATTTCACGGCGGGTGAATCAGCGAATGGGTTGCGTTTTTTTTCCGCCAGAAATGAAGGCACATCGCTAAGAACTCCTGCCACTGCAAACAACTTGTTGGCGGACATCGAAGATTGGCCATGTGAAACACGTGCAAATGGCAGGAATAGTGCAGTGAGGGTTATACAACTTCTGGAATTTTCGATAAGCACTACCGGCTGAGAAATGGGGCCACAGGATGCCACAGGACAGCGTTTACTGAAAAATAAACCACCAGTTTGCCAACTGGGGAGGTTTTTACAAATGTTGATAGTCATTGATAGTCCCATTATAATCCGATATTATACCATACTATCCCCACTGGTCATAATTTGTTACCAACGTGCAGGGGTAACCTCCCCAATTTTATCAACAGAGTCCTATATAATTTAATCGAAGATGTGGGTCGGATGGCTTGGTGCGTTTGGTGGATTTGTTTATCTATATGGGTCCCGAGGTTCGTTATTTGTATTTATATATATATATGTATAATGCATATATGTGATATGTATATCATTATCAAAAGGTATTTTCCATTTCTATCTGCCTGGTGATTGGACGGTTTACCCCTAGCTTTGTAGGTTATATATATATAAGTCATGTACATAATCGTTTTCTTATATGATCCATATCTCTCTAGATAGATATTATCTAGCTTATAGTAATCACCAAAGAGATAAACAAGTAAAACATAACTGTTTTGTTTGGAGTTTTCCGAATTCTATCTGTTGGGTGTTGTTGATCTATTTTTTCTACAGATGATTTACCTACACAAATGGTGATTTCCATGGCTAAGTTAGTTTACCAGAGGCTGTGTATATATATATTATATTACATGATTGTTCTGTTCTTATTCTTCTTCTCACACTACCGCCACCACGACCACCACCACCACCACCAGCAGCACCAGCACCAGCACCAGCACCAGCATCATCATCATCATCATCATCATCATCATCATTCAACCATTTTTCATAACCATAACCTAATCCCAACCTCCCAAGTCGGCCATTTTTTAACGGCACAACCGTGGCAGGAGAGTCGCATCAGCAACTTGGTGCGTTGGAACGCGGCGGTCATGGTCTCGGATGGCAACCGCCGCGCTCCAGGGGCCTGGAAGCCCAGAGACTCCCGTCGTATGTTGCTTCAATGCATCAATGCATTGGGGATATCATGGGATATGGGATATGCTGGTATAATATGGTAGAATATGGGATGTATCTCTATCTATACCTATAATTACTATATATATATAATTACATATATATATATGTAGAGATATCATCAACTTTTTGTGATTCATATGTGAAATGGTATCTGGGTGAATTGCTCATATCGGGGGATGGTCATCAATCCATTTCGATTGGGATTTATATACCCATTGTGTTTGGATTTTTGTTATGGGATGGATGACCATACCACATAGACCATCTTTTGTCCCTGGCACAGTTGATCAACACGTACACTATCATACAATAATTATTATTAATTACAGATATGAAAAATCATATGACTGGTCGTTAAAAAACATATTTTTCACTGTCAACCATAGAAAATGACTCATGATCCCCAATGTGTGCTGTCACCAGGCATTTCAGGATGGATACGTGTTGAGGACGGATCGAACCAGTTTCTCCATGTTCAAACACTTTTGGTCCATTTACCAATTGACCAGAGATTTTTTTGTGTTCACCAGCATTCGTTAACATTTGGATGAAGAGGAGGATGAAGAAGATGATGATGGTGGTACTGATGATGATGCTACTGGTGATGATGACGGTGTTGTTGATGTTGATGATGATGATTTCTTCTTAACATATTGATTATGGTACAACAGTTATAACTTATAACATCTTATAATCATTATTATTACGTTATTAATTTATAATATATAAAGGGTGATATGCTGATGACGGTGATGACGTGTTGATGCCCCAGGTGGGTGGACACATCGGCACCTTTGCCTCGATCTGTGACGTCTTCGAGGCGGAAGTGACGTCTTCGCGGCAAATGTTGGGCCATGAAGTGACGGAGAAAACCAAAAAATATATGGTGTATATATATATATATTGGAAATATATGGAATATATGGAATATTGGAAAATTATGGTATATACATGAATATATGGAAATAGATATTGGGAATATATGTTGGGTTTATATGGTAAGAATACCAATTGGGAATATATGTTTTACCATGGAATATAATATATGGTTCTATATAATGTTATGGGAATTTGAATGTTATGGGAACTCATGTTGGGGATAACAATTCTCAATTTTCTATATGGTGATATGTGGTTCTTCTTCTTTGCGGTATTCGAGATTAATGACCGTGGGAAGGGAAGGCGAAAATTTGAAGACCCTGAACCAGACGGATGTTTCAATGTCGGACCAGACACTCACTCTGACTACCATTTTCCAATTTGCCATTGGTTCTAGTGACTCTAGTGCTCTAGTGTAGCCCAAAAGACGCCCCTCTGCATTCAGAGTGCGAGTTCAGACATGATATTTATATATGTACCCCCAAAAAATGGTATGGTATGCCAGAGGGCCAATCCCAGGAGTTTGGGTAGATCCGTATCTGCTAAGAGACCACCAAGTGAGCTAATAGCAAAAAATCCCTGGTTCTTTATGATTTCATGGGGTTGTATTAATTAAGCAAGACCAGCTATGAACCATACAATGTATATGACTTAGTTAATATCTGTGATATGTGTGTGTGTACAGTACACATGTAATGTAAATGAATATATAAGTAGATAAATCTAGTACATACATACATGCATATATATATATATGATATGTATATATATATATGATATGTATATGTATATGTATATATATATATGATATATGTATATATATGATATATGTATATATATATGATATATGTATATATATATGGTGTGTTTGCTTCATTGTTTTTCTTGGTGCCCCATGGCAGCTTGCGGTTCAAGCCGCCGGCTGGGCGCGGTCCCAGTCCAACATGGCTGCAGGGATGATGTTTCAAGTCTGGCAAATGGGGTTGAAGCATCATTTGGATGTGGGTCAAAATGGAAGACCGATGTGGGACCACAGATGTGAATGTCTAGTTTAGTATTAACCATCCAATTATTGGGGTACCTAATTTTGACCCATACCCATTTATCAATCTCTTGAACATATAATCTTACGATAGACCCAATCCAATTGAAATCTGGGATTATATCATGAAAAAACAAGGATGGATAGGTAATCCTTCATATCTGGTTGGCAAAGGAATTATAAGCTCTTAAACCACCGAATGTATGGTGATACAATCCAGACATTCTGGTTGGTTGATGGTCAAGAAAGTGGGTTATGAACTTATGAACCTATCAAATGGTACCCGTCACGGGTTTGACTTAATTCCAACTGGATCCTTTTTATCTAAATGATTTGGGGATGATCAAAATCCATGACTTGGTAATCCCAATGAAAACTAAACAGACGTACATGAACTTTGGAAACAAACACCAGGAGTATCAAGCCGGGACACATTTCTCGGATGTTCCTAACATTTTCCCTGGATGAACCCAGTGACACCTGATTAGTGCAATCCCACATTCCTGTGGAGAGCAAGGTCCATGATGGGATTTCTTAGCAAGGATCACATGGCCCTTTATGTTTGAGAAACCAAGAGGTCGGGGGACGACCCTTGGGGGATAGGCCCCCAATGTCACACAGACCCCTAAAAAGACATGGCAGTTATGTCATAGTGCGTTTGGGAAAACAATCCTCCTCAACTCTTTGGGTCTGCGGGCCGTGCTTTCCATGGCCCATGGTGGGGTGGCACAGCGAGCGAGGGGGATCTACACTGCCATAAAACAGCCCCAAGGATCAATCATTTCGGGACTATGAAGTCAATTATCCCACAAGTAGGGGTATACCCAGCTTCACAAACCGCACATTGGTGATCATGACTCTCATTGTGCATCCGTCACTGTTGGAATGTTTGTTGGAGCACCCTTGGTTCTGAAGGGCGGATCTGAGAGATGAGATGCTTCCAAACATGCTCGTTACAGTGATTTGATTGCAGAGTGTTTCTGCTAAGATTTTGCAGTTGTTGTAGGAATCATGAAGTGACGTTAAGGTGTACGGATTACAAACAGTTTTGAAAAGATGTGGCCTGATTGGCCCCCCAACCAGAGGTTTAATGTCACCGGACATTTTGTCCTTCGACATGATCTGGGAAGTAAACGATAGCAATCTCCCATACTTGACTAGCTGATTGATACGTTCAATTATTTCGAAGCTTTGTTTCTGCAAGTTCAGGTGATTTTTCCTTCAGCTCATACTGTATAATGTAAATATATGTCATTATGTATATACTACATGATCTATTAATTTTGTTGAGAAGATGGTTCAACTTAGGTCAAGCACCCATCATAGGGAGTCAACCCCCATTCGCACAGCAGGCCTGTTTCAACCAGGAGGTCACCGAGCCCCTCTGCTGCGACTGCATCTTCCCCGCGCAGCTGGGACGGAGATGGACGGAGTGGTCGGCGGGGAGCTGGGCCCAGGGGCCCAGATGGCTGGTGCTGACTTACCATGACTTATGGATACTTATGGCTAGGCCAAAGAAATCTTATCGAATCATGATCAAAGTGACACAGTGGTTTTCTAGGGCTGACTCTTGAAACCGTTTTGCACGATCAACCTGTCGCGATCTTTTGGTCTTTTGGGGGCTATCTAAGTTTGAACCAGGGACAAGCATGCCCCCCACCACCACGGGAATTCAGTTCTGAAATTCACTACAGTAATTATACTGAGTCTTGGGTCACAGGAGTGTCCTAAAAGATGGAAAACTCAATCTCCATCACCAAAAATTGTCAGGAGTCATTGTTTTTTGAGCCATCCAGATGAATGTTGAAGCTTACCCTCCTCTAGTTTTCACATAGACCCTGCCGAACAATGGGTTTGAAGATTTGTTTCCACTCAAAAAGAAAAAACACAGAAATTACTCAAAAAAAATGGTATCCAACAATGGATTATCTACTCAAAAATTGATGATGTTCAGGGTCAAGCTATGAAATTACTGCACCGTAACTCCCTGCACCGCACCCAGGTGTTGGTCTGCACCCTTCACACCGGAGATTTGTTGTCCGTTGGGGGATCCCAAAAAGTGAGGATTTCACGGTGAAAAAGATGGTGATTTCACCATATTTCACCAAGAAAAAGTCGGGAGATTTAAGAAAGGCATAGGGATAATATGGGATAATCAAGCAGATATTGATGGTCTAAGTATGTCCAAGTCGTCAAAAATGGGGACGATTCTACTTTACACTGGGAAACCCGACAGTCACCAACCAGTGAAAGGGGATGACATACTCATGACCATGTGGATGTGGGTCAAAGGCGGAAGCGAGCGGAAAAACGGGTATCACTTCACGTTACATATTTTAGACTGTTCCATTCATTTTCGATATGTGAAAACCCAGGGAAAAACCAACTATTTTGATGAATACCCATTTGAGCATGTTTTTGTTTTATTGTAAGGTTTGGCCATCCGTCGGTAAAAAGACCATGCCCAACAATTGCTTCGATTTAGACAAACCTTTTCTTCTTATCACGTATCTATTTTTACGTTTGATCTTCTATTTTTCAATGTAGAACTCCTCCTTTTTCTGCAGAGCATGGCACCTTCATATTTTCTGTGGTTCAAGTCCCCATATCTGGGTAAGCCCTTGTTGAGCCAGTCAGTTGTGTATTGCGTTTATACATGGAAGAATACACACCAACCAGCCATATATATATATATATATGTTTATATATATATGTTTATATATATATATATGTATTATACACATGTATGTGTATATATATATATATTATAAATAGATAGACATATCATCTATATTCATTAGCCAGCTAAACATTGGTTAGTCTGGAAATAGGGTATCACCAAAACCCATTGATCAATCATCATTTTCCCACTTCATATGGCATTTGGGGGATACCATCATTCTCAGACACACCCGAACTTAAATGAGCTAGTTATCCCAATATCAATATATCATTTTCTTAGTTATATTATATATATACATATTAGATCCCCAGATATTTGGTGCACAAATCCCCATGATGCTTGTTTACCCTGGGGTAAACATACATAGATGTGGAACACCTATGGTTGCGCTATCAACATGATCTACTTTTAGGTGGGTTTTCCACATCTCTGTTAGTTTACAGGGGGTAAATATCACATTTATAGATGATTTTCCGATTAAGACCTCCATTTATAGAGGATGTCCTATTGCCACATGAGTAAATATCGCAAAATCATTTTCTTACTTATGTAGTAAACCCCCATATGTTTGGTTTGGTGCCTGGTGCACAAATCCCCAGTATGCTTGGTGAAATATCTCATTTATTGTGCTTCCCAATCCATCAAAATGATCAGCAAATGGTGGGTAAATACCACATCTATGTTAATTTACAGGAGGGTAAATAGCCCATTTATTGTGACATGACCAACCACACACCATCCTTCCCATGTGGCTCCCAACATCAACGCCTTGAGGGTCAATAGCCTTGCTCAGTGGTGGCCCCAGCGATTTCAGAATTTGGGTTGACACTGGGACCAAGATTGAAGATGTTTTTAGACAGTACCGCCCCCCAAAGAAAATATAGAACAGTAATTTACTACTATTTTAAGCGGATTTACTTTTCTATGTTATGTACATATATATGGGAATAGAATCTAGTGATTTTCCATACTAGAATTGGGTGATGCTTTCATATATTTCCAAGGGGTTTAAAACCACCCATCAGCCATGGAAATGATGGTCACCTCAAATCCCAGATTCCCCTGGACTCGATCCGTTGCTTGTTCCGTGACGAGGCGCTTCTGGCAGAACAGCAGCATCTCGGATGCCTTCGAAAGGCCGGCAAGCTCCAAAAAGTCCAGAACATGAACGAAGAGTTCTGAATACCCTCTGGTAAACTAACATGGAAAATCACCATTTTTAATGGGAAAACTCACTATAAATGGCAATTTTCAATAGCTATGTTAGTTACTTTACCAGAGGGTACTTTCTGTTGAAAAACCCAACTTACCCTGTGGTGATTTAAGATAGCCATGAACAATGACTAATGATCCATGAAAGTACATGATTTACACCTTTAAAACTATTAAACATTGCAATTTTCCATGGCCAACAGGTAGATTCCGGAAGGGTCTCCATTTTTTACTAACCATCTGCCTTTTAAGGTGTCCCTTTTAGCGATCGCGATCATGCGCGATCAGGCTGTGCCAGCCGCAAGCGGTCTTGAAGTGCATGGAGACGTCGGGGGCGTCCCAAATCAATGGCCATTTCAGGTACCTAACCTGGAGGTACTGCACCTGTTTGGCATTTTGGAGGTATATCCCCTGACATTGCCCTGGGACCTGATGCTAGGTACCTTGCATTTAGGTTCCTGGCCGAGTGAAAAACATGGTAATTAAAGTTGAGATTATGAAGAACAGGATTCAACCAACGAAATGGACAAGCAAAGGTCTACACTTGTAGAATTCGAAACACTTTCCGCAACTCTATATACTAATAATAACATATATATATATAACCAATAACAAGAATAATGATAATAACAGTGATACAATTTTCTCACTTTGGATAATTCAACGTCACTTTTTGCAAGTTGAATAGTTGCCCTCCAACGTACAAAAAACCAACAAAACGATGGCAATCCATGGCTTTCCCTTCGACATGATCCATGGTGGTCTATGACAGATCAAAAACCGTTGCGAAGAGGTTTTGAAAGACCCCTTCCTATTGAGAAATCCGCCCTATATATGTTGGATAAGCATACCCCTGGCCTATAATCTTAATTTTGGTTGGCTTATGTTGGATTCCATTATATAATATTCTATCATTGTCCCAAGTATGTCTTTCCCGCATTTCCAATTTTGCTGATCAAGTCTCTGTGCTGGACAAATACATACTATTTGCTTGTAAAAGACCGGTGCTAGTGGTTTCAATGCCTGAATTTGCCATGGGATGATCCCAATTTTCATATTGAAGCTGGTTGAACTTGCTTAAACACCAGCAAATTTTAATGTGGACCCCTAAAATGGATGGAATCAGGAGAAATGACAGGGTTCCAAGTCCAAGTCGTGCCCATCGATGTGCAAGGCCGAGGCTGATTCACAGCGAGCCCTGTAGCACGATGGTAAGCCCAGGGACGGGGGGGCCAGGGATCCATCTGACATCTTCCCAGTCTTTGACTGGAGGTTGAGGACGCAAAAATTATGGGATTCAAATTCAAATTGATGGGAAAAAAACAGTATTCAAAGAACAAACATGGACTCATATTTCCGAAAACCTTGAGGTTATACATCATGGTCCTTTTTGGTTTCTTTCTTTTTGTCCAACGCTCAAGAGGTGATTCGATGGGAAACACGACCCATTAGTGACCTTTCTTGACCTCGTAGCAGCAATAGTGCATGGGCATCCAGCCTTAGTTAGCAGGGATTAATTACAGTACTTAGTAGATCTTAGTAGCATGTGACATGATTGTCCCTTTTTGTGAAGAGAAGTAGATTTTTGGCGAAGTGCCAGAGATGGAGATGTTTCGCTTCAGAAACCTGCCAGTGCTTGCAAAATTCATACGCTGGGCTTGGTTGCCTGTCTGCCTACTTTATGGTCGCATTTGGAATAGAATGTTTTGCATTTGTTATTATATAACTGGTTGGTTTGGAACATTTTTTATTTTTCCATGATATATGGGATAATCATCCCAACTGACTTTCATATTTTTCAGAGGGGTACAGTAGGTATATCACCAACCAGTTACTGTATTAATTGCTACCAATACGTTCCCATTCATTTGCATGTTCGATTCTTGTTTTGAATCTTTAATCGTGACCCTCGGGGAATCTGTTGGGAAAAACCACCCATTCAATGCATTGTTGTAGTGCACCTTGATCGCACATCCTGGTTTCTCAAGGAGAAAAGGAACACCAACATATGGCTATGGATCAATACCTATAAATACCATTTTTAGGGGGATGAACATCCATTTACCAGCGGTTTTGATGTTCACTAGGGGTACCAGGGTTTTGACACACTGCCATATAACAACCATTCAAGTTCTTCATACATGAAATTCTGCTGTAGTATGATGTACATTCATTTCTGCATGTCCTTGGATTATGAGAACTCTTGGATTTCCGATGGATATTTGTCGGATTCGAGATGAGCCCGGGGCTCGCCCAGCTTCTAAGAAAAACAGGACACCAATAAACGTGATCATGATAGGCTTCTAACAACGGCAGATATGATATTGATATCATAATAACGTCATAATGTGTGCAACTCAACTGGGGATGATCCCAACTGATAAACTCAACTGGAGATTCGAAATGGTAAAGCAAGCATTTCGGACAATGTCCATGCTGATATTCATACCATATCATCGAATATCAGAATATCCCATGATGTTCCATGTCAACCCATGACTGGTTGGTGGTTTGGAACATGAATTTTATGACTTTCCATATATATATATATGTGGGAAGAATAATCCCAACTGACGAACTCCATCATTTTTCAGAGGGGTAGGTAGGTATACCACCAAGCAGTGTTCCATGATCAACCCATGTGAATTTTTAAAGCACATCATGGTGGTTCCAATGGGAAAATCGCTCCAGGCAGCTGTGGTGGAGCTACTGCCGCCTGGTTCATCTCTGGAAAACCATGGTGGAAACACGGTGGAAAGAAAAATCTGGACATCTGTGACACATGAGAAGATGCGGAACATATGGAACACATATGGATTTCAAAGTAAACACATGTGGAAAGACACAGACTGGAAAAAGCCCATAGTTTCCTCTTGGATTTTTCCCACTAAAACGATTCACAAAAATGTCGAACTGTTCGGTGATGGGTATGTATATATATATTATGTATTTCTAACCAGTTTCCATGTCCAACTGGTTGAATTTATTTCGAATGTCAGTTTGATGTATCAACACTGTAGAATACAATTGTCATTGTGATGGCTATCATTACCACAATACCATTATATATATAATTATATCTATATGTCATTAGTGCTACTATTGTAATGCCATTATTCTCCATATTACTATATATATATACACATATCTCCAGCATTGTTAATTTGACTATACTTTACTATTGGCGCTTGATAGATAATTCCTTAGTGCTACTATGACCACTATCATTCTTGCGAAATTATTGCTACTATTGTTACTACGATGGGTAAGCCAGTAGTAACAATGAATGTCCATTATAAGCCATTATTTTTTAGTAACAATAAGCCATTATAAGCCATTACTGCTGTAAAATTCGATTTCCGAGCGAAATTCCAGGCCTTCAGAGTGCACCACGCAGCTTCCCATGGCGTGCCTGCCCGGCTTGACGTGGGCGCGCTGGTACGGAGACCCAGGCGTTGCATGGCGTTGCCAGATCCGGGTGTCGGGGTCATCAGTTCCGTGGAAAATGTCCGCACTGCATGGAGGTTTCCATGAGAAAATGATGGACAAATTGTGGGAAAATATGGGGAAACGATGGAAAACGTCTGAAAATATGGAAGTTTGATGAAGTTTGAGTATGTTTCCAGCTGGGAAAGTCTATCGAATGATTTCTGGCGGATTTTTCAGCTAGCCAACTGATAACACTGGAGGGTTGATCGGGTCATTTGCAACTGGAGATGGGTCGAAATATGGATGACTTGCTATTTACTAAATCGTTTTTGATATTTTGGTTGCCATGTATTACCATATATATATATAGATTTTGCCCAATTGTCATTTGTGTTCGTAAACCAAGGGGATGATGCGTTTTTGATATTGGTTCATTCGGTTCATTGGATTTAGTTGGCATCAAAGAACTAATTGAATGATGGATAAATTGCATAGTCCAAGCACATGCGGAGGCGGGGCTTAACATGGTTTAGCCAACAAAACAGGGGATTAAACAGGCATTTAACCCCATCTAAAGATATTTATAGAATGTATAATTATAATCCCATAGAAATAACCAGTTATAACCAGTTATAACTAATAAACGGCCACAACTCATATTTTTTTCCGGGCAAAACACCTGGAAGGCGACCATGTGGGGATGAGTCAATACCAGCAGTGGATGAGACCACTGGGGGTACCAGGGTTTAAAATCTGCGACCGGTGGTGACTGGAACCATGGAATGGATCATGACTTTCCCATCATATTGGGAACAAATGGGAACGGAATCATCATCCCAACTGACGAACTCAAACTCCATGATTTTTTGGAATGGGGTAGGTAGGTGGCTCAACCACCAAGCAGAAATGCAGCGGTGCGTAGCTCTACCCCCAAAGTCACGATCCCCCCCCAATGCGCCCAAAGACTGAGCAATGGTCAAAACCACTGGTGGTTGATGTAGTTGGGGGATTATACTACCCTAAAAAATATAGTGGGGACGTTGTCATCATCCATGAAATAGGAACCCCGTTCTTAACCAATCAGTAACACTATACTCGAATGACAGAGGGTCATACTACCACAATGATTCACGATCTTTATGGGAATTCCGGATTTCCTATTAGCAAACAAGTACAATGAAGCAACCGCGAAGGGGCTAGGGCCAAACATTTACAGTGTGAAGATTAATAAGCCGTCGAGACACAATGAACATCACATATCGGAACATTTATGAACCCTCTGGTATATAGTTTAAATAGCCATAGAAAAGGGCCCATGTATAGTTGATTTGCCTATTAAAATTGTTGCTTTCCATAGCAAACTGTCAGTTTAAATGAGGGTACATCCCATCAGAGCATCAATTAACAAGCCATCATAACACAACATAAGATTCACCTTATGATGTTATGATGTTATATATTATATATTGATTATTCATAACATCATTCAATAAACCACCAACACACACAAAATATAGAATTGATATTATCTATGTTACACATGTATATGTTATATATATATGTATATATATAATTTATAACATCTTACATATCATATAGGTTGTTATATATATATTATTATTATCATTTATTATCTATCTGTTGTCATGACATTTTAATGCTGTTATCAACAAATAAAACATCAAAACACACCAGATGAAGCTGAAATCGAGGCACGCCATCCTGCATGGTGTGGATCCGACCGGCTGCTCAGATTCGTGGTGATTTTATGAAGGAAAAAAGGTGATTCGTGTAGTTAGTGCGAACCAGAAAAAAGGTGACTACTGCAGTTTGATGGTGATTTTATGTTCAAGGGAAATTCTTACCAACTTCATGGACAAACATGTGGTTTGAACAAATATTTAGTGATTTTTGAGGGTTTTACTTACCAAACATCTTGGTAAATGATGGTTAGGATTAGGGGAAGCCTCCGAATTTACGACCCAGCATTTCAGGGAAGATGTTTCGGAATTTGGATGATTCTTGAGGCCCCCCAAACAACAAATCCAAGAACATAGATATAAACAATTCCCAATGAACATTCCCATTTGATATATAGATGAGTTTCCCATGGCATATGGGGATTTTCTATTACCATGTTTGCTTACCGTACCCGAGGTAATTAATCACTTACCTTTAACAATCAACCCTGGATTTTGGGGACCCCCAAATGAAGCCTTCCAGTATCAAACCGGCTTTTCTGTGGGTTGTTTTTTTTTAAGGCAAAACACAGATATATGTCCACTGATTGGTCAGATGGACTGGGTCCTTCACACCGCTGACGTTTCTTGAAGAGACAACATTTCCCCTAGCTATTCAATATATCATCTTCCCATATATATATAATATATATATATATACATATGTATATATGTATATATATATACATATATATATATGTATATGGAGGTTTCCTAAAATGGGGGTACCCAAGTCACCATGGGTTTCAATACTAAGTCATGGTTGACTTGGATGATTTGGGGCACCCCTATTTCGGAAACCACCACTTTAATATATATATATATATAATCTTTTATAGTCTATTAGTATAGACATCATCACCAAAGATATCATGCATATATATATAGACACTGAGATGGGCGGTGAAGGTAGATCCACCCTCAACATTTAACCAAAAGTGAAACACATCTCTTTCACATCATACACGTTTTTCAGTAAATCTACAACTGGATTTTAACTGATTTTTTTTTCCCGAAATGGATCCCCCTGTGAAATCTACTGATTTTTTCATGCTTCCCTGGAGCAAATCGAAGGCATGCAAGCGGCTGGACTCGCAGCAGTCGCCAGTGCTGGAAGGCTCCAACTGTTGATGGAATAATCTCGGCTACTGAGCGTTTAAAGGGGTTGATTAGAGATGATTTTAAGCCATAGAGATACCTGGTTAGCAGCCACTATGGGATGGGATATGGGCATATTTCATGGATAATGACGACGAAATTCCTTGATCAGATTTTCATAGATTTTCATGGATTTTCAGACACACCCATATTATGACTTTGTCATCTTTGTCATACTTCGCACAACCACAAAACTTCGTCACTATTTCTAGTAGGAAATCCAATGATTTCGGGGCCAAATGAAGCGCGAACTATCCAAGGGCTTTAGACATTTGATCTCTCTCCTTCCACCCGAACGGATCTTCATGGACACTTACATATGGGCACTAAAAATACGTATTAAGAAACAGGAATATATACTGTACTCATTCTATGTATGTCTATTGTGCATTATATAATATATAATATACATATTATATTAACAACTACACATCAAGCTTCGTCAACCCTCCAATAGCCTTAAAGAACTCCTCGTCGCAGGCGTTGGCGGAGCCCGGGGGCTTAGCTCCCGAGTTTCCATAAATGGGGAATCCCCAAAAGGGTTGGTTTAGTTCATGGAAAATCCTATTAAAATGGATGATTTGGGGATACCCCCATTTCAGGAAACCTCCATACATGTGGGTAAACAATACGTAATAAACCATCCCCCAAATCACCATAAATGGGTGGTGTAAACCCTTAAAAATGTGTAAACCCTTAAAAATGGGCTAGTTTATTATTGTTTTACCAACATTAGTAACCCCAAAAGGATAGAAGGGTAAAATCCCACTAGAATAGTGGTGACTTGCATGTAAACATATCTTATTTTGGGATGACTATCATCTATATACACACACGCATATAAACACATATTTATATAATCTATATCCCTTTTCCCAAACAAATCGGTTCGCTTGAAGATGCACGAACATGGGATATATACCCCAAAATCTGATGACTGAGAAAATAATCAATGGCCACTGCAGGAACCTAAATTGGAGGTACAGTACCTACAATATATATATATAATTAAGCCTCTGTAAGGGATATGTCACGGAATATCCCCACCAAATATAGCCTTATATGGATTCATATGGTACAGTACCTCCATTTTAGCGTCCTGAAATTTCCGCTGAAAATATCGTTCCCCATGGATTTTGTGGCCATAACTGGGGGGAAGTTCCGCATTTTCAGACATATACATTTTGGGTATGGAACATGGGCCGAAATTGGGGTTCTTACCACTGGGCCAGAAAATTATGGTTTGATTTTTTTTGGGCATTGATTGAGCGATCCATTTTTGGGGGTCGAATAAGTTTGAACCATGCCCATTGAATCAAGTCCTTGTGGTTTCCGATCAAGAGAGCGGTTGACCATGTATGTTTTCTCGATGGTTAAGCTTTTGACCAACCAGCATAGCAATGGAAAATCTAACTCAACATGTAGATCATATGCACTGCATTAAGAACATCCAGTTAAGCCTAGCTGGAGTATGCTGGAGTCCTAGCCTCACCAGCTCTGATCCATGGACGATGCAGGCTGCGCAGAACCTATAAGCAGATGCATGCCGTGCTGCAGCTGGACTCCAGGCGAGTGGCCATCCATTTGTGTCAGCATCAAGATGCGGTTTTTATCCAATGTTTTCGGTTTATACCACCCATTGATGGTAAGTCCTTGTGGTTCATGGCGGCTTGGGATGCTTCCACCAGGATTTCAGCTTCTTTTTTCCATCCTGGATATATGTGACGACCCCAGTGATGTCCCCGGCGTGTGTCTTGATTCACCAATTGAAAATGCTGAGTTTCCACTGTCATGTTAGATGACTAGAGGTTAGGATTGTTAATCGGGGATTTATGGGACAAAGCGTGGGTGAAACTAGGGAATGACTGGAGCTGTATGACTGGTGCCTTCCTTGTCTCTTGCTCCCTGAATTGATGTTTTTGTTGCGTTTTTTATGTGGGCCACGGGCTGTTAAAACTCAGTTGCCCAATCCTTGCAGAGATTTTGAATGATTTGGATCTCCAGGTAACTCGATATTTTCAGGAGGCTCAAAGCAGCTGTTCTTTATGGGTTATGAATTCTCCCCCAGATGGACACCTTTTTTTTGCCGATAGCAGGGCAGGCTCGTTATGTTGTCTAAGAATGGCCGTGGACGACTATTCTGAATACCGGAGGACACCAAAACATGAAGGTGCCTGACCAGTTTTTTTTCCATGTTTTTGAGTCTATTTCAAATATAGTTCCCAGCAATTGGATGTGGCATAGATGTGGACCCATCATTTGTGGATCATTTTCCATAATTTTCCTTTGCAAAGCAGGAGTCCCATGGATTTTTTTCAACATCCGAGGCAGATGCAAAAAGACTGTTCCAGACTTCGGGCGCGTGAGTTGGGACCCTTGGGACCCTGGGTCGCCATGGATCTTGCCGTGGGACTTCGGCAAGTTCCACCCGAAAGAAGTCAAACATGGAACCTCAACAAAAATCCTCAACACACCAACTATGTCAGTTTTTTTTTGGGAAGTTTTTTTTTGCCGGGAAAGTGGGGCAGTGGAAACTTCGATAGATAGCCGATCATTGATGCCATTTCATGCCCCAAAAGTACCCAAAAGTATGAATTCCACACATCCAAAGGCCATACTTTTGACCCCCCACATGGACAGAGGTCCCAATGCTCGTGGGTATGTCTGAAAATGGGTAATATATGGTAATATCATGTCATATTCCAAATTGGCCCGTTAAAAGCATCGAAAACCATTGAACATCTGCAAACCGGTGGAGACCAGTCATCTATCAGTCGTGTCTATAGTTTTCGAACATAGTAAATACAGTACACCATGCATGCCATTTAAATTTTAAGGTTTGTGTGAAAATAGGATTGCCATTAATGATTATATATTATATAATCCATAGAAAATAATCATAGTAAGTCTATCCATTAATTATCACCCCAAACCCAATGGATTGAAGTTATTATCATTTTCACTATGAAAGTGGTGGCGCCTCCGAGGCTGCGAAAGATGCTTCCGAAGGCAGAACCTTGGCAACATCCAGCACGACTGGCGCTAGTGACAAAGTCATTTTCCTCATTGAATGGCCATGACTTTTGTCAGACCAGAAATTTTTGGACCAGAAGAATGGACCAGTGAGGACATATCTGCCATATGAATTCCAAATGAGCCATTTTCAAAGTCATATTTTCCTCATTTTCAAAGTACATCCGTTATTTTTTTTGGGACCAGAATTTCCGTGGCTGATGAACCACTCGATAAACTGGGGTAGCCATAGAATGGAAATCCCTCTGAAAACTCACCAGCTCAAATAGGTATAGAACCCATGTAGGCCTGATATGTTTCCATGAAGAATTGGGATGGACTGGGTCAGAAGGAAACAATATGATTATAAACCCGTATAAGATATATGTATATATACAGTACACACATATACACAATATATTTATATAATACAATATATATATATAATACATAATATATATATATTATACATAATATATATATATACATGTTGCTGGGGACATGCCATACAGAACTAGGTTATAATGTCAAACAGATGGTGTGTTTTCGGCTGCCAAGGCCCATGCCTTTCGATCCTCGCGCTCCGAAGAGCGACTCTGGGTCGGAGCCTCAGGGATCCCCCTTATGCCATAAGTTTCAATACTCAACTGATCTAATGACTTGGATGATTTGGGGTACCACCATATTAAGAAACCTGCATATATATATATACACATACATATATATATACACACATTTATGGGTATATATCAACCCAATACTTCCTATAAGACTATTGTTTAAATGGTTTGTTGGGGAAAATCTATAGGATACCCCTTTATCTGATGGTAAGAAACCATGGTTTCCCGTAGATTTTCACTCATTTTCTCTAAACCATGATTTCCGGTGAAGTTTTCCCTCAATCCAAGCTTTGTAGATCTCCCTAATCTAAATTGTCATGGGAAAACGCCATGGTTTCCTCAGTTCTTTGGCGCTGGTCCCAGGTGAAACAGCGACCCCGTGTGGGTGTGGTGCTGGCGGTGGCGCAGCATGAGGCTCTATGGCTGGGAAATCGTCTCGAAAATACAGGGATGAGTCAAAATTGGAGACACAGGGGACCACAGATCTTGTTGATCTCTAATTTGTGAACGGGCTGGAAGCTGTGCGGAAGAAACCAAAAGCATAAGAAGATGACCTGAAAAAAGAAAGTCGATCCGATCAGCGGTGTGCCATGGCGAAGTGGATGAAAGGGTTGATTGGCATGAAGTAGAATTTATCATAGACACATATAGACACCATAGGAATGTAACGTCGATCACGTCCAAGTTTGTATGTTGGAAATGCAATGAAGCTTGGTGTGCCATGCGGAGGATGATAGTTCTGACTGTTCAAACAGGCATATGGTTGTCAGTCAACTTTTTGTTAACAAGTGTGCATTAAACGCATAGTAAATATAGATATATTTGAGTTCCCTGCTTCAGAATTAGTCCACTTTGACCGTCGCTGTGCCATTAGGATTTCCACCTGGCGGAAGATTATTGATGTCTGGCGTAAGCGGTGTGCCATGCGGCTGGCGCAAATTCTAGTAAATGGCGTAGGATCACGCCGGGGCTCGTACGTCCTTCCAAGTTTTTATTGGACTGGCCTGTTGGGGAAAAATCTACCGCCACATTACTTTGCTGGGAAAAACACGGTATCTTGCCCTGAAGGCGGCCACCTATGCGCATGTGTGGGGCGGCTCAGGAGGATGGGTAGGCCCCGAAATTTCAGGGATGTTTAAAAACCATTATAAGGATATGATGAGATATGGTGGGATAAAAAAAGGAACAAATTAAGATGATATCTGAGTTTGCCCTAGCACGGGGTAGACCTGACATTTTTAAAAGAAAATGAGGATCACTCGTGAATATTTTGGAACACCCGACTTTCAGACAATCATCCACCGAAATGTGATAGCAGTAGAGTATATAACACTGTTTATTTCACTGCTGCCTTCCCCATGAAGCAGCCCAGGGGCTTGTCAATCCGCAGACAAAGTTCTTCAAATTTTGAAGAGGTTCAGAAACCTAGGTATGACTTATATATGGCCCTAAGTTTACTCAATTATTTTGAACTTATGACACTTTAGATAGAACCCATTGTATCCATGATAGCTCCCGTAAAATCGCCATTGTCACCTGCCGAGGCTCAGTTTGTGGAGATGTTTTTTGGAATTACGATTGATGGGGGCGGGTCAGGGTATCAACATACAAGCAACGCGATCGTGCGGGAAACCCGATCACGAACCCTATCTGCGTTTAGTATGGAAAGGTGTACATTTGAATTTGATTGGGTTTATGACGGGATAGTACAAATTATATAAAGTAGCATATCCATCGAATCTATACATAATTGATGATACCAACGGTTCATGCATAATTCTACCTCTTGTTTCTGTTGAATTTCACCTTAACCATAAGGATTTGTCGGATTTGTGGTGGAGTTTCCCACAAAAAAATCCTTTACCTCGTTGGCTGCCGATGAAATTGGTGGTGAAAGCTGGCGGTGTTTCACCCTCCCAAAACTGATGCGCCAGCTTTTTGATGTGATGAGTTTGTAATGTTTTGTCCCCAAATAGAAGAAACTAACCAGTTACTGATGATCATCCGTTATAGATGGAATGGGTAGGTCCAAAATATGTTTGTTATCAATAGTCAATATATTAATCAATATATCATCTATTGTCGGATGTACTATTTGATAAATATAGAATAATATATATATTTTTACATATTAATAATAATAATAATAATAATATATATATATATATACAAGATTAAATATATAATATACATATATACACACTATAGTACATAGTCGCTGTCTATGTTACATGAGAACGGGAAGCGAAAAAATTCCCCGCGGGTTTGGTTTGTCGGATTCTCGGAGGTTACTGTGCGAGACACGGCGATTGCGAGGCGCCTGGAGCTCGGGTGAATGTCATGGCTGTCATGGCTTTGGCACCGTTGAAAACATGGGAAACCCAGCCTGGTATCCTTTGGTACACAAAAACATGTGGAAAACCAATGGTTTCCTTACGGAAATGTTCTACATGTGGTGGATTTTCCACGTCTATGTTGGTTTACAGGAGGTTAAAATGATTGAAACATATTCAAACACAACTTGGTTTCTGTATTTAAAAGAATACTCCAGCCAAAACAAAACCACTCAATGTGTGGTGCAGTGTATCTAAGCTTATCGATGTTGAGTCTTGTCGGGGCGAGTCTGACGGCATCCTGAAAGATGAACGCCTGCAATGTGCTACTGTGCACGTAGAAATTGGAGATCCGTTAATGCCCAGTTTGCCTTTCTCAAACACACGGCAAAGGCATGATGAGAAGCGAAGGGTAGACAATTTGACAGCAATCTGTGTTTGCTGCAACACCTGTGTGGATGGATACGGCTCTCATTTTTCTGGATGTAGATATGAGTCAGAATTGAGTAGTTGACTGACTGTTTTCATACCCATTCTTATGCATGTTTGATTATCTCCAAATTCAACAGTTTTTCAACAAGGGGTTTGTCAACCATGAACCAGTGATATCTCCACAATCAACATCTTTGTTCCTAGGTGCCCATGGTTGGTCAGATCCCTATGCTTGCCCTGGGTGATGTCTGCAGCTGGCAGGTGGTGGTCGAGTGGAACAACTTTCTAAAGGTGCGGGCGGCCTCGAAGTAATCTTTACTGGGTGATTTTCAGCGAATTTGCATTGAATTTTACAATGGACATCTTTACTCAATCTTTGATCTTTACGATCTTTACCATGTTTACATCCTTTACATTTTTTAAATGCATCATGACGTTTGCTCAAAACTACTGCCTGGCTTTGGTTGGTGTTTGCCATATTAAGTAAGTTTGCTCCTAATGACCAGCATTTTTTTGGAGCAGAGTTGACATCATCACAGGCATGGGACTATCCGACAGTGAGCAGCGACGAGGGGAGGAGGTGAGCCGAGTGGAGAATCGTTTGATTTTTCCCAAGAAGAACTAGTGCTTTTGCCATCGAACATGAACTGTTTGTCCCAAGCATTGGCATGTCTTTTCCCAAAACAAAGAGCAACATGTATTTTATTGCATTTTGCTATAGGCGAAGAGCGTGAGGAGCATAGGATCGAAACCTCGGTTGGTCACAATCAGCCAGTGGCGTGGCAACTTTTTGACGATTTTTTGACCGGTTTTCGGATTCATAGAGCCAATCAACAATGAGGCTATGGAATGCTATGGACACATGTAGACAAATGTCATCAAATGTCATCAAATGTCATCAAATGTCATAAACCTGAACCAGAACTTGACTGGTCCACCGTCAAACTGTTTGAGTGGTTTGCCCAATCAATTCTGTTTCGAACCGGTCTGATACGGAGCTTCCCCCAAAGCATGGGTTTGTTTTAGCCGATGGAAAAGGGGAGACAACCACAGCTATAGGTGTGGGAATGATGAAACACACATGATTGAAGCTGTTGATCCTGACGGGGATTATATATAATTATATATATATAAACTTGGGATTCTACTATATAATCTATATACATCTACGTACCAGGCTCCACATTTTTGAATGTTTCATGATGTTCCACGCAGTGAAACGAAGCCCAAAAACGGTCTTTTCTGGTTCCATAGCCACACCCAAAGCGTAGGGATATGACTCAGAACAAGCAGAAATGAGACGTTTCGAATGGGAGAAGAAACAGACAGACATTGTGATATGTTCAGCAGTCAAAATTTGTATGTCATCAGGAATTAGGATCGTTTGATACTTGACGTTCAGTGAAATTTGCCGCTGCCTTAAAAAGTGGCATTTCCGGTAAACTCTCCCATTTGAACTTCACGGAACCATACTATGAAACACTACCAACAAACCCTCCCAAAGTGAAAGGGTAAATATGGGTAAATTATCCTTATAATTCATTTACAAATTCCTTCTGGAGTTACTATCTAGCCATACTTTCTGATTCATTGCTGGTATATTCACGATCTGGTAAACCGTTTAACCTTCAACAATTTTGCTCTACCTATCACATCCTATCACCAGTTGGTGGTTTCAATCACGTCTTATTCGTCAATCCTAGGATGAATCACCGGACAGTAACTACATCCCGAGAGTTGGTTAAGAATCCGAAAGCTTGAGGCCCAGGTTCCCTGAACTTCTTATGTTTAAATGCAGGCAAATTTCCACCACAATAGGTCGAGGGTCCCTAAAATTCTTAGAGCATTCTTAGTTATGTATTGTATGCATTTGCGCAATTTGGAGCGAGCTTAAACGAGGTAACGAGGTGGATTTGGCAGATTTAACCAGGGGCATGGGAAAAAACACTTTGTCAGAGTCAGAGCCTGATTTTTTTATTGCAAAGCCGGGCTTGTCAATGAGTTTCACAAGGGCAGTGCCAAAAAGACAATTTTCAGGTCGCAAAAAAATGTTTTTTCGCAGTGCCTGGCTTGACCCCTGCAATCCCCGCAAGAAGGGTTCATTCCATTTCATCGTTCAGGGGGAACGCGACAAAACAATTTTTCATAATCACACCGCGCAAACAAGTATATGTGCTGCAGAAGCGCCGCTCAGTTTTCATCAAGTTATTGGGGAAAACACCACACATTGATTCTGAGTGGATTGGAAGCAGTCCAAGCATGTGCGAAAAAACAAGTTTTCGGAGCCTGAAAATTTGTTTTTCTTCGAAGCCCGATTTCATCCCAAAAGGCCATAAGGGGTCATTGCAACCTTCCAGTTCCAATCCCACAAAATCAGCAAAACTTCACGTATATATAAATAGTAATTAAAGAATTTGGCAATCCTATCCCAGAGTCCGTCAAATTCTTAAAGTACGATGTGCTTGGTATAGCTAAAAATATGTAGCCCGCATTGGGTCCGAGACCCTCAAATTCTTACACAGTGCATTCTTTTACAATACTCAAACTGTACAGCGACGTGTTCGTGATTTCTTTTAACATCTTTCAGCCATTTAAATCATTTAATGAATTTGAATCTTTGGCTGCAAAGTGGGGCCCCCTAGATAGCTAAGTTGGTTTATAACTCCAATAACTATGGTTTATGGTACCTATAACTATAGTCAATGGGGTTTATAAACCATCTTATAACTGGGGGGCCCCACATTGTGGTTTCCAATCCTTTCTTTTGTCCAAGCCTTTGGCGCGGCGCAGGTACGGCTTGGCGTGGAACCGGTGGTTTGCCTTACAACGCCATCTGGAGGTGCCGCTCCGATCCTGGTTTTTTTGGGATCCTGGGACGGTGCGATCTGTGGTGAGATCTGTGGTTTTATTGTTTAGCCAGCTTAGCCAGCTTTGATTAATGATTAATGATGGCTTTGAAATCTGATTAATGATGATTAATGATGATTAATGATGATTAATCTGATTAAAGGGTTATAAAAGGCCCCGAAATTTGATGATGAATCTGATTGATGATGATTAATGATCATGTTCCCTATAGATATGATTAAAAAATATTAAACATACATTACAATGTTCGTTTTTTGAGGCATCCCAGGCATCCTCCATTTCCAGACAGAGCCATATGGGGGTCCTAAGTCATGGGGGGACCCCAAGCTATCATCCAAGTTATATCAACATGTCACATGTCATTTTGTTCATGTGGGGAAACCCATGGAAACCCTGGGATGCATCTTCAGCATCCAGCTTGGACGCAAATAGGGATGGGCCACAGAAAGGGGCATTTCTCAAATGGAGGACACCAAATGGAGGACCCCAAAATCACTGGTTTCCTCGTTAAACGTGACTTTGGATCATGTGGGGATCCGCCATTTGAGGAAACCCTCACATCCTGCGGTCGACCGAAGGCCTACGAGTGGGTTTTCACGGCAGATCCAGATCAGCCGCTGTGGTTGAAACACTTGGAGGGATCAGATACCAACAAGCGATCCGGGTGAACTACAAGCACCTCACAACAATCCTATATGGTAAATGAATGTATATAAATGATGCGCAATGTGCTAAGAATCATTCGAACCATAGCTGATTTTTCGTTGATGATCGGAAATTGCCCAGAAGCAATGGGGAGATGGGGATGGATAGTTTAACGAACAATTCAACACCATTATCTAAAGAGCAGTTTTGAAGTCGAAAAAGGGTCAAATGGGAGATTCTATCAACATAGAAAGGCAACATTCTTAACCTTCACCCTTCCATAATGATTCACAACCATGAATTAGAATTCGTCCACGAAAATGGGAAATCGATAAGTTAGATTTGATTACCATCACATGGGAATGCATAGGGATATCTGCCCCTTAGGAATCTAAGCAGGCAATAGAACATCCTCATTTTTGATACTTGGAGAATCATTTGCAAACGGATGTACAGTAGTGTAAATGGATATTTTCCATTGCAAAGTTTGATTGCCCGAAGGCCTTAACGGAAGAAACCTTGGTGATATATTAAAATTACAGTATTGCTGGTAATGATTCCTCCATGGTTGGATGATGTTCACATGGAACATGTCACCACCGGTATCCAGCACCATTGTGGAGAGGGTCCGAGGTTTATCTCTCATCAGTGCTTCCTCTCCTATTCCTTTAGCGATGTCTTGCGTGAGGCGCTGGGGAGGAACAGCTTGGGTGGTTACAGCCAGTCCCAGTGGTGGTAGATTCAACATTGAATTCGTTGAATTCGTGATCTATTCATTCCTTTTTTCTACTATTCCATCCTCACTGTCTTATATTTTGTGTCAAATATTGGAAAAGTGGGAGGCAAACCCAGCCATGAAGCACCCCCGATTTACCGCAGGCGCAGGTAGCGCAGACGGCTTCGGAGCCACCCGTAGGGGGCCCTGGAGTGATCCGGATCTCTTGTTGGGATCTGCTCAAAACCTGGGGAGATGAAAAAGGTCATCCAGCTTCACTTCTAAGTGAACTTGGGATACTCTGTGAATTTTCTGTATCCTTTTGCTCTCTGTGTCCATTTCTGCTGATACGATTCGGATTCCAAGATGTGACAAGCATAAAATAATGCGATCGCAGCTCTACATGGCCCATGCTTGGAGACATGTCCATTGGCATTCCATGGCATTCCCCAGTTCCACTCTCCAGCATCAATTTCTTGAAAACTCAGCAGTGCTTGGTGAATGTTGCGCCGCAGGTGATCGTCATGAGGGACTTCCCCCACTTTCATTCCTTGAATTCCGCGGGCGTGTTCTTCAGAGGCGCTGTTCACCCGATTCACCCCGAGATAAAAATCAAAATGAGGGAAGGAGAGTTTAAGATTTTTTGTCGTCATTAATTTATAGTGAATAACTTCGAATAACTCATAACTGGGTGGGGCCACTTTGTACCAGGAGGCATATTGAACTGTCTAGGGAATGATCTAAAATCGTGAAATTTCAGGTTGCTGAACATAATTCAGCCAGATTCGTTAACCTTGCTAGTTTTTTGTTGGTTGCCACCCCCATATTTGGTCAGACATTGTAAACTATCCAGATACATCCAGATACGCAAAATCTGAATTAATGCAATTATTTGGAAATATTTGGAACATATAACATATCTCACAATTCCCATACCTGTTGCTTTGGTATCTACATGATCCATTTCATCCAGATATTCGGTTCGTACACGTATTATATATTATTAGACATTATTAGCCAGTGTTGATTTGTATCAATGTGCAACAATTTGCATATCCCCTATGATATTCCCGTTGGTAGATTGTGGTTGTATCCAATCTTATGCAGTAGTATAAACTAGGTTCTACAACATATGTAACATATCAATACATATCATATCTAATAGCTAGCAGCTATCCTATATCATATCCAATCAAAATCCCATCATTGTTGATATGTGTTATATCCACGTATACCCACATATATTCCCCATGTCTTTACCATATATTCTGACTGATGAGAAGAAACACACAAGTTGATAATCTTCATTATGACACTAATAACACGACAATCATTATAATCGACACAACATCGACCTGTTATTATTACAGTAGTAATGATGCTAAAAATACATCTAATAAAAACACACACACACATAGAATACATATCATAACATATATTTAACTGATTCGTTGTATGAACTGATTCTGATATATATATCATATAATTATATATATATTATATTATATATATTATATTATATATTTTATATTATATATTATATATTATATTATATTATATATATATACACGTCCGTATAGTATCCATATCTAACCCATTTTTTTTGACCCGTGGTCAGCCATTCCAGCAGCAGGATCCGAGGCGGCACGACTCTTCCTGTCACTGATGACCAGTTTTTTGGCGCGCGTAAAGGGGGCCGTGCCTTTTACATAGCTTGCTGCGTATAGAAACCAAAGTGTGACAAACGACCATAGTATATTATATTATGATATATGTATAATATAGATATATAAGATATCATATTATATCATATTACCCTCTGGTTATGACTAACATAGCCATGGTATAGATGGCCCATAGAAATAGATTGTTTACCTATTAAAAATGGTGGATCTTTCCATGGCTATGTTAAATAACCAGATGGTATATCATATTATGATATATGTATAATAGGTATATTATATATATAAGATATATACTGCGTATGCATATGTACCTTTTGTATCTATTGTGTATGTATATATCTATATACACTTACACTATGTAGATCTTTGCGTAGATATGTACATGCATTTGACACAATATATATATATATACCCTCTGGTAATTTAACATAGCTATTGAAAATGGCCATTTATAGTGAGTTTTCCCATCAAAAATTGTGATTTTCCATAGTTATGTTAGTTTACCAGAGGGTATATATAGAGAGACGTGTAATGGAGGATAAAGTGCAAGTGCTAAACATTTGGGAACTTTGCTTGCGAGTTTTGTCACTGTCGTGGCTGTCGCGGATGACCACCGTGAGGAAAGGTGGTCAGAGATTGGATACCCAATCCCATCCTCATAACACATCCGTTGGTTATGGTGCCAAATATTTTTTTTGTCATCATGTTTCATCCCTTGCGCCATAATTCCTGGGGGCATTTTTTAAAGGGAAAATTGAGGGTAATACATTGTTACATGCGGGTAATTCCTTGGTTAACTCCCACTTCAAGCGGCCGTTTACGGCCTGTGTGTTTTCACAGAAGGCCTTGGTACCTCGGATGGCCGAGGTCGAATGTATTGGCTCGGAATCGCTGATTTCGCTGGGGGGCCAAGGTGAAAGATGGTGATGGCGCCATGGGAATGTCATCCAATTCTTGGCCTTTTTGGGCTACTGAACATGATTTTTCTATGTCATAAAAGTTGTGATCATTGTTTATATATATATATATATAATATATATATATATGTATATGATCATCAACGTCGTTGTCGTCGTCATCATCATCATCATCATCCTCATCATCCTCATCATCCTCATCCAACAAAAAGTCACAAACATCAACGCCATCATCGTGGGAGTGATGTGATGACCCAAGACATCCCAAGACCAAGATGGGGTAACAACAGAAACAATAAACGATTGTCATTTTGAGTCATTTCGATATTTAACCATGAATTTGTAGGGTTTAGTAGGGTTTAGTCATCGTTTTTTTTTGGAAATGACTCTGAGTCATCATGGAAATCTCTGGGCACCATGGGGGGTTTTGGGGTTAACCACCATCAACCCGAACAATAGGGGCTTAGTTGGCCCCCTTTGGTGAGGGAATTGCCATCCTGTAAACCAACATAGATGTGGAAAATCACCATTTTCTACAGCTAAGTCATTTGTAAATGGACCATTTTCATCCATATTCCACATCTAGGTTTCCCCCAGGCATCGTTGGGGTTGCCTTCAGCGACCCCCATGGCAAGTCCACACCGAAAATCTCAGGACCAGACAGCCTTTGATCAAAGCATCATCGAGTTCCTGGATCTTTGGAGAAATGCCCGGCTTCCAAGTCATTCGATCTCCAAGGCAGTGGCATTGCTTGGACATGACCACTCTTCATCGGCTGCAGCGGATGACCGTAACAAGAATCGCAAATGGTCATTGACAGTGCTTGCCGACTCAAAGGAAACAAAAACTCGAGAATTGGGTTACAACATGTTACAACATGCTACAAACGTGTTTGCCAACCATTGCGTCCCATCATTGTGAGTTTTAACGGACCATTTCAAATTCGTTGTCAAACGACCACCATTTTTGGTAGGTGATATACTGATATACATACCATTCAAAGCGCGAGAAACGCTGCGCACGGGGATGGTTCCAGAGATTTGCGCTTAAAATGATGAAGAATAATTCGATTGCAAGGCTGTTAAAAAGGTGTTCACAGTTTTCCAACACTAAAACCCTATAAAACAGTGATTTTCTATACTTTTCTCATCTTTTCTCTATTTTTTTGTTGCGCAATGCTTGTGAAAAACATGTGGATTTTTTGTGGTGCCGCCATTTTTGAGGCCAAGGAATCAGGGCTAGGGAGCCAAGTGAGCCAGTTGTGGGCGGAATGGGGCGGAATCAGGTCGTATCATTCTGAGAAAATGCCATTCAAACATCAATGTTTATACTGGGGTAACATATATGGAACATATAACTGTGGAATACATACTGGGGTAATTGAATGTTTATACTGTTTATATGGATATATCCTCTGTTTATACTGGGGATTACTGGAACATAACTGTGGAACATATATGGAAAATCCATGGAACATCGTCAAACATCGTCAGGGCCATTTGAAAATCCATTTCCCATAGCTATGTTGGATTATCGGAGGGCATCCAATCTCAGCAGTTCCCCTCATGTCGTCATGTGAATTCCAGGATTCTCAACTTTTTCACCTGCGTCTTCCTGATGGGTTCTTGTTTTTCTGGCTGATCTAGAACGAAATGGAAGAAGACACAACATGACTTCTCATGCGGGTTTGTATCTCAATTCAGATGGCAAATGGTCGGAAAGATGGGAGTAAACATGAATTCCCGATGATTTGTGTAGATCTTTCCCTGAACCAATCCTTTTTTCTTGGAATCATGGCCCACTATGGCCCCACTCTGATCCACTGGCAGTTGACTGGTCACTTCGCGAGGTCCGACTTCTCACATAGTGCCAAGTTGGGAGTCCCAGAAAAGCTGGCGCTCGGCCTGGCAGTGGTGGCCATCTTTGATCCTGGAAGATCAACGCAGCAAAAACGAACAAAAGATGTGGAAAAAAATGGGTTTTGTGGGTCGATTTTTTTGTGGATTGGATTTGCAGGGTCAAATGGTCTCCGGACATTTGTATGTTTACAGGCTAGACAAAAGCAAGAGCTTTGCAGAACATCTCTTCTTGCTTTGATTTGCACGACTCGAAATGGCTCAGAGCTTATCCCCAAATAGATGACATGAAGTAAAAAGTCAAGACAGGCGTGAAGTGTGTACCCCACAATCACATGGGCTCACAAATAGTATATTTGGAACATGTTGCAACATTTTATACCACTTATGGGATTTTCCAGCCGCCTTGATTTTCCAGCGGCCTGTACCCTCCTGGTGGTGTGGCGTTGTGATCTACCTCTGAGGTGCGTGCGCTTTCAAACGCCCTTTGTGGATTCTCACGCGATGACCGACATGCGCCCAGGGCCCCCAGGGCCCCTGGAGGGCCCCCAGGGCTGGGAAATATATCATCATCATTCATCATCTACCACTATAGAAATATATTGGGAAATATATCATAATGACATGTGATATATTATGATATATGATTATGTTATTATATGATCATATATAATATTATATAATATCATCTATCTAGAAATACATGAAATATATTGGCAAAGTGACACCGGGGAAACATAGTGAAAGCAAAAAACCGAGCACCTTTGAGAGGTACTTGGGCTGCTGGCATGCCTTCGTCTGGCACCTGGCCGATCTACGGCAATGATGAAGGGTTTCGAAGTTTTGCTTTTGCTGGTGCAATTGCAGTTTCTCTTGGATATTCTATGATATTCTTGGATGCACTCAGAATTTTCTTGGTCAAGTTATTTTTTGTTGACCATGAGCTAGTTACCCTCTAGTTATTTAACATAGCCATGGTATAGATGGCCCATTTATAGATGGTTTACCTATTAAAAATGGTGGATCTTTCCATGGCTATGTTAGTCATAACCAGATGGTATTTTTTGTTGACCATGAGCCAGTTACTTCATTCTAAATCCGTGGGTCAAATCACCGCGTTTGCTGCTCCTTTGGTTTTGTATGTCCGTTTCTGTTGGTGAATTCCCCAGTTTTTGCTCGAAAAAATCATCCCCTCTGATTCTTGGCCACCTCATTTTCTCCTGAAATCAGCTAAAATTTGTTGGTTCCTTCCGCAATTTCGTTGTTTGAATCTCGTTTGAAAACGCGGTGAGCTCCCCACTTTTGGGTGAACTCCGAACTGGGCATCGCCCGAGATGCAGCAAAACTTTGGCCCCTTTGGTGCGAGAGGAGGAGATGTGAATCCGGAGGTTTTCCAGGGGGCGTGGCGAAGCAACGCTCACCATATGACCAACTTGAAGATGTTTGTGGTAAAGCTAACAATAATCCCATCATATATAACATTATATAACATCCTGTAACCAAACTTTGGGGATCTTTGGGGGGTATTTATGATATTTTATTTAATTACATCATTCCAGTCATGGGGATACAAGTAAAGCTCGCACAAGGCGAGTGGCGGAAGTTTCCATAGGAAATAGGAAGATGTATTCCTATGACGGACAAGTTTTGCCTACGGGAGTGGCAGCGATGTTTCGAATCTTCTCAACTCTTTCTCAACTCTTTCTCAACTCTTTTCTCACCTCTTCTCACCTCTTCTCAACTCTTCTCAACTCTTCTCAACGAATCGGAAGACATACTGTACCAAGCAACAAGTAACCTGGACGCAGTTCCAAAAGCACAAACTAGCTCGGCACCTGCAAACCAGCAAAGCACAGCGTGAGACCTCAGTTCCACTGCGCCCGCTTCCAGAAGGATTCCGCGCTAAAGCGGTGATACCCCCAACCGCCCTGCAACCGAGCCTACTTTTCCCTGCGCCCTGACACCCGTTTACCTGAAGAAAAACAAAGTTTCAAGTCTGATTTCTTCTCACCTCTTCTAAACCTTTCACAAGCTCTTTTCAACCTCTTCTGACCTTCTTTCACCTGTTCGCAACCTTTTCTCAACCCCTTCTCAACCTTTTCTCACCCATTCTCAACCTCCTCTTCTTAACCTCCTCTTCTCAACCTTTTCACTCACCTTCTCTCACTTCTTCTCAACCTCGTCTCAACCTCGTCTCAACTTCTTCTACTCTTCCCTGCTTTGCTCTGCTCTGCTTTGCTCCCTCTGCTCTTCTCTTATTTTCTCCTCTCCTCTCCTCTCCTCTCCTCTCCTTTGCTCTCCTCTCCTCTCTTCTCTTCTCTTATCCTCTCTTCTCTTCTCTTATTGACTCTACTCTACTCTACTCTACTCTTCTCTGTGCATTTCTTTGCTACATCTCTACTCTTGTCTACTGTACTCATTCTATTCTACTCTACTTCATGTTGAGCTGACCTTACTTCATCCGTAACTCGGTGTTTCTCTATGAACCTTCTTTTGATCATACATACCCAAGTTCATGTAGGCATGCTGCGTTGTTTCCAATCAATTGGATGACAGTTTTTTTTTTACAGGCAGCCCTTTGAATTGAGTAGCAACCACATGTTCGTGACGACCTTCCCCTCAAACACTCGAAGAACCATGAAGACCCCCCCAAAATCCAGTCCGGTTGTTGCGATCATTTTGAGGTGAAATCGATGAAGCAAATCATGAAAAAAATCCCATGGTTTCCCAAAGCCCATACCATGGAGCCAGTCGGAGCCAGGCTCCCGTGTGGTTCCTGAATCCGGAGCGAGCTGGGGAGCCTGATTTTTATGAGCTTTCCATAGCTTTCCAATACACAGCCGAATCAGATTTCAATCACTTGCAATATCTTGATTCAATTGATTGGTGTATATATATATATAAATAGTAATTATCCTATTTTATGATAATATCTGAGTATATTATATGGAGGTTTCCTAAGTCATGGGGATACCCTTCAGTTATCATCCTACTGAAGCGTCCATTTGAGTATTGAAAGCTATGGTTTTGCGGGTACCCCATTTTAGGAACCCCCGGGATCTTCTCAAAAGTTGAGGGGAAAGGGCCCAACTTCTTGCGATGCTAGTCGCTTTAGATTGATGTATGTAATATACCCTCTGGTAAATTAACATAGACCCTGGCAGATAGGGGTTGGAAGACTAGTTTCCATTAAAAATGGGTGATTTTCAGGGTCTATGTTAATTTACTGGAGGGTATATATATATATAGTAGCCCCCGAAAGACACAAAAGTAAATGTCTACTAACATATTTGACTAAACATGTTTATTTTTATTTTCTTACGGTGGCTATCTACGCGCATATATTACCCACAATCATTAAGGTATGGTGTTGATTTAATGGAGATATAATGTGGATGTATCAGCACTGTGATGTTTGGGTGTGTTTCTGAAAATTATATATACCCCACACACGATATTTGAATGAATAATATTAGTATCAACTAATCGACTAATGGATTTTGGAGTTGCCGTATCTTCAGAACTTATATCTTTTTTTAGATACATACTCATACATTAAAAAGAACATGCATGTATGCATGAAGTTCCCAAATATCTCCTTTTTACTCCTTTTGAAACGGCCTGGGCCACCGGGCCACTCTCGCTTCCACGGGTCCGAGGTAGATATCAACTATGTCATGGGTGGCCGTGCAACAGATGATGACCCGCTGCTGGACGGCATGGAGTTTTGAAGAGATTTGGAAGCCTTTCAGGAGGCTTTGCAAACTAGGAGTGGGTGAATTCTCTATTTAAGACTTGTTGGAAGGTTGGTTCATATTGATCATATTGGCATCTCTGACCATAGACCATGACATGCCCCTAAAGGCTTGACCCATCTTGACCCGTTCAGGTTGGTGTGGCACCTTGCGGGGAAGTTGAAATCTTTGCCCAACCACAGGGGCGAAAAGTTCATGGACCGTGGACGACTGGTGACCCCCCAGAAGTGGATGGTTAAATCTTGAGACCATCAACATGAACCTTCAAAAAATCTATGGATAAACGACAAGATCCATGGTCCGGAACGATGTCCAAGCAGAGTCTCAAAAGATATTGGTGGGGGTTGGCCGGGGGTACAGTGGCCAGGATGGGCAAGGTATATGCATATATTATCATATATTTACATACATGGTAATGTACATATATATATTATTATATATAATATAGTTATATAGTTATATAATGTTATATACAATATAGATACATACATATGCCTGTACATAGAGGCGACCGATTGCATTACCACCCCCCGTATCGATATGCATAAAAAAACACAGTAAATACCATATGAAACTGTTTCTCCAGGATGTTATCTTGTCAAGTTAAAATGCTATTAGATGTTTTTGTTTCCATTTTGCGGACATCGTGATGTCTAGGTGATTACAACTATATAGGATATATGCCTCCAGGATGAAGACAATGTGGTTCCACGGAGACGAACAATGTTTGATATAGTCCACATCGTGAAAACTGCAGACTGCGCTTTACAATGTGTCACATGGAATCGAGCATTGCCTGGGGTTCACACATTTTTGGGTATGTCCGTATAGGGTCAGCAATCCCTGATCATTTTCATTTGTGTAATCTTAGTCAAGTGGAATACCCGGTGGTCATACAATCGCATGCATGATAATATAATATAATAGTATATATGTATATATGTATATGTGTATATTTGTATATATGTATATATGTATATATGTTTATACATGCATACATACATACATACACATATACATATACATATACATACACATATACATATACATATACATATACATACATAAACATACATAAACATACATATACATACATATACATACATATTCATACATATACATACAAATACATACATATACATACATATACATACATATACATACACATACATACATACACATACATACACATACATACACATGCATACACATACATACACATACATACACATACATACACATACATACACATACATACACATACATACACATACATGCACATACATACACATACATATACATACACATACATACACATACATACACATACATACACATACATACACATACATACACGTACATACACGTACATACACGTACATACACATACATACACATACGTACACATACGTACACATACATACACATACATACACATACATACACATACATACACATACATACACATACATACACATACATACACATACATACACATACATACACAGACATACACATACATACACATACATACACATACATACACATACATACACATACATATACATACACATACATACACATACATACACATACATACACATACATACACATACATACACATACATACACATACATACACAGACATACATACAACAGACAACATACATACATACACACACACATACATAAACATACATACACATACATACACATACATGCACATACATACATACATACACATACATACACATACATACATACATACACATACATACACATACATACACATACATACACATACATACACATACATACACCTACATACACATACATACACATACATACACATACATACACATACATACACATACATACACATACATACACATACATACACATACATACACATACATACACATACATATACATACATATACATACATATACATACATATACATACATACATACATACGTACATACATATGTATTACATATATTTATATACACACATACGTCTCCACGTACACAGAGATTGTCCGTCGCTGCGCTACGGTGGGAGGATGTGCTTCTCAAGGACCTGTGGCACATTCCCGCTGAGAGGTGGGGAATAGCCTTGATTCATCAACGTGGCACCCGATGTTCGATGTATTTTTTTGATGAGTACCGTTGAGATGGCAATACCTGTTGGTAAGCCAAAAAGACAACGGTAAGCCAAAAAAACATCGAACATCGGTTGCCGGTGCCAAAAATACCCTTGGTTTTTGCTTCACATTTTTTTCATGTTGGAGGTTCGACAGTTTCATGGTAGGTGAGCCTTTGTCTCATAATTTGGATACGATTGCCACGACATCAGCACGACAGCATCACCATAGATGAAGGGTTTTAAATGATTGTGGCTCAAAATTATATGCCCTCCCAAATGGATGGGGTCATTATACTGCTACTGTAACCATTATTTTGTGAGTCCTTAAAAGTACCAATTTTCGAGGCACTGTCATATCGGGAACCACCCCAAAATCACCCAGTCCCATTTCCAGGGTGAACATGAAATCATTCGGCCAGTCCCTTGCGGCAATGTTTCTTGCAAAACTTGAACACCAATGGGCAAAAGAAACAAGTGGGATCCCAAAAAACTTCACAGCACAACATCAACATCTATCAACATGATGTCAACCAAGAATGGCATAATGGCACTTTAAATAGAATGATACCCCAATGACACCAAAATGACACCCCAGTTTTTGTCCAAGTCCAATTCGTTTCGGAGAGCTTCGTGGACTGGGACCAGGCGAATGGGCGAAGAGACCTGCAGCTGGTGGGAGAGCGTGGCGGAGCAGAACGCCTCGCTCTGTTCTCCCGGGACCAAAGTTGTCGAGACTTGGGTTTTTTCGGCTTTCCCGAAGAAACAATATCGGAAATGACGGAGTTAGTTGGATGGATGGATGGATATATAGATAGATATAACTTTAGTAAAATGTGGTTTTGTTATGTTTTGTTAAAGCTTATGATACCATACTTGGGGATCAACATCGATTTGTCAGCTGCTTGGAGGTTTACAAGCTATCAGACGACCCATATTCTGAATCATGAACTGTTCTATGAATCATACAAATTTACTTGGATTATCATATAGAGAAATCATCTAGATTCCAATAGATAAATAGATAATATAGTTTTGCAAAACATATTTGCACCTCACGCGAAGAATTCACAAATGTGGAAAACAACAACCATTCGAAGAGAAGCAAAACGGCCAAACCACCAAACATTTCAACCTTGTGGACACACCATATATGTTTGATATTCTAGTTTTCTCACATGGGTGGCTGTGAATTCGAAGCTGGTCGTACACGCAGCAAATAAGAGGACATTGACAGATACACCTGGAATGTGACGCAACAAGTTTTTTTTTTTTTTTTTTAAATGTCTATTTACAATATACAGGATATATCAAGATATATCGAAATATGGGATATGAACTATAGACTGTGACTATAACGATATATCAATATCTATTACCCTCTGGTAAATTAACATAGACCCTGAAAACACACAATTTTTAGTGGAAACTAGTCATTCAACCCCTGTTTGCCAGGGTCTATGTTAATTTACTGGAGGGTAAGATATTTACTATACTATATTTTTTAATATGTCTACCATATACACGATACATCATATATCGAAATATGGGATATGAACTATAGACTACAACGATAGATCACTATCTATTAATATATTTACTATAAAATCGTTGTAGATATTGATCTATCTATGTTAGTAAGTATCAATATTTATCTATTAAGATATTTACAAAACTATAGAGAGGATATAGAAAAATATCTACTAGGATAGTATAGTCAGTATAGTCCCATGTTTATCTATATACTATGGGATACCCTCTGGTAAACTAACATAGCTATTGAAAATGGCCATAGACATAGTGGATTTTCCCATGAAAAATGGTGATTTTCCATAGTTATGTTAAATTACCAGAGGGTACTATGGGATATTTACTAACACTTTCACCAAACAGAGAGGTGCCGGGCCTGCGGGCGACTCCAAGGACTGCCGGCTGGGCCACCTCGCAGCGTGTTGAAAAGGGGAGCGTTGCATGTTTTGGAGAGGTTGATGGCTGATCGGTGAAAACACACGTATATATATATTATTTGTGGATATAATATACATATATATATATTATTTACTGTATATTATATATAATTATATATATATATATATCCATGTATTATATATATATTATATGTATTATATATATATATTATATACATATATATATACATATTATACACATTCATTAACTCATTCCGACGATTTGCAGAGCTACAAGAGTTTGAGTGAATCCTTTCACGGTCCTTGCGCGGGCAGGTGGGGTTTAATCACATCTTCCGTGGCAAGGGCTACGGTCAGGAAGCCCTGTCCGGCGTCCGCTACGGACCTCTGGTGGCCGATCTAGCGTGAGGAAAATACCGGAACTTACCCTCTGGTTATGTCAAAATAGCTACATATTGAAAATGGCCATTTATAGTTGATTTACCCATTTAAAATGGTGATTTTCCATAGTTATGTTAGTTTACCGGAGGGTAATGGAGGTTTAATGAGGTTTGAATGGAACATCCCCGAACTAAATGGAGGGGCATAGCAGGGAAAATCAACTATAAATGCCATTTATGGGAGATTGTCCAGCAAACGATGTTTGATTACCAGAAGGTAGGTGAATTGAAACGATGGGACATGAAAGGGGAATCATCCCCAAATAAATAGGTATTTACCAACAGAAATATGGGATCGGATATTCACCAGGCTGTGTCTGAAAATGATGGGTAAAACCACTGAGACTACTTGCGCAGACAAGACTTGGAAAATTCCCAGAGAATTTCGCGGTTTCAATGACCAAAAAAAATTCTGTTGTCCGGCATGGCAATGGAACACCCATCATTTACATCCATTCATAGGTACCCTCTGGTAATTTAACATAGCTATTGAAAATCACCATTTTTAATGGGAAAATCCACTATTAATGGTCATTTTCAATAGCTACGTTAAATTACCAGAGGGTAGATTTTTTTTTCCATAGAATAAGGCTCTGTGTTATTGCTGCATTTGATTGTGCTAGCCAGTCACACCCCCCGGTTCGAACCGAGGGGATTTTCCACCCCCACTGACAACTGTGGTTGTAAGCTCCGAAAATCTCAGCCTATGAGGGCCCCGAAGAGAAGACAAGGGTTGTACTTGCGGTGGATGTTAATCAACGAATGGGTTTTGTAATCTAACTGGGGGTCCACTTTTGCAGAACTCTTCTGATTCAGCATGCGATGACACTCTGGTTTGTGCTTTCAAACATGGTTTATTTTCCCCCATAATTTTGGGATCCACAATGACAACTATTTGTTGGATAGGTTGCGGTTGGGCTGAAAAGCATTCACAGGCAAACACCACATTTGTGGGTCTATTGTCGCCCCAGCTACGTGTTAACATCCACTAATTTTCTGTCAAAATCTAAGGAACAAACCAAAGAGTTTGATGATTTTGAGGGCAAAAGTGCGTATACCTTCCCTGTTTAGGGTCTACTATTGGCTACTGTATTCCCCCATGTCCAAGCGTCGCTTCGGTGGTTTTTTCGCCAGGTGGTGGAATGGGCGACCAGATCTACATCCAGGCTCTGCACCCCAGCCCGTCGATGCAATGTTTGTTTCGCAGCTTTGGAGCTTCAAAGCTTTAAGAAGAGGGGGGTAACGTTTTCCATCTCTGGAGGTCGTGAATGTTCCGGGCTCCCAAACCAGTCACGATTTCGCAGCTTTTGCCAGGCAGATGTCGAGATAAACCAGGGGTCCCCTACCCGACCTGATCGCCCGAGGGCCATGCGGCGCCTGGAGCCTATGCCAGGGCATATCTGGAGGGTCGACTGGACCTGAACCACATCATGAACTTCCGACAGGAGGCTGGGAAAATGAAGGTACATATGGGTACATATATAGGGAACATATGGGCAAATATGGTGAAAACATGTGAAAACATGAAGAATAGGGGTTTAACATAAGCATGAAAAAATGGGGCCAGATGAGTGGAAGACATCCCTGAAGAGCCCTGAAGTGATTGAAAGTTCCAGGACATGTGCAATAAATGAACCCATTTTGGGTGGTTTTGTATACCCCAACACTTCTCAACGATTCGCCCAGGATTCAGGAAAGCTTGGGGTGGCAGGGATTTGAACCAATTTCCAACCTCCGCACCCCATGAATTTTCCGGGTCTTGTCATCTTGCGCACCGCACTCTTTCGTGTGTTGGCCAATTTTGTTGGGGTCTCAAAAACCACTCGTTTTCACGGGTAAACATGGTAAACCAAAAATCTGCGAAACTGGGTCCTCATTCATGCTCCATCTCCAGAGGAAAATGTTCCATCCGTGGTTTCACCATGAATTTTGGTTGCTTCGCATCCCAGGCCGCCTTGAGGTCGGTCAAATGTCGTACCAAAGTCGTGGTTTCAAATTTTGGGTACCTGCCGGGACCTGCCCAAAGGTCCTTTTTTAGTACCAAGAGCTATCCATAAATTGACCGAGGATCGCCCCGTTCGCTTGCTGAAATATCAGCATTTTTGGGAGATACTTGTCACGTGTGTTTTTTTGTTTGTTAACCAACCATGGATTCTTGATATTTACCAAGGTGAGTCACACTGCTACCTTGAATGGTCCAAACACCATGGTCGTTTATGTTGTTTTTGTGAAATGCGTCAACATCCCATTTCTCTCTGGTTCAGGGACTTGAGAATGTGAGAATCGGATTAAAAGTTGGCCAAACAATCACTATCAACATTTTTCTGGTTAAGTTTTCTTCAAAAAAATGTAGAACACAAAGTTTTCATAGAACAGGTTCAATTTACTCTCCGGTAATTTAACATAGCTATTGAAATCTATTGAAAATTGTCCATTTACGCGTGATTTACCAATTAAATTAAAAGGATGATTTTCCATAGTTATGTTAGTTAGTGTTAGTTTACCAGAGGGTACTAGGAGTTTAGATGGTACCAAGCAGTTTGAAAGGCTAAAATCCTATGTATTTTCCATAGTATTTTAGTTTGCCAGAGGATTTTACATGATTTTACCAACTTCCATCTGTCGGCACCCAGGTTGGCGGACAAGGCTTGTCAAGCTATCCTCATCCTCGGCTGATGTGGGGGCCTAGGGGTTCACCCCAATGGTTGAAGAATATGGTTACTTTAATAAGATTGATTGGGATATTTTTATGATGATTCAATGGTTTTTTTTTTAATGGTGATTTATATAGTGGGATTTTTTTAATGGTGATTTAATGGGATTTTCAGCATGATTTTTTCTGGGATTTTCATGGTGATTCGTTGTGGTAAATAACACCCAGTGACGTGGCCGATTCAACGCGGCTAGCTGGAAAATCCCCGAGACTGGAGGATTGAATTTTGGAGAAGGCATTTACCCTCTGGTAAACTAACGTAGCTATGGAAAATCACAATTTTTCATGGGAAAATCCACTATAAATGGCCATTTTCAATAGCTATGTATCTATCATGATGGATTTTACAGCAAGCCATGTTTGATTGCCAGAGGGTAATTTTTGCAAATCGTTGTTTCTATCGGTTTATGTTGGTTCATATGTTTTCTCACGTAAAGATAGTGAATAAAAACTAATTTGATCATAATGATAATGGTAATGAGACTACGATACTGCAATTACAATGATAATGTAGTGACAATGAAGTTTTGCAAGCAATAGTGGGCATATACTTGGATTATGATGGGACTACGATGGAAGACGATGGGTTATTAAAATGGGTGACCAAAAAGTCACTGGACTTGGTCATTTTCAATAGGAAAAGCAATCATATGCCATGGTTTTCGGGTACCTTAATCTAGAGAAATCCTCTTCACATAGTTTTCTGGTTGGTGGTTTGGAACATTTGGTTTATTTTCCCATTCAGTTGGGAATTTCATCATCCCATTTGACTTTCACATTTTTCAGACAGGTAGGCTCAACCACTAACCAGTATATTAGTATATGAGTATCGGACAAAATTATTAGCATTTGAAAGTAGTAGAGAGCTGCCTTGAACTTTGCTCGCCTTCACGAAACCTTCACAACCGATAGGGGACGACCCAGCACCGATACCCCTAGATCCCAACACGTTCCCACAATAATCTGGATTAGGGCGTTTATTTCTGCAGCAGCGGCTACAAGCAGGGCTGTAAAGAGCTACGTCAGCTAGCTTTCTCTTGGAGAGCACCAAGCATATTGTTTGCGGCAATTCATGCACCATTCTCACCGATACCTCAACCGATACCAACCGATACCCAATTTTGCAATTATTCTCGCTTGCCGAGACCATGTCCCACGTACTACTCTTGCTGCTACCTGCTACCGCTTTTCCTACTGCCACTACTGCTACTACTGCTACTACTACTGCTACTACTGCTACTACTGCTACTACTGCTACTACTACTAGTTCTACTACTAGTACTACTACTATTTCTACTACTAGCACTACTAGCACTACTAGCACTACTAGCACTACTAGCACTACTAGCACTACTAGCACTACTAGCACTACTAGCACTACTAGCACTACTAGCACTACTAGCACTACTAGCACTACTAGCACTACTAGCACTACTAGCACTACTAGCACTACTACATCTACATCTACTACTACTACTACTACTACTACTACTTGTACTTGTGCTTCTACTTATTTTAGTACAACGAGCAGCGCTTGCTACTGTATGTTATCAAAGAGCCAATATCTTCACAACCGATAGGGGACGACCCAGTTTCGCCCGTGGCAATTGCGGGGAACAAATAATTTTGTCCGCCACTCATATATATATATAGGTAAATTATAGTGACCTCAACTAACATTAATTACTATAATTCAATGTTAGTTCATACTGATTACAACCAGTTTTTTTTGTTCCCGTTTCAACCTTGGCAAACGGCAGGTGAGTTGTTGAAACCACCTCAAGACATTTTGGGGTTGAAGATGTGTAGTCTGTCATTTTATTAGTTGATGTTTAAGAAACCAAAGATTCACCAGGTTTCTGAAATATATATATTATATATATAGTATATATATAGTGTATATATATATGATTATATGATTATATATATATATGTAGTATATGTGTATATATATATAATAGTATTGGATATCGTATGTTGTGCAGAAAGTATTTTTTTTTGTGGTCGACCTAGGCCAGACTTCTGGGAGAATCCCACGGTGTCCATGGGCTTGGGACCGTTGCAGTCCGTGTGCCAGGAGCGATTTTTGGGCTGGCTGGGATACCAATGGGGTACCAAAATCGATGATGATCATCCCAACATGATGGGATTTACTATGGTTACTATGGTTTACCCTCTGGTAAACTAACATAGCTATGGAAAATCACCATTTTTCATGGGAAAATCCACTATAAATGGCCATTTTCAATAGCTATGTTGGTTTACCAGAGGGTACTATGGTTTACTGCAATTTATATGGGTTTTTGACTGGTGATCATGAGCTTCAGCACCCTATCAGGCCTAAAAGATCTCCAAATTCTCCCAAGTGCCTCGTTTGGATTGCTGAGCAACCTCCAACTCAGCTTCAAATTTTGGTTCTTTCAGGGCTCATCCCCAACAATTTTGTGATCAACTGCTATTTTCAAAGGGTACCTTCCTATAAAATACTGGATGATAAAATGGGGTACCCCCATTTTCGGAAACCTCCAATTGTACTCATTACAAATTGACACCACATCATTGATTGGGGCTTAGTTATCCCACTATTATCCTAAATTTACCAATGCGTATCCATCATATTCCAATTTTGTTCGTTACATCCCATTATATAATTATATATGTATACCGTATACACATACCCGTCATGTTCCATCTACTATCCGCAAGTACTCGTAACAATCATACATTCCCAAATATATAGCCCATATACATCACACGTAAATATATTCCTAATTCCCACATACACACCCTCATACTCTCCTGACATAATATATTTTCCCTAAATCCATCTAAATCCCAATCATCTATCCATACCATAGATGTGCTCTTCCTACTTGTTGCTTGATTAATAGAGGGGTAGATCCCAGTTTCCAATGGGTAAGTGATGATAAATTTTAGATCAGACCAGACTCTTTATTTTTTATGCTTGGTACTTTTCAATAGCAAACTGTAACAAATTACAAGAACATATTCTTCCATGCTTGGTACTTTTCAATAGCAAACTGTAACAAATTACAAGAACATATTTTTCAGTGATTAATCCCATTCATGTTCCTAAAAAAATGTCCCGTTTTTCTGAGTCTCATGGATTAATGTTGTCCCATTGATTAGTCCCATGATCACCCCCATGGCCCATATATCCCATTTGAATAGAATATCTCCATAGGATTACCCCCATGATCAAGCCCATAATTTATCTCTCCCAGAATTGGTGAAATCAACGGGAAATCCCAGGCTTGATCATGTTATAACATGGGAATATGTTGGGTTTGAATCATTGGTTCATTGATTATTCAGAAATTCTTCCCATTGGTCAATTGGTCCCATTGGTCCCATTGGTCAATCACTAAAACAATGTCATAATCACTGAATATTTTTTACATGGTAACCATGGGTATCATTGATTCATATTCCCATTCCCATTTTTCGGATCCGGCCGGTGCTGGTAGAAAAATGCTAACATTTAGATGGGGGGTTTTTCTTGATGGGATCCATGGAGCACCATATATAGCAGCACCATGGATCCGTCATGGGATTGGTTCATCAACGTCATTGGTTGATGAATTCGACCAAGGGGCTCCAGGGCTCCGGGGCTTGGCCCCAAGTCCTCGGGCCGCAACGAGGCGCGCTTCTTTCGCTATCTCCACCTCCGCGGCCTCGCAGACACCTCTGCCAGTCGCGTGTGGTCTGGGCGACCTGGGTGCGACCGGTCGCCCGCGCTGCTATGGAGGGAAAAACCCATGGGAAAATGATGGAAAATGGATGAACTATGGGAGATTTCTGAAGATTTTTTGGGTTGACTCACAAAAGACTCAGAGATGTTTATAAGATGTTTGTCGTTGATTTTGAGGGAGCTTCGATATTTTTTTGCTGGTCAATAAGAAACTTTACTTTAAATTACCTGCTGAATTTGAACTCCCCAGTAATTCATTATTTTGAGCAACTTTGATTTTGTTCCTTACTTCATCTCACAACTTTTCCGAGAATGCGTAAACAGGAAACCATTCAGACCACCCCATGGTTTCATTCTTTCACACATCCCTCCGTTGAATTTCCGAGGTGTTTCATCGGGGATGGCGAAATGGACGAACCTGAGACCATCTATGTCTCGACCTGAAGGGCCTGTCTCCAGAGGGATGGGGTGGCTGGAGTTCATCATGACTCTTCATGGTGCTAAAGCTATGAGGATGGGGAAATTGACCTAAACTTTATAGGATGGGTCAAGAGTATTGATCCATGGTTGTGACTCTTTACGACTCTACGTTTTGTTGCTTATTCGCCCCAAGATGCGCCAAGAACCTGCAGGTTTTTGCCTTGTTGAGTATTGGATCATCCCACTTTTGAGAAAATGATAGAACATGATATTGATCAGCACCCAAAAAAAAGTCACCAATCCCTTCCCCGAATTCCAAACCCGCCCCCGGAAAGGTACTGTAGCTTTAGTTGTGGATTTGTTCATTTTGGGTTGGTGCTTGGAGGGTGTTTATTGATGTTTATTGTAGAGATCTGATTATCATGTTTTCTTGGTTAGATGCCCCATGTGCATCCATGTGCGACAGTTTTGCAGAAATCCCCAGCCATCTCCAGCTTTGACTCAACACCTTGGCCCTCCTTGGCCACAGCGTTTCCCAAAGTTTTCAAAGGCCATTGCTCGTGCGGGCTACGAAAGGCCTGAAGCGTGGTTCGAACCGGCTGGGCGGATGGGCTGGGGTCAGCTTGGAAGCCATTCCCATCATACCTCAACACTATCAACCGAAAACCAAAAGATCAAAAACAAAGATGAAAACATCATGACACCCTAAACCAACTGATACCCTGATACCCATCACATGATGTCAACTCATTCCAAATACCGAAAACTGATACCACATGTAGATACATGTAGCTCTTGTAGACTTTCCTTTGGAAGGCTCAACAACTTAGTGATGATTGTGAACTGCAACTACCAGCGCTTGGACGGCCCGGTCCGTGGCAACTCCAAGGCGACGGAGATGATCAACCAAACCTCCCCTCTGGTGATTGAAGATAGACCCTGAAAATAGATGAACATAGCCAGAATTGAGTGGAAACGTGGAAACTCATCTTCCAAGCCCTGATTTGGCACGTCATGTTGATTTACTGGAGGGGAACTGTTACGGTTACGTATTTTTTGCGAGGTTTGGACCATTTTTCTTCTGGGTGTTTGCAAAATTCATTGACACCCGCGCACAACTTTGGGTGGTTTAGTGATGCTGAATGATCGCCTGGTGTCGAAGGTGGATCATCCAACTCTCCAACTTTCCAAGTTTCCAAATAGACGGTTCTGTTGCATTCTTGTCGCCAGGTTGTGCATGGAAAAAATCCATGAGCTCCAGATGGTCATTCTTCAAGCAGCCTTTTCACCTTAGCCCCAGCGACATTCCAGGTGATCCAAGAGTTTGAGGGAATTTTTCGCGGAGCAGGGCGGGAGGCCTCAGGTTTGGCACTGGGCATACAGCCATTCCCTTAGATTTCTAGTTTTGTTCGAGGGGATAATGGTAATTTAGACAGAATAATTTTGATGACACCACTAGGATCAAAAGTGAAACTGTGTTTTTCACCAGGGGAGCATGAATTTTTACCGGGATCCGCCCAGTTCATTTTGGAGGGGAAACAGATCGTTTTGACCCAGGAATCAAGAGAATCGGTCAGTGATCCATGGCTGACGATGGTGGAGGAATAGGCCTAGGGTAGCCCACTAGCCCAGTACTTTGAGGGACAATTCCATCAGTTTTTCCGAACATTTTTGTGGATGGTTACCTCTTGAACATTGTGATTTTGCAGAACAGCAGAGTCATGACTGGAGAGTCGCATTTTCAGAAGTTTCATCATGAAGAAGTTTCATTCAGTCTCATCCAAAAGTCTAGTGAGTTTAGTGTCAAAAACTCTGAGTCAAGCCATGTGGCTATGGATCAATACAAATTAATACCATTTTTAGTGGGTTATTCACATCCATAAATCCCAGCTATTTTGATGTGAACTACAGGGGTACTATTGGTTTTGACCCACTGCCATGTCAAGGCATGGCGCACTGAGGTTTGATTGCATCAAACTCATTTGGGGCGATGCTTGGAACGACCTGGTCGACAATGACCACGATGGGAAGCTCATCGAGGCAGGGAGGATGAACAAATTGGCCATGGCCATGGCCGCCATGGCTGACTCCTATCGTAATGAATCCCTTCCCAGCCTTCCATATATGGTTAATATTGGTTAATTATACATATATATATATATTAAATTATATCCCTAGGTTAGATTTAAAACCATGAAGAATCTGAACATCTCCCGTTCAATCGCCATTTTTCTATTCCCCTGGTCTACAGCTGGTGATTCTCCTGCAGGTCCTGGAGCGCACGCCCGATGGCGACTGCCAGCGCTACGCGGCCAAGCAGGTCGGCAGTCAGGTTTCAACGCGCTACGCTGTTGGATTTGACCTTGAGAAATGGAGATGGCGATTTGAACCTCTGATTGTCTGATTGTTCTGTATGCGGAAAATCCGTAACTAGCAGCTATTTCAATGTCAAAAACGGGTACCGGTGTTTTGACCAACAAAGGCATATGAATCATATGAGCAGCAAGCATGCGAATATCACCAAGACACAGGAATACATTATATATATATGTATACATGGGTAACGCACACATTTTGCCATCAGCACAACCAAGTTGGGGATGCGATTAGATTAGATACAGCCGGAGAAATCCTTTTCATGGAGGATACAACGATTCTGACTGCCACTTCTGAGGAAATATCTTCCCCAATGATGGAGCAATGGAAAAATCCAGCCATCTGCAGATTGTTCTCCCGGGGGGATTCATCATAGACTTTAGTCAACTTTAGTCTAGCTCAGGGTACCCTCTGGTAAACTAACATTGCTATTGAAAATGACCATTTATAGTGGATTTACCCATTAAAAATGGTGATTTTCCATAGCTATGTTAAATTACCAGAGGGTAAATCTTGCCAACAACCACACGTGGATCACTTGGGCAAAAGGCTGCTGTATGTCTTGCTGCTGGTGTGCAAAACATGTTTTTTGGTTTCCGTCGGAAGTGGGATGATTGGGCCCCACCATTCTTGTGAAGATTTTCACCTGTAAAAGTGCAGCTTGAAAGAGCAGATATTTGTTTCAGAAACTGATCCTGTGACCGCCATGACTTTTCCAGGCTCCATGATTCAGGAATCGGTAGAATCGAACTCACACGCCTATTTTTTTTGAATTCGGAAAATCATGGAAAATATGGAACAGACCATGATTTTATACATGACTATTAACTATCCCAGTACACATGAGAAAAACATGACGTTAAACATATACCCTCTGGTAATTTAACACTTTGCTATCGAAAATGGCACCTACTTTAGTTGATTTACCTAATATTTACCTTTTAAAAATGGTGATATTTACCTATTAAAAATGGTGATTTACCTATTAAAAATGGTGATTTCCATCGTTTTTTCTATGTTTACCATGGGATCTGATCCCCCTCTCCGACGATCCCGGGGATCCAGGACGGTGCTTTGATCCGGCGAGAGATCTTCGAGGCGATCCGCGAAGCACCCAGGGACAACATGTGCCCAGAAAAAATCCGATGATCCATGAAATATGGATATGGGTCAAAATGGAAGACCTAGGGGACCACAGGTGTTAGTCTAGTTGAGTATTAACCATCCAATTATTGGGGTACCTAATTTTGACCATCCACTATCCAATGGTTAGGAGGGAGCCAAGGAGCCAGGGGTATTCATATTCCCTATTAAATGGGGAGCCAAGGAGCTACTTAGAGTTTTCCAATCACCTAATAGTCCATGAAATATATATTGTATGATGGATATTATGATGAATATTATACGATATTATGGTCCATAATATTGTGTGATGGATATTCATTTTCATATCTATATTGTGAATATTAATAAGATGATCCATGAAATATGGAAATATTGTGAAATATGGACCATTGTAATAAGATGAAATATATTGTATGATGGAAATATATAATATTTTGAATATTAATAAGATGATCCATGAAATTGTGAAACATGGACCATCATAATAAGATGAAATGTATTGTATGATGGATATTATGGTCCATAATATTGTGTGATGGATATTAATATTAATATCATGGATAATCATATAGTGTATGATGGATATATCATTATATGGTCCATAAAATATGTTTATTGTTTTTTTTTTTGTAATATATTAGATGATTCATATATTAAGAACTCTAATATACTATAATCACAAATTTAAGACGATTTTGATGAACATATTGAGGTACCCCCAGAATACCTCTAATATTAATCCACATATCCACCATAGTGCCATAGTGATGATCTATTTTCCTGCAAATACTTATCAATATCTTTATGAATACTTTCAAGAATCATCATGTTTCCTGAATTTTAGGATATACAAACCGTTTTCAGACCCTAATATTAGTTCATTTGTCAACGCATGATACAATGGAGATTCCTCTTTGGCACAATGATCAATGTTTCTTGGGGCAGATACATACAGTTTCTTACTCTCTTTCCTTTGGAGAGCATCACCGGGACCGCTGAAGGTTGAACCCAGGATTTGAAAACATAGAATTTCTGGTGTGTTTCTCATTCAGCTGGTTGCGGCTTTTTAAAGGCCCTTTTCACACGCACGTTGAACACCTGACATGGGGCGCAGGATGACACTCTCAGAGTGCGAACGAATCCATCCATGGCTTTCGCCTGGGTGGATGATGTTTTTAAGACTGATTTTGCTGAGAACGCCCGTATTTCAGCGCAGCATGACACTGCGATCCTTGCATGGCTTGTGACTTGTGATGTGTGCGCATGTGAAACACGGCAGTGAACCTTCCATGTTTGGGGATGTGTCCAAGCCCTTTGCCGGTGCTCTCTCCCCATGCCTGACGTGCAACATGTCAATGTTGCACACTGCACACCATCCTGGTTTTAAATCAAGGCCCAGTCAGGGTGAAAAACACCATGGCCTTTTTAATGCTAAGATCAACCCCCTCTTTGAGTTTGACCTCACCATGTTTTTGCTTGTTCTTGAAATTTGATCCCCGTTTTGTTCAAGACCTTTTTGTCGATCCCTTTTGTGATCCAAGGACACAACTGATCCCGTACGTGCCATAAAGCATTGACAAATAGGTGACAATATCCGACAATCATCCAAACACAAACAATTCCAATTATATAGATCCAAAAAGACAAATCTCACACTTTCCACTCAATCACCATGAAATCATCATCCCTTATATCTCATTAAATCGCCATTAAATCATCATGTCGAAGCCTGAAATCACGATAAACTCACCAAAACTGCAATAAAGTCACCATCAACTCAGCATAAATTACCACAAAGCCACCATCAAATCAACAGAAAAAAGGACACCATCGACCATTTTTTCATTCAGCCGGTTGTAGTTCAGAACTGTGCGGACATGCAAAGATACCAGCAACCCTAGTCACAGAGGGCACCATCACTATAAGCATAAAGTCTCAAGAACATGGTAACATCACCATAAACTCAGCATCAAATCATCAAATCACCATGAAATCACCATGAAAATAAGCATTTCTTCATGGATTTGCGTTGTGGGTCCCCGGTTCCCATAGGCCAACGGCTTGGCGGACCGCGTGGCGCACTTCTCGGACGACGAGCTGCTGTCGGCCTTCATGCTGCCGGGAGGCGATGAATGGCGATGATCCAGTGATCCATTCGATAGAAGCCTGGCAAGTGATTGTTATGGTTATATGATGTTATATGGAATATGGAATATAATGGGTATTATTGATTATATGCTATTAGTGATTGTCATTATATAGATTGTTATGGGATTATATACTACTAATATATTATGGTTATATGGGATTATATAATGGGAATATATACCAATAAATATGGAATATGGATGAATATGGGTATTATATGGGATTATATATTACCCATTAGATGATCCCGTTGTTAATATATGGGTATTATATGGGATTATAATGGGATAATCGTCTTTATAATGGGATTATATACCAATAATAGTGGTTAATGATGGTTAATGAGAATAAACTTGATCATCCGATCCAGTCTTAAAACCATGGGAAAACCAATGAAATGTCTATTAAATCTATGAAATACCATATTAAGTACTGGCTGATCATCGATGGACAATCACAATTTTTCATGGGTAAATATGGGTAAATCAACTATATCTATGGCCAATGTTCAATAGTTATAGGCTATGTATGGCTATCTGGTTGGTGGTTTGGAACATGTTTTACCATATATTGGGAATCAACAGATCCCAACTGACGAATTCCATCATTTTTCAGAGGGGTATCCCACCAACCAGAACTTGATCATCTAGATTTTGATGATCCATTTGTTGAAGCCTCCAGTCCCATCAGTTGCTTTTTGAGTGCCGACTGGCACCGAAGGCCATGATCACAAGAAGATCTACGCGGCCATGTCCCAGGTACGCTCCCAGGTCATGAGACTGTGCTGGAGAAAAGTGCGGAAAACATATTGGATGCACGCGGAAAGCATATGTAATGTGTATGAATATAGGAATATAGATACAATATATATATATAGTTATACATATATACATTATATATATATTATAACTATACATGTATCATATATCATATCCCCTGATCTTTTCTCCATATCATGGGTGGTAAACATCTAGTCCAAAATCCAGATGTTTGATGATGTTTGCTAGTTCAGTCCATATTCTATCCCCATTTGATCCCAATGTTGGGCCACAGCCAGATTATTCACTCTCAGAATGAATGGGAAAGTTTACAGTAAACACCCGTGTTCATAAAAAAGCCATGGTTTCAACCGCAATTAGATTTTCCCGTGACCCCTTCCATTGAATGATAAAAGCATCAAAAAATGTTCGAATGTGTCAAGTTTTTTCAACTTTTTCCAACATTTTCCCAACTTTCCCAACGTTTTCAACCAAACCCATCTTTCGAAGTTTTCTTTAAAAAACCCACCATGGCCCCTACGGCCGAGGCCGCCAAGAACGCTGAGACGGGCGGCCGCCCCACGGTGATCTTGGCCGGTTTCACCCAAGGAGGGATCTGGTGGCATCATATTGTGATACGAACCAGCGAAGATATGGTGAACATGATATGATATAATATAACATAATATATTATATATATTATATATATTATATTATATATTATATATTATATATTATATCTTATATATTATATATTATATATTATATATTATATATTATATCTTATATCTTATATATTATATATTATATATTATATATTATATATTATATATATAGTATATATTATATATATAATATAATATAATATAATATTATATTATATAATATAATATATATAATAATATATATATATATATAATATAATGATATATGATAATATGATGTTTGATTCTCTACATGTATAGTATATATATATAGGATTTTGGGGTGAACCAACTCATGAATGTGTGTTGACTCTCACAACTCAGGGTGACCCCCTGTGTTTAAGGGCGGGCTGATGGCAGAATATGCGCGGCCGGTGTAAACTTGCAACCAGGCAGAACCACCAACAGAGCAAAAAAAGAAGATGTTTCGCTCCATCTTCAATTGGTTGTCATGATCGGAATTTGCCACGTAGCAATTGTATGATTTTACTCTTGGTTTCCTCCAACATTACACCAAGTTGGTGATTTGTTGTTTTTCCTTGGGGGAGATGCCCGTCCCAGTCATGGTATTGTGGGAAAGCCTTTTCTTTCTCGCCAGTTGTTGAAACAAAGTAAAATGTATCACTGTTCTTTCTTTGGCGTATTCATGTCTTTCTCATTTTCTACCTTCACTGTTCATTATAGTTTGTTTTCACTATTTCATCTTTTATTCCTGTCCTGTTTTTGGACTTGGTCTTTGATCATACTTATCTCAGTGTAATTTTTCTATGATTCATATAGTGTAACTTTAATTGTTCATTTTTGTTTTAATTTCATTGTTTTGTTTATATGTTTGTATTTTGTGTTTTTTTTTTGCGCCATTGAAGGAGGGTGGCTTGACACTGCAAACAAAGCGAATGAATGTGTGGATGTGTTTTTATTTCTGCCATCAATGGGGACATCTTTCAGAGTCTTGAAGGATATTCTATGTAGTTTCGCCAGGTCAGCCTTGGATTAATAGAGCCCTGGGCTGTTTATACAGTATCATTTATGTGGTCGGTGTAGCACTTTTGCCGGCACTAGATCAATTAACACACCAGCTGGAGGGGTTGTTTGAAAATCAGGATTCACTGATTGATCATAATTTTCTTTATCAAAATGATATCTTTTTGGATATACATTCATTTTGAAACGTATTGGAGGTAGTAGTCTGTTAAACAAAAATGCAATTCTCTCAGTGGTATTCAAATGACATGTCTCTTGAACAGGTTCCATTTTTCCCGGAAATATCGTTGAATTGAATTCTCACAGGGTCTGATATTTGCCACGGAAAGCCAGCGTTTTTCATCGTTCATGCCATGGACTCTGAGATGAATCACTTTCCGAAGGGGTTTTCCCATGCTCCACATCTTTTTGTATGTTTACCCTAGGATATACAATATAGATTTATTATATAGATTTATTATATAGATATATGATATATTAATATATATATATACATATTATGTGTGTATATATATATATACATAATAAATACTGTATATTATACCCCTTGTCGATTCCTCCGGCTCCGTTTCCCAAGGCCAAGACTTTAAAGGGATTCTCCTTGGCGACCTTCCAGGGCCGCAACACCGCCAAAAACCTCAGTAAGGACAAGGATTGATACATGGCTAATGATAATGGGTGTTTTGATATATTTTAATGGGAAATTCATCCATAAATGGAGGTTGTTATGGATGGAAAATCATCCATACATATCATAAATGATGGTTTTCAGAATGGTGAAGAGTGGTTTGTTGAAGAGTCAATCATGGTGATTAATGATGATTACCATCTGGTTATTTAACAGTTCGCCATAGAACATCACTATTTTTAATAGGTAAACCATCTATTTTCATGGGCCATCTATACCATGGCTATGTTAGTTATAACCAGAGGGTAATGATGATTTTCATGGAATTAGCCTCCTTTGTGTCATCAAACCTAGGACATCCCGTGTCCTAAATTGGGTGACGCACTTTCCAGCTAACCACACCAATGATTCCCCGAGGGTAATGCGATTATCAACAATTCAGCAATCTTCAAAGTCTCTGTTGATTGATGATTAAGTATAGTTTTGTTCTACTAGATATGTTGGGGACTATCCTCTACTTGTATGGAAATCCTCATTAATATCGATTGACCAACCAGTACAATGGAAGGATATGGAATGGCAGAGGGTTTTGAACATTGCGGAAATAATATCATTATGCAATGTAAAGTTGCCAGAGGTAGCTATATAATTTGTTTGAATTTGAAGCCATCATGGTGCATATAGCAACTAGGTTTACAGTATCAATTCAACAACTATATAATATAGTTGCATGTATATATTATATATATAGTTGATAATGATAATAATGATAGTCATCATCACCAAACCACACCCAACATGACACCCAGATGAAGTACACATATCTGGTTTTGTGGTTCGAAATATTTGTGATTTCCCACCCAACGAATGGGATGATGATGATGGTGATGATGATGATGATGATGATGATGATGATGACAATGATGATGACGATGATGATGATGATGATGATGGTGATGGTGATGGTGATGGTGATGGTGATGATGATGATGATGATGACGACGACGACGACGACGACATTCCCTATTGACTTTCGTATTTTCCACTGCCGTTGAAACCACCAACGAGATAAACATTACAATTCTTGTACCAACCGCTAGGTATCATGATTGATCAATAGATATACGAACATGATGATCATTATTATCATTGTGTTTCAACAATTAGTTGGTCAAAATTAGTTGATAGATGTTGATAGTGATTGCAATGACAGTGATACTAATGAACCATCATCCTCATCCTCCTCCAAATCATCTGCATCCTCATCCTCGTCCTTATCCATATCCGTATTCGTTCATCACTTAGGATTCAGGATTGGTTTCTGGCGGAACAACACCGGGAACATCAGTCCTCTATTGACACACACTTTGGATCACCAATCCATTGAGATCACCAATGGATTCACCCGGAATCTCCCAGGTCCATCAGCAAAAGAGTCTGAAGGTGGATGAGGTCCGAGCGCCCTGTTGGTGATTGGTTGGTCACTAAGGGTTTGAACCATTTTGAACCATAGATCTGGGTAAATTATAACGACCTCACTGCGACCTAAGCCTGGAATCATGGTTAATAAGGGAAATCATCCCCAAATGGCTTTAACTCAGGTTAGTGAGATATTATAATTTACGCAGATCAATAGATTCAGTAGATGGAGATATAATGTGATATAACATGATATAACTGACGAATGATGGTTGGTTGATGATTAGTTTGGGAATATACTACCGTTTGTTTAGTGGGGATTATCCTAATCCATGAAGTGGGAATCCTAAGAATCATGGAATGACGGAAGGTTTGAACACTGCTCAAATGGTTGTGGTTACATTGTACATGTAGAGCCACAGAAAACTCACAGGGTTCTGGTTGACTGATGGGTTATGTTACAGGGCTTCGTATTTGGTGTAGGTGTTCAACATCCACATATCGGTGTCTCTGCAAATGGGGGATATCCCAAGTTGTGGCCATCATGGAGAAAATCATATGATAAATCCATCCATCCTTTTGTGGTAAGACAAAGCCGCATGCAGCCGCATGCATGATGGGCTCAGAATTTGTTGGACGACTTGGGAAGTGCTCAGAATTTGGGCTCCGATGTTTTGGGGGCTTCAATCGGGCCGTCTCCCGCCACAGATGTTGAGCTTTCGCGATGTCCTGGAGATTCCCCTAACAGATGAGCAGATCAAGAATCCGCAGGTGCCCTCGCTGGAGAGGATGATTGCTGTTGGATCATTTTGCTAATCTTGGTGCGTTTTACGCAGGCAATTTTCGGGAATGATCCAGCAATCATCACATTCGTAATGTCATCATCCCAGCAACCCCCAGCAACCCATCCAGCAACAAATTCGCCGTGCATTGACGGTCGAGACCATGGTCTCCATGACATCGCGCCAGGGGGGTGAGTTCTTCAGGAAACCAGGGCCGGATTCTCCAGAGGCCGGGAGGCCGGGAGAGGTTGGCTGTGCTTATGGTGAAAAATCAGGATCCCTATCCGGCCCTATCCGTTGTTTTCGCCAAATTTTTGGTTGAAACATGGTGAAACCCAATAAAATATTGGGTTACAGAGAGCATTGAGTCAATCTAAGTCAAATATTACCATGATATCCACTAAGAAAGCATTTGTGTATGAGCCAATGGTGTGAGATTGGGCTAAAGATTGGATTCAAATTTGATTATTGATCAACCAGCAAAAATGTTGGATATACACATGTATATATATATACACATCGTATCAATGTCCGATTCTATATTGTTTGATGTGCACCCGATATCAAAGATGTTTGGTCGGGTCTAATCCCAAGTTTGATTGATCACACAGGCCTCGTGTCGAGATGACCCCATGCACGGGAAGTCGATTTTCTTTACTTGAAACTACTTGAAACTATGGACAATGGCAATTTGTTAGTAGTACTGTAATACTGAGTCACTCTTTCTCTTTCTCTTTCAGGCTCAAAAGGGTACTGGGTCACTGCTGGAAAAAAAACGACATGATTCTTATCGTCTTTGACACAGACCATGTTCTGCACCTAAATTGAGTTGTCCGTGAACTTGGTAACGGACTGTGACTGTTTCGCTCTTTCAACATCAGGTGCAGTACATCATGAACAACAGAGAGAAGTTGGGTGGTTGCTTACCGCTTCGCACTCCTGCCAAGGTCGGTCAAAAACCTGGGGGTTGCGGCGCACGGCATGCCCACTGAGACTTACTTACGGACCCGTAGTAACCGTAGAAATATCATAAGTGGGCTTGGAACATATTGGAATATATTGGAACATATTGGAACATATTGGAACATGATTATCCGGTTAGACATCTAGATTAGATGATATCTTTGTTGGGTTTCGCGTTGGACTGATGTGCCCACACATGGCCAGGGAAAATCACCATGTTTGGATGTGGCCAAACAAGATCAGACAAGATCAGAGGATATGCCAGGGTGCCAGGGTGCCACGAAATCTGTTCATCTTCCAATCCAACCTTTGATGATTACTCACGCAAACCCATTCTTCGGGAGTCTAATCCCATTTAGTGTTGCTTCAACCAGCCATATTCTGTGAGGGACTGTGTAGGGCAGATTTGGCGACTGAAAATTCATAACCCCTGAAAATTGGGAGGTTTAGTACTAAAAGCAGGGCTGCTCCAACTATTCATAGGGTCTGGGTAAATTATAACCACCTCACTGTTCTCCCTCAATGAATGATGGTTAGGATGGTAACTATCCCAAAACAGCCGAACATTTCAGGTCAGTGAATTGTATAATTCACCTAGAAAGGTTAATTCCATATCTTTATCTACCCGTTCACCTCTTGTATCTGGAGTTGGTAGCAACCATGAATCCCACCCTCTGACAGGCCCTTAAAGTTTCATGCATTGGTGATTTTCCCCTGGATAAAAAGAGGATTTCCATTGCCATCTCTCGTGACCAGAGGGTAAATATCTCCATGGTAAGATTTGAATCCATCTCAATCTCCTTTTTTTAGTGAGTGAATTTCCTTTCCTCTGTTGAATCCTATCGATAAAGTTCAAGAACAAGCACATTTATCTCTGTAAAATCTCTGTTTAGCTTAAAGCTGGCATTGATGTTGGTTAAGCCAGTCCCAAGTCTCAGCCCAGTTTTCACCAAGCTCCCGTCGTCTGGCAGATCAGTGGCTTGATCGACTTGCCGGACACCGAGCTGTTCAACCTGCGCCTTGGGCGAAACTGGGGACTGGCATCGTCTGGCTGAATTCGAACCGAACGCTACCGAAAACTGGCAATGAGAACTATAGTTGGCTCAAGGCGGCCCGGGAAGGCCTTATTTCAGGTTAGTTTTTAAATGGCCTTATTTCAGGTAGCCATAAACGCATTAACGCCCACACGGTAAGCCCGGCGGCTATGCCGGATGTTTTTTTTTTTAATAAATGTGTTTTTTTTGATTGGTTTGTTTTTTTTTGCATGCTGGCTGGCCCACTCTTCACTGAATTGCGTTTGGGTGCCGTGAGCCTCTGGAAATTGGTGGGGCATGAATTGAGGGATGCCCTAGCTTGAACTTGGTGACCTGCAGGGAAGAACTTGGCAAGTGCTGTGCCCAGCGTATCTCAATGCGCTGACTAAAATTATGAGGACGCTCCAGGACACAACTGCAAACATGGCTGTTCAAAAACATTTGCATTGGAGAGTGACAATGAAATTGCAATGTCACAGGCTTGTTTTGTTTCCAGTGCAATGGATTGTGGGCATGGAGACTTGTCCTTTCCAGTCTAGTTAGTTGGGATCGCAAAGGGCAGGCCCAACAGCAGTGGAAATTGCGTTCGATGGCAGCCATTTGCGCCCCGGGCACCGATGTTACTACACAAGGGCTTTTCTGATGGGCATGGTTCTGAGAACGAAAGGCCCGCCAGTGAGCTCACCTACAGCTTCCGGGGTATCTTGAACAGCGCTTGAGGAAACGAGAAAGCAACACATGGTGCAAGAAGCATTGCTTATCGTTCACCTAGGCACAGTAGGCTGCACGGGAGAGGAAAGAACAGCTGCAGCTGCACCGAAAAATGCACCCGTTGCCGCCGAGGACGCTGCGTTGTCACAGGTCTGGAAAACACCTCAGAGGATGCACCCCTTCTGTGGTTGTCACATGCTTCAGGTTCTGGAGACGCAGACACCCCTGGAGGCAAACTGGTCTGTCCATGACATCCAGAATTTCCCCTTCGATCCAACATGGCTATAAGTACCATTGCGAGGCCTATGCTTCACGCCGGTTGTGTCTAGGTTCATCAATGCAGGGAATGTAGGTTTGGCTGTGGTTTCGCTCTCGGAATGGCTTATTGGCAACAAGCGGTTGTGATAGATGGTGGCTGGCTCTACAGTTTTTGTCATCGCAAACTCGGCTGGTGTGATGACCCCTATGGTCTTGTCAAGTGTGCACGGCACCTGATGGAAGCCGTTGCAGCCTTGTTGTCTACTTGAATCCGCAAGCACCAAGGCTTAGTGCCAACATCTGCTTTGAGTAGGCCGGTGAGGGGCGAAGTAAACAAAGACCTTAGGAGCAGAACGCCGGGGCTCAAGGCTGGCCACGGGAGTTTGCACATGAGGCCAGGAACAGGGGAGTCCATTGGTACGTGGGCAACAGAGTTGCAGACATTTAGACTACCAGCAATTGCAGGTAAATGTATGGCAGATAGAGGCCCCGATCACCAAAACGGACATTTGAAACACACATGTGCAGGCGCTACAGCAAACACCGCTCAGCCACCATCTGGGGCAAACTATATATTTCGCAGTCAATCAAACCGAAGCATCTTTTTGCCTCAGACAAGCGACGCGACCATCCTGGCAGCCTTGCATATTGTCACCAAGCGTAAGCAAAGCCACATGCTCAACTCCTGGAGCAAGTTGCCCGTGAAGTGGCAGGACAAGCTGGCAGTACGAGTCTCAGACAGCGCAGTTGCTTTCAAGTTCGTCAGTGACAAAGAAGACAGCAAGCACATGTCCTCCACGTCCTCAAGTGCTGCTTCGGTGATCAAAGGCAATTGGTCAGCAGGGTGGTGGTCACGGGGCAAGCGCTGCATGCCAGGGAATTGACACATTTCGCCGCAGTCAAGAGCAAATTCCCACATGAAGGAGGTAGGCGTGAGGGAAGTAAGCAGGAAGGAATTATTCATCCGAAACCAAAGATGTACCAAAATCAGAGCGCCGTCCAGGGTTTGCCAGGACCTTTGCAGGGTGTGTCTGACATGGCGATAACCTTCCAAAAAGCATCCCATCCTAAATGGACCATGGCAATTAACCGGAAACGCAGCTTATATAAAGAGTAACGAAAGGGGTTTCTTATAAATTGTTACGGAGATACTTAACATGCCTTGTTCAGGCACATCCATGGGAAGCGTCGCAGGCTTGTAGAGGCTGAGGAAGCTTGATAGAAGATGTAACCGAGAATCAGAAGATCCAAACGCTAGTGCAGCCTCAGGCCCTGCTCATGCCTTGCACAGCCTCAGGCCCTGCTCCTGACCTGGAAGTAGCTGCTGCACCACCTTTTGAAAGACGCCCCAGGCCAGTTCCTGAAGGAGTTGAGCTTACAAGCCATGAGCTGGCAATCTTCGAAGCTTGGCCGAGAGTAGTGGTTTGGAGCACTTTTGGGCAAGGATAGACTCCAAGGGCTACGAAGGCCAGAAGCTTGAGAGCTTGCAGTTGGCCTGGGCCATGGCAGTTGAGAAGGGCTTGACAAAGCACATCCGTTTCACTTGATTTCAATAGTGGTGTGCAGTGAAAATAACAATACGTGTGGTATTCCTTATAAGTAGATCCTTTCATGTCAGGGGCTTAGGTGGAGAGAGTGGCAACTCTAAACGTGGATATGGGTTATGAAAGAAGAAGGGTTGGGCATCTTATTGCTGGCAGAAACCCAGGTTAACATTGCAAGCATGGCACCCCACAATTACGCTGCGCTTATCTTCAGCAGCGGGTCCAAAATGGCAGGTCTGATGGCAGGTCTGATAGGGGAGTTGGAATGTCCATTCATTGTGGGATAAAGCGGTTTCTGTATGAAGTAGGGCAAGAAAACGACAGGATTATGGTCATCCGGTTGAAATGTTTACTTTGGATCCAGTTGAGCTTTCATGTCTGGCTATATGCGCTACACAGCAGCCACATGACTGCAGTATAAAAGAAAGTTTCTACATTGCTAGCGAACTGTACAAGTGGTTTTGAATGACTGGCGGGCCCGCGGCTACCTACCCAAGTGTCTTACTTCCGCATTGGTGGTTCCCGTTTGCAAGAAAGCCTTCAAACGATCGTTCTATTTCTTTACTCAATTCAACGTCTCCTCTGCCGGGGCCGGTATCCAAAAAGATGGGGGCCCGACCAGCGCACAACGCGGTTTCAGCCCATAGAGGTTTACCTTGACGCTGCCCACATAGCTCGAAGGCTGCAGGCGGTGGTCAGAACAGGCAGGTAGGCATTTATCATTGTTCTAGATTGGGTTGCAGTTGAATACAAAGTCCAGAAGCCAAGCTGTTTGGTTCCACCAAAAAAACTTTGAGCATTTTCTTCGGAACCGCCAAATCCCTGTACCAATCACGACTTTTTCGCGCACGATCGATACAGGAAATCCCGCTTCAAAACCTGGCGCATGTGATCCGTCAAACTTTTGCTGCAGTCCCCTTACTTGTTTTTATTGGTAATGACGTGTGTGCTGCGCGAAGTTCTGAAGCACATGGAAGATTGTTCAGAGTACTATGGTTCAAAGCTTGGCTGTGCCAAGGGCACTTCTTGAATACGCTTCGTGAGCCGAAATTCATGTCAGAGATGGTGCTGCTCTGCATTAGGCGCAAGAAACCAGGTACTTGTGAAGCGCTTTGATTCACACTGTGAACCTACAACGGGCAAGTACTCAACGAATTCAGGAAGCAATGATGACTTGGCGAAGATGACCTCTGTTCTGGAACGCCTTGGCAACTGGTCATCTATGACGTGGCTATGGCACGTGAATTGCTTTAGAATTTCGAAACTCTATATCTGAGTCAATGTCTGCAAAAAAAATGGAGACCTTCCATGTAAGTGGTTTGCGGCAGTTTGGGCATTGCCTGCCAATTTTACCTCGGGCGTGCGAACTGGCCTCTTAATAGTGCTGCTGTTGCGGCGTCTTGTTGCCGTCTGTGCGAATCTTGCTTCCCAGCTTGGCCTGGCAGAACAAGGCGAACACCATCGTGTTAGCACCAGGACCTCATTTCACAACTGCTGGCTGCGGAATTTATCCACAGCGCAACAGAAAAGGATATATGATACGATATATTTCAGTTTAGTGAGCCAATTCAGCCAGACTAGTTGATTCCATCGATTCGTGTACTTCAAGGCCGAATTTACACGACCCCAAGTCTCAGGGTAAACCCTGTAGACTTTGCTTGAGCCAACTCTGTGATTGGTGGAGGGATGGGAAAATTTGCAACTTGGGGCAGATAGACAGGGCTTTGGTGACTTACCTCAATCTACAAACCAATTGATCCCCACGGTAAGGATTATCCTGATGCAGCAGGGTCTCTGGAAAGGAAGCAACTTGTCCACGCATCCTCCATGATACAAGCTTCCCGGTTTCCCCTCCGTGGTGAAGGGCCTTCCAACCAAACGTGCAATGATACGTACTTTCATACGTGGGCGTATAGCAGTTTCTTGTAGTGTCAATTTGTCCAAACACTCAAACCCGACCTTGGATTTTCAAGTTCTTAGCATGGCACACATGTATTTATATTTATAAATTATATATATATAATTATATATGTTACAAATTTTGCAAAAAACAAAATTTGGATGGTGAAAAAACACAACGTATCGGATTATGCATATTTAAACAGCACATGAAATATGTTTACACAAATACGGAGATCACCAAATCTTAGGTCCTTCATCCCCAGCAATCTTCCGCCAGGTTCAATGGGGGAAGTCCAAAGGTCCCATCCACCCGTGAGACGGGTGGGAAGCATGGGACCCGTTCACCGGGGTTTTGGGTGGTGTTTTTGAGAAACGATTGTACATTTTGTAAATGTGAAAAACATGCAAGGGGGATCTGGAAAAAAAAACACTTGTAAATAAAATAAAATGACCCAAATGTGATGAAAACAATTGGTCATCAAAGGTTTTGGGGGGGACTTGTTGACGACTTGCAACTGTAGCAATCCGATTCCACTGTTGTTTGCTGGGTCTGTGGTGGTTCAGGGGTTTTTGAGCCCTGATTTAGCAGACATTTCAAATGAACATGTTTGTTGGAGGGCAATCCTCTCACTGACAGCCTAAACATTTTTTGTCACGTTTGTCCATTAAAAAATCACTGCATCGACAATGATGCAGATATCAACGGACTGGAGGAAAACATCGAGTTAGTGACACTTTGGAACCCATGTCATTTTTACCCGTGCGTCTGAGTAGTTTCGATACACTTGCCATGGCTGTGCCCATTGAAGTGCTGTGCAAGGAATGCTTCATGCGGGAAGATCAAGGTACTGCGGGGATTGTTTTTTTTTTAAATTGATCACAACTTAAGGTTCAGAGTTTGTATGTAAAAAAACATCTAAAAACTAGAGGAACACGATGATGTCCATTCATAGTCAACAAAAAATCAACATGTTCCCACGGGTTTTCAATCATGTGCCATCAGCCACTGATCATTTAGAGTGTATATGATCAAATTTGAAGGTTGATGCACCAATCCCAACTTTGTTGGTTTTTTAGTTTTGCAATGGTTTTTTAGATTGACTATCAGGTTGCTTGGCAGGTTTCTATCCCTGTTCTTGCTCATACAGTCTACCCTCTTTTGGTTAAACGTCTTTTGACTTTCTTGGCAACATTGATCTTCTTGGTCATTGTCCCCATGTTTAAGTTGGTCATACTCCAATGACAGCCATGAAACCATCATGATCTAAAACAATCCTATATCAATGAACACTGAATAAAACCATGAACAAATCATTGACCATTAACAATCATGATATTTGCTGGCTAAAACGTATAGAATCTATAAAGAAATATAAAGAAATCGAGATGAATTTATCTTCTAAGTCCCTGGCTACCTCCCTATCTCCCTTGGGGCGCTTCAACGTAGGCAGCTCGGGTCGCTTGGACCGCGGCAGTTTTGCAAAGGCCCTGGGGCGGGTCTTTGCATCCCTGCAGCCGGTGGTGCCGCAGCCGGATGCCACGTGGACGCTGGACGATGATTGGCCAACTCCCAATGTGGGGATGGCTCGGAAAGCTATTATAATAGATATATATATATGTATGATAATATAATATAATATAATATAATATCATATAATATAATTTAATATAATATATAATTGGGGATAATATATTTTTTATATATGATAATATATATTTGGGGATAACATATTTATGATAATATATTTGGGGTTTTGGGGGAAATCAACATCCAGCATCATCCAGCTATGACTTAGGGTAGGCTACCTGGCTTTTGACCCATAACCATGTGGCAATGTGGCCCAATTATATAAACCATTCCCATCCATCCTATCATCATAGATGGGCGGTATAAACCATCCCGAAATGGTAGGTTTATGGCATTGAGTTTCCCACATTGACGTGTTTTTTTTTTTCCTTTTTTTCCGTTGTTTTTTTGTTGTGATTGAGGCAATAAACATGGTGCTATCATGGGGATGAAATCAACATATGTGGAGATCTGGATGACGAAATATGGTGGGGATTCAGTCACCAAAGATGAGATTTTTATGTGGGATTTCATGGGAAGAAAAACCAGCAACGAAAATTAGACTTTACTTAGCCAATCCGGTCCCCAGCTGAACATCATTTATAGCTTCCATTTGATGAATGTTCCAGCTTATTTTCCACATGTTTGCCAGACGTTTCCATTTCCGTATATGGGTATGGGTCAAAATTAGGTACCCCAATAATTGGATGGTTAATACTAAACTAGACTAACATCTGTGGTCCCACATCGGTCTTCCATTTTGACCCACATCCATATCTTTGCATATCTCTGCATATTTTGTTCCACACATTCCAACATTTCTCCATATTTCCGAAACTAACACTTTGCGAACTGGAAAATCACCATTTTTCGTTGGTAAATCAGCTACAACGGGTAGCTACCCGGCCTGGTAAACTGTTACATAACTATGGAAAGATCCACCATTTTATAGCTGGGAAAATCCACTATTTCTATGGTCATTTTCAACAGCTATGTTAGTTTACCAGAGGGTATGTGAAATTACTACCAGAGGGTCTCCCGAGGTTTGACCGAGTCTACGAGAGCTATGCTGCCAAGTGTGGCGGCGGGGTGTCCCTGCGAGCCATGGAAGATGCGGCGAAGCAATTCGTGGCTCATTCGGCATATTGGAGAAGATTTCGCTGTGTCAAAGAAATAGATCTGGTTATATCTGGTTTATATATTTTATATGGGCCAACAGACCATAAAATAATATAAAATATAGGCTAGTGTATAAATGGTGGTTGTATGGATGAATGAATAACAATGGTTTGTATGGGGATTGAACCAACATGAACCAACCATTTTTTTTAAAGGGAATATCTAGTGGGAATCCAATATATTCTGGATATTTCTGGATCAATTCGAAAAACCTCATGTCGCGACGTCACGACGCAAATGGTCAGGGGGGGAATCCTTGTCGAAAGGCCAAACTTTTCAGCGGCCGGTGAAGTATGACTTGTCCTCTGCCGGTCATCAAACATGGCAATGGATACCTCTGGTAATTTAACATAGCTATTGAAAATGGCCATTTATAGTGGATTTACCCATTGAAAATGGTGATTTTCCATAGCTATGTTAGTTTACCAGAGGGTAATCTCCCATTTATAAAATTTATAAATCATTGTCCCATATGTCCCATTGCAAGCTCCGTTTACAGAGGATTTCCGAGCCACGTTTGATTGCCGAAAGGTATTCCATTCCATGCCATGGTTGATCATCATTTTCCGTTTTTTTTTTTGGGGTATACGGTATACCGTATTTTTCCAATCTTCAGACCAATCCAAATGGGGATAAATACAAGTCAATCTCAATGCATCTGGGAAGTTAATCTTTTGCCATAGAACTTAACCTTTTGCCAGAATTCAATTTTTCATAAAGGACTATATACTATACTGATCGAAAAATACATGCAGAATAGCTAAAATTGACAGTGATAGGGTGTAAAACAAGATAGGGAATCTGTTGGAGAGGATAATTCAGCAGCAACAAATACGGATTTTGCCAAGAATAACGGGGAACATAGATTTATTCTCAAATGTAAACCCACCAAAAATGGGATGTAAACCAGTGAAAGTAGAGATGACCCTAGGGGATGACATAACAATTTGCTTGTTGATATGCAACCCGGAATGATGACCACCCCATATAGTTTTCAAGGGTTCTTAAACCACCAACCAGTGATGAAAGGAACAAACATGAGAATAAAGCTGGATAAACCAACTGGTGAAGGATGGGTTGATGTTCTTTTTGATGTAAAATGTATACACTGAGGAATAGTTCATACCGTGGTATACAAGATGAGCCATGACCAATCTTTCAGATTCTTTCAGCGAAGAGTTGACTGGTTGGTGGAATGGTCCCGAAAAACTAATAATTAATTAGGACTCATGCTTCTTGGTGTGGTAAACGCAACAATGGACCATGAAAAGATATCCGCCATGGTCGAACACATATCAAAACATGGTTTTTGTGTCCCCATAGAAGAGGATGATCATCCACCGATCAATAGGATTTAGTAAAGTATGCCCATTATATTGATTCCCAGTACGGATGACCATAACCCATATACAAGGGTTTGACAATGGCACATGTGAAACACATACACACCAATGGAGGCATACTCAGGTGGAAACTCTAATGAGTGGGATCTGGAGGCTTACCCTCCATGCTATTCCATGCTTCGACAAGGGAGGCCATTTTCACATGAAGATGTTCACTAGAACCTGAACTGCTCATGAAGACAACGTTCATGATCAACAGACTAAACCGACCAGTGAAGGGCAGTTCCCGTTTTTCCACCATGTGCAGCTAAAAGAATCGATCTTTTTCAGGGTGTCAGCCACTTGAGCCCTGAGCCTCCTTTTGGCCGCGGGCGAGGTGAGCCATCATCAGAAGAAACGCGAGTCTGCGAAGCAGACGGAAGCACCAAGCCACCAGCCCTCGTCGCTCGAACTCAGACCTGGACCTCTTGGATGAAAGTGGGAATACCTTGGAATTTAGGGGTTCAATATGCTTCAACTACCAAACATGGGAATATAAGGGGACATGAGGAGGGAATTTGACATTATGACGATGGAACCCTTGCAACGTCAGAATGATGGCAGCAACGATCCCAAAATGGCCAAACTCTTCTGAATTATTGAGAAAATTACTATTCAGAACAATGTTTGACACTGCAACCCAGGCTACTGCCACAATCTGCCATATAATCACACACATATATATATATATATTTATTACACCTGCCTTGATCATCTCAATTTCTTGTTGCTGGAAAGACAACGGCCATGAAGAAAAAGTGGCCAACACCCAGGCCTGCCAAGCAGCCGACAGGGCCATCGGTGGGCCAGACGGTCGGCGATCGTCATCAAAAGAAAGTCATCGAGGACGGAAACGTCCCAACTGGCCTTGCTAGAGAATTTGGTGCACATAATTAAGGATCATCATCAACCATTGGTTGATTTCTGATTATATCACTGGTTGGTGGTTTGGAGCATTTGGACAAATATGTTCCATCATATTGGGAATAATCAATAATAATCATCCCAACTGACGAACTCCATCATTTTTCATAGGGATAGGTATACCACCCACCAGATCATATTTAATGATTTATATATGATTCTATCAAACAGATCCTGATATAAATCAACCAATAGAACATTGATCTATATGTGATTCAACAGTAACATATTGATTCTATATATGATTCTATTCTATATTTACAGTCAATCAAGATCAGATTTCAGCAGATTTTCAAGCGCCAAAACCAGCCATCTCCGGTCAGCCAGGAGATGTCCCCCAAGGGCTACGCCCTGCCGCAGCAGGTGCCCTTCTCCCCCAGCGCGCCGCGGCCGGGCTACGGCAAGGCGGTGGAGTTGGCGTCCGCCGTGATGTGTCCCATGAAGCAGGGCAGCAACGTCTTGGAGGAGCTGGGGAGTTACCTGGATCTATAGGGATCTACCCTCTGGTTATTTAACATAGCCATGGAAAATGGCCCATTTATGGATGATTTTCCCATTAAAACCTCCATTTATGAGGGATTTTCCATGGCTATGTTAAATTACCAGAGGGTAAGGAAACATGGAGCGTGGATTTTTTTTGATCCAAGAACAACCTACTACATCTACTATACTCTGATGGCGATTGGTGACTTCTGGTAGTGTAAGACTTAAGGCATTGATTTGATTTCATGGATGAACTGGCCATGCTGAGTGGACAGGGGGTTGAAGGAGGGAACGTAGTCAATATCACATCAGCAAGAAGTTCATTGAATTGTCCCTTCCGATAGGGAAGCGAAGCCAATTTGTAGTCCTTATACCTTCATGTTTCTTGGGTATACCTTATCTAAATTCTGAGGTTGCCAAGTGGATTTGTCTGAAAGGATTCCCCATTCCATCCCATGGTTTTTCTCATCATTTTGACCATGTGAACAGCTGTCGCAACTTGGGAGTGAAATCCCGTAGTTTCCGAGCCCAAGTGGATCCACGAATGAGTGATTACCCTCTGGTAATTTAACGTAGCTATTGAAAATGACCATTGATTTTCCCATTAAAAATTGTCATTTTCAATAGCTATGTTAAATTACCAGAGGTTAAGTGGGTGTTCATAGTTCTAGGGATTCAATCCCATTGTACCATATTGTACCCATCATTGCGCACGTCGCAGGACTACATCATGGACGACAAGAAGCTCGGGGAGGGCAGCTTCGGACAGGTCTGCGTGGTGACGCAGAAGCTCACCGGGCAGAAGCGCGCCATGAAGCGAGTGGGCATCCAAACGGAGATGGTCACTGAGCAGCAGATTTCCAAATGGTTTATCTATGGTTTATCTATGGTTTATAGGTGTGTAACAATCCCATCTATCCACAAGCTGGTTGGATACCCAATGGGAAGATCTGGTTCCTGTGGGCAAAAAAGCTATGAACCTACCATGACTGGGGATGGTTTTTACATAGCACTCATAGAAATGGTGATGACTTGGGGATGGATTATTGTTGGGTATACCACATTAGAGGTGAATGACAAGGAATATGTTGTTGGCCCAACATTCATGGGGACATATGGGGACAGCGAGTTTAATCTGGCGAATATTATATATATATATATATATAATATATACACATTTGTGTGTCAGGCGAGTCAGGCAAGCTGAAGCATGACAATAGGTGATGTAATGATATGATATACAGCTATATATATATATATACCCTCTGGTAAACTAACATAACTATGGAACATCACCATATTTAATGGGAAAAACCACTATAAATGGCCATTTTCAATAGCTATGTTAAATTACCAGAGGGTATATACAGAGGTGGATGACCTGAAGTCAGATCTATCCATCGTCTCCAGGATTTGCATCTCCTGGTTGGAAAAAATCGCTGACTGCCCCTTTTTCAAAAAGCCACAATAATCCGCCAGTGCCAAGGGATGCATGGGGGAATCAATCGGTTGACATGTCATGAAATATGTGAATGTTTGATAATGTTTGTATCCTTCAATACTAGAAGCCAGTCCGTTTACTGGCTATTTTCAGCCATGCTATGGAGGTAACCGCAGGGTGTTTCCGATGAAGAAAATGCAACTCCTTTCATTCCACCAGCACCACGTGCGCCATGGCGGCCCTGACGCCCCCCCGAGGATAAGCGCCTGGTGGAGACGGAGATTCAATTGCTGAAAAAGTTGGACCATGGAAATATCATGCGACTTTCTGAGTGCCCTGACATATTGGACATGGTGGACTATGATGACTATGGATGACTACGGCGGATGGACTCTTTCATGATGGTTTAGGGGGACTTTTTCGACCTGAAGATTCACTGAAGATCCTGAACAAAAAACAAGATGCTTCAAAGGTTGTAGTGTTCTTCCATCGTATGATGGTCAAAATTGAGTTTGTTGAGGTGTGGAACCCAGAGATCGGTGGTCATTTGATGATCATGTGCGACCCGCTGGGGTGATCTGGGGTGTGTTTCTAGAGCCCGTGGTATAACCAGCTACAGTCAATCTCTGCACCTGGCATTCTGCCGTATTCTGCCTATCACTAGGTGGGAGATGTTCTGTGAATTTGCTGATGTTCACCACACTTCCGAGACCCCCTTGGTGCAACTCACCCAGAGGTGCTACGTGGATGGCACCAGCCTCTTCTTGATCTCGGTGGCTCAGTTGCCGTGGGATGAGGCATTGAAACCCAAGGGATGGTCATGAAACCATTCTTTTAAAGCGATCTATACACAAAGCATTATAAAACTATGCATATATGCATATATATATATACATTTGTATATACATATTAATATATATATGTTTATATGTGTATATATATATACAGCCATTATGCTTGGGTCTTCATTATGCTATGGATGACCATAAAACATATACCATCATATACCATGTTTTGACCATGGCACATACATTGCCACTACATGATCTTCATTAGAGTAATGATGGGGATATCATGGGGATTTCATCAACAAGAATGGGGATGTTTCACAACAAGAACCATGATATGGGGATTTTTTGTGGGATGCAACCGAAGAATATGAGGTATATGTATACATATATAGAATAGATTGGTCATGCAGAAATGATGGATACCCCAATCATCTCCAATCTATCTATCGCAAAATCAGCAGGCAACCTGATGATAAACCCTGAAAGATTTGGGGTACCCACCATAGGGATGCTGTATCATCAATTAAACATAGGGCAGGACGCACACCTGCAATCAAAAAAGAGTGTATATTTGTTAACAAGAAATGATAAGTCGGTGAATGTGTTGGTTGTGTTGGTTCCATTTCCCTGCTAGCCATGTTTGATTACTGTACAAGAGGCTATATAATAGTCAATGAACATTGCATCCAATGGCACATCAAGGTGGCTACAGCATAGGTACTGTGCCATATCTTGTCAGGATTCCCTGAATATTTAAGCATCTTGCGTAGGCCTTACATATATGATTGGTGCCTCCTGCTTATTCCCAATCTTGACTACTTGAGTCCACGTTTGTCTGAAAATAGGGTGGCCCATGGTGGCCCTAAATTTGATGGTAGCTGGCTCGTCGTGGTTCCTGTCACAGTTGCCGTAAATGAATAGCTTCACCTTTTTTGGACAGACCCAACTATCATATTGATCATATTGGTGGTGGTCTATCCAGTATTCATCCCGTTGATATCCCATTCCAATATAAGCCACTGATAGCCCCACTATTGTTGATATTGGCAGGTCACACCCAACCATCATATTGTTAGTTATTGTCAATATCCCATGGAATTGTGCTTGTACATTCCCGTACACCTGTCCGTGAAATCTCAAATTTTCAGACACAGCGTCTAACATATTGTTGGTAATATCTATCCCCACAAAATATCCCCCAAGATAGTGGTAATTCCCAGCTATTACAGTATATATATAATTATATATATATATTGTTTATTATCAATTACCCATAGTTACCTCATGAAATATCATGATGGTTGGTAAATATCTTATATTTCTGTTCGTAAATGCATGTATCAATACATGTAAATACCTATTTGGAATTTATATGTGTATAATTTATAATCATGTATATATATATTTACACATATAATACTCATTATATAAAATATGATTCCATTATATATACAAATGGAATAATATTATATATACACACTATTTTATACTACAGTCAGTATTCCATTTTTGTCGGTAAATATGGCGATGGCATCGGTTCGCCGCCAAGGAGCTCTGCGAAGGCGGCACGTTGCTTCAGGGCTTTGCGCGGCATGGCTCGGAAAGCAAGGTGGGAAACGGCCATGGGTTGGAGGAAAAAGCACGAAAAACCAGGATTTCTATGGGAAAACATCGAAAAACCAGGATTTCTATGGGAAAAACACCGAAAAAACAGGATTTATATGGATTTCATGCAGTGAAACATCGGAATTTAATGTGGTTAAATCGAAACAACTTGGGATTTTAGACAGGAAACAAAAAAGGGGAATTAATCAGCAAAGAGCTTCACTGGCGCTCGGCAACGATTTTGACATATTTTGTCAAACTAAACAGTTTTGTGTACAGAAGTTTGAGCCAATCAGGTCTTGTTTCAATTTCGTTCATTGGTCATGAGTAGGGTTTAGGAGGGTATGTGCTCAGACAACGTGCGCCAAGCCAGCCGAAAGTGAATATCCTGGGACATTTGCCAGATTAACAGTATAATTAGAAATAATAGTACAAAAATCTACCAAGAATTGAGGACATTCTTCAATAGATCTAAAACCCTCAGTGAACATCCATGTACGGTAAATCCAACCAACCAGCATGACATTTGTGTGAAACAGAGGATTTACCTCAAGTTATGCGGAACATCAAAAAAATCATCAGGTCAGCCCAAGATTGAATGCCCCGTTTGAAACCCCGTTTTTCTCGCTGGATTTCATTTTTGGAGACCATCTTGGGGCTCGCAGGCTGCTAGTGCTGTGCGCCAGATTCTAAGTGCCACGGCAGGGGGCTCCCAGCGGTGACAGATGCCGAAAAAATCCCTGGTCAGTGAAGCTCGGGGCCCAGAGGTGACCCTCCAAGGTCTATGAAAAGGCTTTACCCTCTGGTAAACTAACAGTTTGCTATTGAAAATGGCCATTTATAGTGGATTTACCCATTAAAAATAGTGATTTTCCATAGCTATGTTAGTTTACCAGAAGGTATGATCAACTAACCATTGAGAAGATATGGGAATGAACATCAACGAAGCAACCAGTCTGATATGGGACGCGAGAAAAAAAATGATGGACCTTCCACATGTCGAAAAAAAAAGCCCATCCTGTCATGGCGGGCGCCCATTCATGACTAGATCCATAAAACACAACCAGGGACCAGGGCTTTGTTGGGGGATCTTTAATCTCCGTATATAATGATTTAATGATTTAATGTATTTGGCGGTTTCAAGCAATTTTCACGTTTCCCCTATTGGGGATGATGATCCCATACTGCAGCCTTTTGCCGTCGGATTGCAGTCTGGGTGTCCAAGACAAATCAGAACCCCTTGAAACAATGCACTTCATTTGTGCAGAACCCAATTCAAATGTGCAATAGTTTTTTCTTACGGTACACAACCCCATGGATATATATATATTAAATTAAATTATACAATACATTCTGATATAATATATATATATATGTATATGGGTTCCTGGTTCCTGGGTCAGTTCATAGTCCCTTTATAAATACCTGAGGCTTTTTTGTCACTGGGCTTTTTTCGCCATGTGGATCGTTGGATGTTGCTTGGGCGTATGGCAGGCGCAGCCCGGGTCAAAGGTGGCTGGAAAATGCCATAGAAATTGGGTTTTTAGGTGTTTTTACCCTCTGGTTATGTTAACAGTTTGCTATTGAACATGGCCATAGAAATAGTGGATTTTCCCATGAAAAATGGTGATTTTCCATAGTTATGTTAAATTACCAGAGGGTAATGGGAAAATCAAGTATCTTTGATGGAGACATGTTCTATTTTTTTGGAGGTTTCTAGCCTGGAAAATCAGGTATCTTTGATGGGACGAAGCCAAATAGGTTCATGCCTTGGATTATCACCTCTTCCCCATGGGAAGTATCTCATATCCCATCATTGATATCGCATTGATATCGCCCATCTCCAAAAACATTCCGAATTGAAATCATTCAAGCGATTCAATGTAGGAAAATGTCCACCCATATCTGTACATGTTCATAGGGTACAAGATATTGTCTGTATAATAACGTATAATATTATATAATATCTGGTTGCTGGTTTGGAACATTTTTTGTTAATTTTCCCATCATATTGGGAATCTCATCATCCCAACTGACGAATTCATATTTTTCATAGGGGTTGGTCTACCACCAACCAGAACATAGGGTCCTCCAAGATCCAATGGCTTGCATCTTTGAAAAAAATTGCTCGTAGCTCACTTTCAGACACAGCCTAATATATTGTTTGTTATATATATATATATCCATATATATATATATATCCATATATATATTTTTTTGGCACACTGCATGTTGGGACATCTCTCGCCGCGGCAGCTGCTGTCCTTGAATTCGTGAGACGCCAGCAGTGACAGTTCATCACTTCACACAGTCTGGTCCAATGGTTTCTGTGAATTCTGTGCAAACCATGGCCAAGATTGTATCCTTTACATCTGCGGGAATGTGATGCTGGCTGCTTGGCATCGGCATTGATGCTAAAAACGTGGCAAAACTGGCAGCAAATGCACTGCACAGCGCCGGCGGATACTCCTTGAGTACCGCGGTACGGAAATGACCCTCTTGGTCAAGTCCAATTGATCGACCTTTGGGAAGCTCTGCACTGATTGCATTCGCTTGAAGATGAAGAGGCAAGGACGGCAGGTTGAGTGTCAACAGCGTCGTGCTTTTGGCACTGTCAGCACCAAGGAGTCCCTGAGCAAATGTTACCTTCTCGAAGCCCGGCAGAGTCAGGAGAAGCTGGATGAGAGGAAGCTTCCATATGCTTGGGCTACCTGGGTCGGAAGGTTCAGCAGGATGCTCCAAAATGCCACTGCCGTCAACCTCGTCAAGGAGGATCATGCAGATAATGCTGAACGCCAAGAGCTTGTGACCATCCATGATCTGGCGCTTCTCTCTGAGTGAGAGTGACCAGAATCCCCATAGATCCTCCGCAGATCGAATGGGTCGGGGCCCAGTCTTGCCCTGTCGTTGCATGGTCATGTCCACTTTGCCCCTCGATGCGGACCACGTGCAACAGGGGGGACCTCCAAGCATCCCAAGGACGTAGCCACTGCGAATGGCATTCGTCCAAAATTGGTACGACTCAGGTCTGCCGATATCACCCCATTGCTGGTCAATCACCAAGTCAAGTGATACCACAAAGAGCATCTCAATGCCAGTTCTCTCCGCGGTGGCGTCGAGGTACCACTGGAAGTCCCCGTAGCGCCTGCGGCCTGAGTAGGCATGCACCACCACACGTTCTTGAAAATGGACGCGAGGAACCGTCGGCTCGACGAAGCGTGGGGGATCATGAGCTTGTAGTTCTCTGCACCAGTCTTCATAATGCGGTAGCGCAAGATCTTGGTCCGTTGACCGTTCGCAGAGATCCTCTGCAAGGAAACTCCACTGACGGAAGTCCGCAAGGCGATAGAGCAGCTGTCTCCACTCCATAAGGCCAAGGTGGGCCAAGTTTGCATCTTCGAGCGTGAGGGACTCTGCAATGTAGTGTAATGTCCGTTTGGTCATCGTCCAACTCACAGGGTGGGTCTGGATGCGCCCATAAAGTTCGCAAAAGAGGTCTCGTTCTGGTTGGTCCTGATGATCAAAACATGCCGAGACCAAATCTTCATAAAGACTGTCACAGAAATGTTCATCAGCACGTGGTCTCTGGCGCGCATCTTTAGGTCCTTGTGCTTGCAAAGTGGGCACAAGTCCATCGTGCGCTCTATGGAGTCGCTCATTGGCAAGAGAACCCTTGCCTGGCGCAGGTACCGCATGTTGACGTTGTCCTTGAAGAAGATGTCGACATTGCGCAGTGCATCGCAAATGTTGTTGAAGTTTAGCAAAGGTGTGGTACTCCCGCAAGCATGATGGACATGTCGTTCCATCATAAGGCGTCGGACTGGTGCCACGATGCCATGTGCTCGACAGAGATGTGCACCTTCTCCTCCATGACTCTTGAATCTCTTGCTACAGAGCATGCATCCAAAGATCTGATGGTCTTGCGTAGGGGCTGGTTGGTAGAGCTGCAGTCGATAGGCCAGCGGTCCCTTGTCTGCCAAGAATCCAAAAGCATCTCGGTGCAAGCGTAGAAGCAATAAACGATCTTCTGAATGCAAAAGTTCAAGCTGCACTGCTCGTTGAAGAAGTCGTTTCCAATAGGTTCGATGGTAGCGGAGCACGTTTTCCCATGGACCAAAATGATCACGTGGCGCCGGGAGCGTCGTGGTCGAGCAAACAAGGTCCCAAAGCCACTGTAGGTCATCACAAAGCAAAGCCATCCATTGCGAGTCGGCTCGCAGTACAGCCCATGGTGTGACATGTTCGCACTTGTAGAGGAGAGCAAGATAGCGAAGTCTGGCTACTCGTAGCACTGTGGTCGGTTGTGGCAGGCCAAGAATGACTGAGACTTCCTCGTCGGACATGGGCTTGTCATGAGGCAGGTTCATCAGGCGGCGATAAAGGCGCATATAGGCACTGTGAAAATACTGCTTGTTGACCTTGTCCATGAGCGTCCATGACTCGGTCCCATACGTAACCTTGCTGGCCACCAACGTCTGAAATAACTCGCTGCGCTTCCGCAATGGAAGGTGACCATTTTGGAAGAGAGTCTTCCGATGTTGCGCGAAGGTCTGGTGACCTTGGGCAACTTTCCTTCTCATCTCGTAGCGCGTCTCTCCACTATGATGAATGAGTCCACCTAGATGTTGATAGTGCCCGACAACGACAATCTCTCTGCTGCCTCCTTCAGTCAGAATAGTCATCTTGCCGGCAGTGGATGGACCAAAGTATTTGTTGCGGAGTGGTCTGGAGCCTTTGCCTCTGAAGGCAAATAAGATCTCACTTTTCCCTCGTTGAAGGTTCGGTGTGACCCCATGGCGTTGACAAGCATCCAGAAGAATTCCACATGCAACACCAGTCTTGGTCTCAATAGCCTGGGCTGTTGGAGCGGAAACTGTGACGCACAAGTCATCCATCCAAGTTGGCCCTAAAAAGGGCATAGGCCTTGTCGGTGTCCTGGCACTTGGAAAAAGGCCATTGGTCTCGGCATCCTCGAAATGTTCAATCAGGTCGGCGTGTGTCATTTGAGCCTCAACCGATTTGAGGATTCGAGAAAACATGTACCCAAACACCACATCGGCGAATGGGTCGCCGGGTCGAGTGCCAACTGCCGTGCGCACATAGTCTGTCTGGCCAGCAACCCAAAAGTGCGTATCAGTATGCAAGGCCCGAAGAGCAACTTGAAGATGTTGGGGTAGACCAGCAAGTTCCGTAGCAGATGGACTCTGCAAGAGGTCATGAAGGTCGTGAAGAATTTGATCGTCAAGGTTCAAGCGAGCAGCAATTTGTCCCAAAACCGCGTCTGGAAGGGTACCACCTACCGCCAGAGGGCGGATGACGCGATAAAAGGCTTCCTGCAAGTCCAGGAAAATGAGTCCTGACGATGCACGTTGCTGTTTTGCCCGTCTCAACGTCGCTCTGACGTGATGGACACCAAGTCCTACAGGCACTCGCTTTCGACCTCCAATCTGACTTCTCTGTAAGAAGCATTCATACAAACTGGATTGTTGCTCGCGAATCACTCGATGTAGAGTCTTCCCCACGTGTGAGCTGATCAACAAAGAACGATATGAGCTGCATTCTTGTTGTGCTCCTTTGCGCTTCCACGCTGACACAAGGAGGCCTCCTTTGTGGAGTAGCGCTTCTTGGCCATGCGCCAGGAGTTTCAGCATCTGCGTATATGTGAGTCTCGCCATGGTCACAGGTTGGCAGTGACATAGCTCTGGTGGGATGTCATCAGCACCAATAGCTTTACCTGGTCGAACTCGTCGAAAAGCTCGTTCAAGATCTGTCAGCGTTGGAATATCCTCTGGCTGGAGGCGGAGCCCATCAGGAATGCACTCCTGTAGATTCTGCTTCCAGAGGTTTCTCAGCTGCCTCTCATCCATCCTGGTTCCCCCTTCCATGGCTCCGAAAAAGTTGGCCCATCGATCGGTCAATTCCTGTGGGGTACGACATGGACGACCATCCTCATCGTTGACCATGGGTAATGGCATCTCTCGCCGGTGTCGCATGTTTGTGGGTCCAATCAATGGCTTGAGGGCTTGAAGGATAGCACTGGCGTGGCACTCCGGTGGCAAGGTCGAGACTGCATCTCGAAGGGCTTGTCCTCGTGCTTCACGCAGCTTTCTTCTAAGGGCAAAGTTGGAACGCTGAAATTGAACTCCATGTTTGAGAAGTGCACATTGTAAGGAGATAGCAAAGGTCTCTCCAGGGACATCAATCTCCGGTTGGTTCCAACAGGCAAATGCTCTCGCAAGCGATTCTCTGGCCTGCATGCGACGAAGTTGACGAAGACGACGACCTGCTTGAAGTTTCTGAGCCCGAAGCGCCCACATCTCCTCTGTGATGAAGGGCTTTTTGGGGCCAGTTTTGCGTTTGGGGCAATGGCTTTGTAATGTCTGGACAAGATGTTGATTGCAATGATCAACCTGTGTTGCAATGTCCGCATCCCAATCCAAAGGCACATAGCCGCAGAGTTGTTGTCCCAGTGTGCTGTGAGCAATGGCAGTGCGGTCATAGCTTCTGGCGTTGTGTCCATTTGATGTGCTATGCGAGGAGAATTGAAACCACTGCACTTCCAGTCCGACAGCGGTATGATCCCCAATGTTGCCCAAATCCAGTTCCGGAATCGTTCTGGAAGTGGTACACGAAGAAAACCATGAAATAGGGATGGCCACATAATCGATGCGATGTCCTTGTTGGGTTGCCGGACATAGCCATGTTTGTTGGTCCCCTTGGTGGCGATCACTGGTAGCTGGGAGACAAAGGCAATGCGTCTCCAGTAGTTCCCGTAGGAATCCTGTGCCACTGGTATGCTTGTCATCTTGCTGGAAGACATGTCGAGCATCCTGTTCCCCAGACGCCGCATTTGCATCGATGAGGAGGACTAAATCTTTGTCTTGAACAGCGTCCTGAATGCTGATCATTGTGTCATTCCACCAATCAGCACGTTCTGAATGTGGAATACCGCTTTGCGGAGCATAGATGACAGCAATCATGAAGTCCAAGTGTAGCTTGCGAACACGTGCAAGCATACATCTTGGGCTGGCGAAGGTGACCACAATGTCTTTCTTGGTGAAGTAAAGGGGTCGACCACTTTGCCAACCATATGGCTGATTGAGGTTCACCCACAGTTCCACTCCTTGGTGTCCATGATGGTCGCCACTGGCCAGTCGAAGAACTGATGCTGTGGTCGTCGAGCAGGTTGTTGTGCGAGTCTCTTGCAATCCAAGAAAATGGAGGTGGAGGTGTTTGAATTGTTCTCGCACATAATGCAGCTTGCCAGGTGTGCCATCAGCACCCTTGTAGAAGGTGCGGACATTTGCCGTTGCAAAACTCAAAACCACATCTGTGTGCACTGTGTGTTGCTCTGGAGTTGGGACGGTGTGAGATGCATCCTCTGGGAGCTGTGGCGGCGGAATCGCAAGCCCTCCGTCACAAGATCTGGGCAAATCTCCGTCCTGTGCCAGGATCATCCAAAGTACACGCAAGATGCGCCCAAAGGTGGGCATGTTGATCTGCTGCCGTGGAAGGTACTGACTGTCTCGTCCTTCAAGCTTGGCAAAATGATCTACCAACTCATTGTAGGGCTCCCCTGCATGACTGCGTGTATGTGAAACTCGCAGATGATCTCCAGGTAAGATTGCTTCTAGCGCCTGAAAAGCAGCTCGAAGATGACAAAAGGGAGTACTCGGTGAACTGGTTCCAAGAGTCCCAGAGGCTTGTCCACCCACCAGAAGAGAGTCAGTCACAAAGATAGTCGGGAGCCTGTGGTTCTGTGCAAGCCGCCAAAGAGCGCTCCACAACAGCGCCTCGGTTTCTGCTGCATCGGAGCCGATGTGATCTGTACCCACATGATGAGGACGATCTGGTTCATATAGGATCTGTTGACAAGTCAGGCCAATGAACTCCAGGTTTCGTCCAGAATTGTCATCTTGGTCAGGGTACTGTTCCGCAAAAACGGCAAAGCACCAAGAGTCGCTCACTTCATGCAGGTCAGTCCATAGAGGCGAGCAATGTCTTTTCTTGCTCTGAGAGGATCCATCCGCATAAATGATCAATCTGTCATGTCGAGAGAGCGGTCGACATTGCGCGATGGCCTCTTGTATAAAGTCTGGCACCTCATATGGAGTGATGTCTGTAATCAACTGCAGAGGTGGCGCATTGAAAAAGGCTTGAAGCTCCTGACAGTCTACCTCAATGACATGCGCTGGTCGTGAGCGATCAAAACCTTTATCAAAGAAAGGTTTGGTCATGTTGATTTGCAGTGGCTGTGGTGAGGGCCAGGGTGTGGGCAACCTCAGTGGTTTGTGGTCCTCTTCATGCTTGGGCTCCACGTTGCAGAAATGCAAAATCGTGACATAGTCATTGACGTGTTCCCGGTGCGTAATCACTGCTTTGTGAAAACCCTTCCGATATAGTATCTTCATGTGAGTGATGTCATCTTCCGCAGGAATTCCACGTTGCACATGAATGCCATTCTTAGTGGTCGTGTCCTGGTTACAATAGATGTGCATCACTTCATGATGAAAGATACAAGGATGAAAGTACACGGCGTCATGCTGGCCACATGAGAAAGCTTCACCTTCATATCCCATGCTGTGAAGTTCTTGACGAACTTGTTCAGGTGTGCCTGGAACTTCAACCTCCACAAAGTGCGGGATTTGGGTGGAAGATCTGTAGGTCGGTGGCCAGTGGATGTAGATAATGCCTGTGGCAGGGCAAGGAGGTTCCATGTCCTCTTCCAAAATGGAGGGTGTGCAAGTTGGTGTCTCCGATCGTGGCCCATGGGTGTGAGCTACCTGCCCATGTGTTTGGCGCTCACGATGGATGATTTGCACTTTTGTTTGAAGAAGGTTGGTGCCGTCGCGCATGTCTTGATAGGTAGGTCTCCTGTGCATTTGGATCAGAAGTCCTTGTCCATTGCGAGCAGGAAAGACCGTTCCCGGCTGGATGAGGAATCGATCATACCAAGTCTGGCATGTCATCGCGGCCCCTGTCGCAAGGCATCGTCCGGCCAGTCCCAATGCCATCAGCAAGTTCTGAACATACATATGTTCATGGGTGGTGATTGCAAGTTGCATTGTAACAGCACGTCTTGCATGACTGAGATCGACCACTGTCGTCAGAACGGTGGCAAAGACTTCATGCGGTCGCTGTACCAGGAGCACATGAGCTGCCGTCTCGCGATGTGTGTTAATGGGAGTGGGAGTCACGACCTGAATGATCGATGGCATTGCTGGATTCAACATATCCTGCCACGTCTGGCGGATTTGAGCTTCCCACTGCGTATAGTCCTCGTAAAGACGGACTGTTCTGGGCCGAGTGCATGTCCAGAAATTTTGGTCGTGTTGATCGACGAACCATGTTTGCTCCAGGATTGAAGACGAAACGTGCACATCGTCTGCTGGTTGATGATGTTGCAAGTCCATCATTTGGTGCGTGCGCATCATCTGCTGGTGTAGAAGGCTCACGTCTCCATCTGGTACGGGAGCGTTGCATGAGCTCCATATGGTCATCGTCATCCTGCGGCAAGATGAGAGGTCGGATGTGGATGACCAAGCTGGCGGCCCGGGGTATTTCTACCCAATCAGCGAGACCAAAGGGCAGGGCTCCGAGTCTGACAGCACATAGTCTGGCTTGGCAGTAGATGAACATCTCGGCCAGGTGCAGCACATTGCGCTCTGTCATGATGTTGGGAAGTGAGTAGGCCCCATGCCGCGTGGAATCTCCATGTCGGTCGCGGACGTGGATGGTGATAAGTCCAACACCATGTTGAGGTCTTGTAGATTGTTCTAGAATCAAATGGGCAAGAACACACTCTGTCATGGCACACGGCGGGGGCGGTTGCACCAAATGTATGGTCGTGGCCAAGTTGGGGTCAATGATATCTTGCCATAGTTCCAGAATGTCAGTCCTCCACCTGGTGGGATCGGCTCCAAGTCTGATGGGTCGTGCTCCGCGACAAATGGTTTGTCGTTGGTGATGGATGTACCATGTGTCAATGTAGGCAATTTCGCCTTCATCACTGCATTCAATGAGTGCATCTCTGTCAAACCAGTTCCTCAGTCGTTGAAGATCACCTTGATAGAAATCCTGTGTCGGTGCAGCAGGGCGTTGGTCTTGTTGTGTTGATCCTGGAAGTCCAATAGGTCTGCCCGTCGTAACGTGGTCAGGTGCAACTTTGCATGTGGCTGGTTCCAGGTTGTACAGCAGGTTGGCACAGTCCTGCTTGAGGTGTCGCATCGCTTTTTGGAAAAGGTTGACTTCCTCAGTATCATTTGTGATCAGCGCTTCCTCCGCACTCTCGTTGTGTCCCAAGTCAAGATCTGACATGCATGTCTCAGAGTTTGGCAATTCGCCCACAAAGATCCTGATATAGTCTCCATCTGCCATGTACAAGTTCTCCGTGGCTTGCTCCTCAATGAGTACATTGTTTCTCCAAACATGGCATGGTTGATCTTGGGCATCACATAGTTCTCTCAGGCCGAGTTCATTCAGGAGGCCAGCTCTTGTGAGAATGTGGGAAATCCATGTTGGGAATCTGCGGAAGGGCGAAGTCTGTACATTCTGCTCTACATGTAGTTCTCTGTCTACCAAAACGAGACGAACATATGGAGATGGTCGAAACTCGGTGGACCGCTGGAGCAACATACAATGTAGGTGGACTGGCTCATAGTCCAAAGGTCTGTGTGGTACTGCGACAACTCGCAAGATGTTTCTTCTGCCGAAGTTCAGAGCAGCTGCAATTTGACCAAAAAGTGCATCCGGATCACTCCATGGAAGTTGAGCTGACGTGGACAACCCATCCATGGTGAAGATGACCGTTTGTCTCCAGTCCAATCCACGTTCAGTTGAGGACACCGTCTCAGGCGAATTTGACGTAGATGATACCTCAATCGGTTGCCGTCGGGCAGGCCGATGTGGTCTTCTTCCCATGAAGGAAATGGCGTCTTCAGGATCCTGAGGTTGTCCATTTGCTCCCGTAGGATCAGGTCGCGGATGGTCTGCTTCTGGCGGTCCTTCTGGAACTTCAGGAGGGTCCCAGCTGTCTCCTTGTCTGTGGTGTCGTTGTTGTTGTACTCGACGGCAGAGATTTTGTTCCGCCTCTTCAATGGAAAGAGAAGAGGGGATGCGGATGTGTACACTCAGTCCATGAAAAGTGGCGATGTCTTGATCATCAGGTTGTAGTTGATGACCAATGTGGACTGTGCAGCGATCGATTCCTTGTTGCTCACGCTGAAGGCAGATTTGTTCCACACCCGCCAAATGTCGGACTCGTGCAGGAGGAAGTAGGAGATCAGTCGAGTGAGCAGAATGTCGGAAGGTGGTCACTGGGTCCATGATGTGCACTGCAGTGATGAGGCACGCAGCCCTGTCTGCTCTGTAATGTTGGTGCACAATGACGGTAGCTACCGTTCCTCGGAATGGGATGTGTGGTGGTTCAGGACGTACAATGACAATGTCCAATGACGCTTGGTTGTCCACCATGTCTTCCCATATGAAACGCACATCAGCCTCCCATTCTTGGTATTCCTGGTCAAAGCGCAGGATTCTAGGCTCATCATGAAACCTGTGCGTCTCGTGGTCAATGTAGAAGGAACTGACCATGATGACCGGACCTTCTTCTTCATCACTCACTTCTCCTTCCTCTTCCAGCAGTTGTAGTATATTCTGTCCCCAAGACGGCATCTGGACGTCTCCTCGAGGAGTTCCATGGTGACCTGGTCCAGGGGTGGCATCAGTGGTGTCAGCAGCGCCAACGCTCGGGAACATGGTGGCTGCCTCAACTGGGGGAACAGTATCCTCTCCATTGGCGTGGTCAATGAGGCTGTGATCAGCAGGACACTTCCATTGATCTGCATTGAAGTCAAAACTGATGTTGGAAAATTCTCCTCCTCGAAGTAAACCCGCACTCCAAGGCATTGTACCATTGCCAAGACATACATCGGGAACGGTGATCTTGTACATGGTTAACTCATCAGCCAGGCCCATCAGAACATCAACGTCCGAAGCAAAACCCAAGCTTCGACGAGGTGAAGGAGCCATGTGTGTGAGTGTAGCTGATTTTGTGTCTCTGGAGATTCCATCATAGGTCCCCAATTCGAATGCAAGGGAACGCGCATTCTCAATGGCGGCGAACTCATTGATGAAGTTGTACTCCTCGACAATGCTGTGGGACCATTTGAGGACAGCAACTTCGCCTGAAATGGCATGGCTGTCGATTGTCTGTGGCTTCAGGTTGGCATACTGTGCAGTCATACTCAACCAGCCTTGCCAAAATGCGGCTTGGATCCGTCTCCAGATGCCATATTTTGGTCCCCGTCCTTGGGTTGCATGGTGCGCTGTCTTTTGGCAGCATGGTTCTCCTCTGCGATCATGGCTTCTGCTTCTTGATGTAGAGATTGAAGGGAGGTCGCCAAGCCTTCCATCGTCTCTGTGATCTTGACAGAGGCTTGTAGTGCTGCTGCTGTTTCTGGATCCTCGGTCTCGTCGTCCGAGTTGATCTGTTGAACATCGCCAGAACCCAATTTGGCTTGCTTGCAGGTCTCCAAGTCCTTCTTGGCTGTCAGCAGTGATTCTTTGTGAGTGATCACTTGCTCCTGCAGTTTCTGTTCCTGCTCCATGAATTGAGCGGCATATGTCCTCCATAGTTGGACCGCGTCCGATAGAAACTTCTTCCACATTGCATGATGTTGGCTGCGTGCAAGAACCGCATCGTCGTAGTTCTGCCTGGCCGTATCCAACGCCGTCACCGCAGCATGGAGGTCTGTCGACGTCTGCTGGCCGAACTTGGTGAGGACCTTCTGAACCTTCTGCTGCATGTCCTCCGGCAATTCCGCTTGTCGTCCTCTCATCATGGACATCAATCCTCTTACTTCTGCATCTGCAGCATTGCTGGATGGCACCGAAGTCACGGTCATCTTCGGCATCGCTGGTGCAGGCATCGTGGGCATTGATGATACGAAGTTCCCACTCATGTTGGGTGCAGGTCCCGGCATGGGTGCCGGCATCTTCGCCATGTTTTGTGGCGGCGGTGGCGGTAGCGGAGGCATGCTTCCTGTCATCTGCTGCATGGGGAATGGCATGATCTGCTGAGGATACATCGTAGGCATCTGAGGTATTGTGCCCATTGGACCCATGTAGGCCTGAGGAGCCATGGGCGGCATCATCATTTGGGTCGGCTGATGTGTCGTGCGTGCTTGCTCCTGTTTCGGAGTCTTCTTCGCGCTCCTTGGTCTCTGTCGCTGTCTCGGCGAGGGCGTACGTCCTCTGGAGTTCGAAGAGTTCCAATGAGCTTGCCAATCTTGCTGCTGTTGCCATGGTGAACTGTAATGCTGACCTTGGTCCTGTTGCGATGTCTGCTTCGAGCCATGCACGTAGGACTGGTCGATCACGTTTTGCCATGGTTGCTGGCAGTTGGTGCAGTACAAGGCTGTATGCTTCCTCAGCTGTCTGCAAATTCTGCACTTCCACGGTGCTCGATCTGATGACGCCATTGTTGATGTAATTCTGCGAAGGAAATGAATATCCTTCGAATGATGTCCTCCAAGAACTCGTGCGATGTGTCTTCTCCTGGCTGGTGTAAGCAGAAGGATTCCCTTTCGATGCAAAAACCAGGCCCTCCGGGCGGCCGCTCTTCTCCGCCGCTGTTGCCGGCGATGCGTTGCAGTCGCCGTCAGCAGTCAGAGTCCTCAGGGGGAGCGCACTCTCCGAGACAAGCAAGATCACAAAGACGAAGAGGAGCAAAAAGACCATGTAAAAGTCAAACGCAGTCAGGACGGTGGCAAACTCGGGCAGGATCAAGTCAAACTGTCCCAAGATGATGCGAAGCCCGACCGCGAAGACGATGTACACGTGACCAGTGCAAGAACAGGTGGTGTCGGGTGGTCAATCCGACAGAGCACGTTCCGTAGGTGCCAGGGCGAACCAGTTAAGCACCAGACGGCGAAGGCCAAGCTATTGCAAAGGCCCGCGGGCAAGAGGTCACAGGTGCCCGCTAAGGAATGAGCGTGGGGGGTCAGACAAACACGTCGTCCCTCAGCCAAAACCTTCCATATATATATATATATCCATATATATATATATATCCATATATGTAGCTCGGGGAGGAGTCTACAAAGGTAGGGACCCAGCTTCCCCTAATCCTTCGGGGTTTCCAACAAGAGGGGTAACCACACCCCAAAAGGCTCAGCCGGCACCCTGTGCCTATGGATGAACGTCCCACGTTACACTTCTCGGATTTGTGCGGCGTCCGCGCCGCTTGTTTTCCACACCTTGCGGAACTTGAGCCATTGGCCCGGTCGAACGGCGAGGTCTCCATGCTGGTACACCTGCAAGGCACATCCAAGGCATATATTGGCTTTTCACACTGGTGTCTTTTCTTTTTTGGATGTGCCTTCATCTTGCTTGGTCATCCATCTTGATGCCATCTTCTTATGGGTATTGTTTTTGAGTGTCTGATCTTCATCGAAAATACGAAAACGACCCAAATGCAAAACAGTTCGTAAAAAGCTGGCATCCATCGGCTTCGTAAGGCAGTCTGCCAACATGATGGCTGTCGAAATCCATCGGCATTGTGTATGACCCTCTGACTGTTGTTTGATCAGCATGACTTCCACAGTTGTTCTCCATTCTTGGCAGTTAGGAGTTGCCAACTTGGATACTAAATCAAAAAGGGACTTGCAGTCAGTGATCAACAGTGCCTTTGGTTCATCTTGTAGGGACTTTTCTGGGTACTGCCATTTAAAGCTTGGATTGTGGATGAAGGCCCACATACATCGGATCCATGTCAGCTTATCCAGGGATGAACTCATTGCATACGCCTCAGCGCTCAGCGTTGACCTGACTACCCGGCCAATTTGCTTGGAGTTCCATGCAACAGGACTGATGTCAGACGTTTTGTTTTCACTCAGTGCTTTACTGCATGCAACTATAAACAACCCCTGTTGTGCTCGGAGCTGAGAAGCGGATGCAAAACTGGCGTCACCAAAACTTGCAAAGGTTGTATCTTCCAGAGACAGCGGACGTATCTGGATAGCAGTTGGTGCCGTCTCTTTCGCTTCCAACAGAACTTTGTTACCATCTAAAAGATGCTGAACTTTGGCCTGAGGGATGCTTTTCTGTAAAAACGACACCTTTGCTGCCAGATCCGGACGGCTGTGCACAGCAGCGTACTGGAGGCTGCCGCACAGGGCACGCAAGTCCTGAACTTCTTGTTCAGTGGCGTTGTCATCCTTTTGGACTCTCCTATTCTTAGCTATGTTTATGGGATCTATCTTATTGATATATTCCCCTTGGCTAATTCGAATGGAGTTGTCTGGCAATTGTTCGATGTCCAATCCGGTGAACTTGAACTTTCGGTATTCTCTTTGTCCAAAGGGCAAGATTTTGTGGAGTTTGGTCAGTGCCTTTTCAAACACTTCGTTCCCTCCCCCAATACCATCATCGACATGAGTGCCAAGGATCCCATTCAATTTCTGTGGATTCTGAGGGTCTCGCAACATGAAGAGGCATCCATCCAAAGGATGTGCACTAAAGATCACTAAAGCCTAAACTTTCCAGCTGCTTGCGAAGTTCACGATAGAAGAGGAGTGGTGCATCAACCCTTCCGTGCGCATTTCCTTCCAGCAAACATACTTCATCTTTGCCCATTTTCAGGAGGTCCCGTAACTCACTTACTGGTTCCATGGCTAGTTCTCTACCATCAGCTCTTCCCCTGAGGAATGCGGTCGTGATGTCAAAGCTTTGGATATCCCAACCTGAGGAACACACTGTTTGAAAAAGGAGTTGTCGGGCATCTCTTCCAAGTGTTGGACTGTCGGTGTTTACTTGATCAATTTCCGGATCTTGATAACCCCTAACAACAAGGCGGGCTTTGTGTTTATGCCCACTTGGTGAAGTTGGGTCTGACTTATATGTGAGGATCCACCTCGAGGTCATGATTCTATCAGGGTGAATGCGATTCCTCAGGATCCTTTTTACGGTGCTTGTTTCAAGCCAGCAACGGAGCTCTTTGTCCTTAGCTCGGTCGAAGAGTTGCTTCTCTTCGGAGCTAAGCGTGGAATACCTCACTTCGGCTCGGGACTTTTTGGCCGCAGTTGTCAAAAGCACGGCGTGGGTTTTGGGCTGATGTGATACTTTTTCCATCAGCTGCCAGGGCATCTCGAATTCAAAACTGCAATGGTCCAGCGATTGGTCAATGGCATCTGTCCAAAGTGTATCTTCGTCACCTTGTAAGACAGGGCCATCAGGAACAGATTCCACTATGCAGGCATCGTGGACTACGTTATCGGTAGTGGCTACATGATGAGCTACACTATTTTCCCCCTGGCTCTCCCCTACAGAGGATGCTTCCCCAAATGATACATGTGAGTTTTCTCCCATGTTTTCTCCCCCTTCCGCTGGGTTTGAAGGTGCAAGTGAAGGTTCATATGAAGATCCGGCATGGTCGCTTTCAAAATTGTCATTGGGTATTGGTGTTTCAACTGGAGTTTCCAATGACATTTCAGGGACTTCTATATTGGAAGCTCTTCGGGTTGGTTCTTCTTCGGGTTGTAAGGCTGTGTGTTCTCTACGGCTGATTTCTTCGGGATTTACAATGGGGTCTTCACCCATGTCTGAGAACTGGAACATGCCACTTCGATCATGGAGTCGTGCCTGCAATTGGCTTGACATTTGTTGGATACGCGCGAGCTCGACTTGTTGGCTGAAAGTTGGATGGTGCTGAAGCTCTCTCAAACTGACTGGTCGGAGGTTGTCACGTGCACATCTAAGCAAACGGTTCATGTGTGTCACCCAAACAATGGTCTTGGATTCTGTGAGAACAACTTGTGCTGGACCACACCATTTACCTTTCTCCAACATATTTGGTGACTTGCGACGATCCCAAAACATGCATGGCTGGCCGCATTGCCATTCTATTGGAACTCCTCTAGATTGTTTCAGAAGGGCTCTTCTGATGGCTTGGGAATTGTCACTTTCAACAAAGGCTTTTCTGGCTAACGTTCGGAGTTCCAAAGCTGCTCGGAAACGATCAGCTTCTGGGCTGTCGCCAGTGGCTTGTAGATGGGCTGTGTCATCTTGGTCACCTAAAATCGAGGCTGGCAACTTTGTGGCGCGTCCCAAAACGGCTTGTTCGGGGCTGTATCCACTGATACATGACATTGCATTCTTGGCTCGGAAGCTTTGGGACAGTGCTTGGTCGAACTCTCGATCATTTTTGATAGGGCTACTGTTGTCAATACGGGACAGCATTTCTTTGACGACCCCCCCATGACGTTCTACCCTACCTCTTTGCCATGGTCCGGCTGTTAAGATTGGCTTGATTCCTTTCTGTTGCAAAAGGTTTTTCATTTCATCAGAAACCAGTTCTCCTCCACAGTCCATCATGATTTCCTGTGGCGTTCCGGCCCATGCTTGCCAGCTTTCGGAAAAGACTTTCCATGTGCTTGCAGTGTCGCGGCATGATCGGTGTCCTAAATGAAACTGAGTGGCTTCATCGATAATGTGTATAACACACCCTTGAAAACCAGTCTGACCTTTCCACTCGAAACCGTCCAAAGAAATTCGCTGGTTAAAGTCACGTGCTTCTTTCAGGACACCTGGTGGATTCAGCGACGGAGGTCTGCGTTCGGCGCATGAGGCACAAAGATATTCTTTGGCTGCATCAATCATCTCAGTTGAAGCTCCTTGCTCTGCCAAGTGCTTGGCCAGTCTTTCTGCAGTTGGATGGCTTAAGTTATTATGTAACTTCTGGATAGCCCTTTGCTTGGTCGGTTCTAAAGCAAGGAATTTTGGTCCGGAGATGGTTGCTGCTGCGGATGTCCATGTGCTGGCTGGGACATCTACGTTGTCACACGGCTTTTCCATGGAATCCTGTTGGTCCATTGGAACATCAATTGTGTCCTCCGTTTCTCGGGGAGGTTCTGGTGCAGACCTGGCAGGCTCTGAATTACTGGCTCCAGCTTCGATTGGTCGACCGAACACACAAACCATGACATGAGATGGGAATGCTTTCCGATTGCGCTGGTTCTTGGACATTTCTCGGAGGTCTTCCCAACCTAAGTCATGAACTTCATGTTTACCCCGGCTAGTCACTATGGTTCTTCTATGGGACAGATTATCCGGGTGAGTCATAAATTTTTCTCTCCCCTTACATGCCATGACTCCTTGGATTTGGTGCTCGGGACACAAGCTTTGGATTTTCTTGATGAGCTCTTGGTGCGGGCCATCCCATTGTTTCACGCCTGACTTGGGCAGGCTCTGGCGCAGGCTGTTCATGATTTCATTCCAGGTGTCATCTCCTAGTCTAGGTGGTTCTTCTTCTTGATGTTCGCGTTTCAAACCTCTTGGGACCTGAAACCGGCTTTTCTTTTTGGGTGGTTCCTCAACTTCAACTGCTGGAAACCCATCATGAACGAATGCGGCAGACGGCAAATCAAGTGGGTCTGGCATCGGGCTCATTACGGCTTTGGCTATGCTCTTGGCAAGTGCCGTGGGATAAAACGAGGCAAATTGAGACAGGGGGATGCGCTGACCCCTGAAATGACACGATCCGGCTATCTGGGCATGCTCGTGATTCCTATTGCAAAAACGGCTGTCCAGTGCTTTCCAAACTTTTTCGGAAGAAGTCTGTACACGGGTGTTCTTTTTCATGAGCTCCCCAGTCTCCGGATGTTTCAGCTGGAACGCACACTGATCGAAAAATGCTGGCTTTGTGCAACGGCATATTCTTTCGAATTCCTTCTGATGCCAAATGCTGGAGGGACCCGGATTTTCAACATGACAGTGGTCTCCCTTGGAAATCTGAATCTTAAAAATCAGGTCACATAAGCGCAGGTGAGTTTGTGCTTGACTGCGGTCCTCTTGCACTCGGTTGAAGGCTGTGATTCCGCGCATCTGATTGAATCTGCTCCATGGATCCCACGGACGGCACTCTGGAGCGAGCCATATATGCTTGGGATTCAGAAGAAATATCTTTCTCAACAAAGCTACTTGCCCGGCATGAGTGGATAAATCCCCATCATCCCTTGTGAATCTGACAGCTTGACCCCCTTGTTTCCTGACTTCATCAACTAACTTACTATTTGGTTCGGTGTACACCTCTAGCAGGTCTATCCTACGGGTGCGTCTTGGCATATGGTGAATGCAGTTCATGAGCCACTTCATTTCATCTTCATTTTCAATCAGTAGATCATCATAGGCCGGCTCCTTGGGTGCCGCATTCATGCGCTGGCTCTCAGTGCTCGATGTTCCAGGGCTTCTCGAGCTTGAGCATGCATGATGAAGTCCTGCATGGCGACGTTGGCCGTTGCGGATCTTGCCGAAATCCAGGCCACGTAGTTTGGGTGCTGCTCGTACACTTCTGAGAAGCGGGACCCATTGTGGGTCTTGCCCCACGAGACTCTTTTGTTGCCCCATGACTCCAAGGCCTGGGCCGTGAGGGCTATCTGGCTCTCGGGCACATCGTTCGCCCCTGTCGCTGCTGCAGTGGTTCTTTGTGGAGAGCTCTGAACAACTGTGGACTGCTTGGGCATCTTCTGGCGGTGGGCCGTCGACTGGTGCAGGTTCACATTCATGTTGGTGGTGGGCATTGGGCCCAAACTCCCCATTTCCAGTTCCTCCAGATCCCATGAAGCGTCCGACTGGTCGCCAATCTCGAAACTTCTGCTTGATCCAGCGCTCTTGACTTTTCTTGGTGAACCTGACAACGTTTTGCCCTGCAGCATCTTTGACAGTTGCTCGATGCGTCCCTTCTGGCTCTGAACCTCGTTCAGAAGATTCGACAACACCTGGGCATGATCCGTTGCAATCTCCTGGTCCGGTGCTCTCACCTCCAACTGGCTCATCAGTATCACCAGCAACAGGCGCAATGACTCCATGATGGCCTCTGCCGTGCTCTTGATCATGCGCATGGCTTCTCCCTGTGTTGGCATGGTGAACACAGGATGGCAAAGTCAGGCCTGGCGGTGGAAAAAAGCTTGGTGCTCGATCGGCTTCGGCTGTGAAACTGTGCTGGTGACGAGGCTTGACAGGCAGGCACAATTCTGACATGCTGATGAGGTACAGGCCATTCTTACTTTCTTGCAAGTTCAGTTGACGGTCAATCCTTGTCAAATAGCAGTGATTATTGGACAAATTGATCTGTGCTCCTAGCATCTTCATGGCTTGAATGGACAGCAAAAATGGTGTGGCGGCAGGGACAACTTCAATTACTATCCATATTTTCTGGGTCGCAGTGAAAATAGGAATATGTACCTGTTTCTGGCTATATGTCACCTGATTGTTTCCAAACCTGAATCCTATGTTACTTGATTTCTCTTTGATCTGGTTTCGAACACAGGGCGGCAGGCTTTTCAACACATGTGGCAAGACATCGTGTCCTACTACGCTTCGGCTGGCTCCGGTGTCCAAAATGGCAAGGCCAGCTTGTTTGACATTCTCCATGTCAAGGCTGCTATGGAGGCATTCCACATCAGTGGAGGTGGGTTTCATCGGTCCGGGTGACTTCCTGTGCAACAGGCGGTGGGCAAAAAACTCTTGAACCCTTGGGATGCATTCGTGCAGGCAATAGGCATGGTGGATCGGAATGTCCACTTGGGTATGATCTTCTCTTTCTGGCATGCTTTTTACCCCATTATCGTTATCACCCCAGGTTATCCCCATTATTTTATGGTCCCCACTTTTATCCCAGTCCTCCCAGTGAGTGGCAAAGCTCTGAATCTCCTCGTCATCTTCCGTGATCGATTCGAAGATCACCTGGGCATCCTGGTCATTGTTGGGCATGGTAAACCGGTGTTCCTGGTGCATCGCAAGATTCACATTGTCTTGCGTGTTGTTGGTGCCTTTGTGCGGGCACTCAGCTTTCCAATGCCCTTTTTCTCCACAAGCACGGCAGTTCGTGCGCGCGATGCGGGCTAACAGCCCTCCTTTTCCAGATCCCTTCTTGAACCCTTTGCTGAAACCACCCTTGTTTTTGCCCTTGTAGGGCGGCCAGAATCCCCTCGACTTCTTCTTCTCCAAGATCTTTGTTCGGGCCTCATGGTAAGACACCAAGGCGTGCTGAAGATCTGGCACTTCTTGGAACAACTCTTCCAAGTCTTTCTCGAAGCTCACCATATTGAGAGCGTCGGAGTCCCCATTTTGGGCCATCTGTTCCAGGGTCTCGGCATCGATCTCGTCATCCTCATAGACGACTTGGTATGTGGTGGCCATGTTTGCATCTTGTTCAACTTCAGGTTCCACATAGTTGGTTGGGTAGACCCGTTTTTTGGGCTCAGCTCCGGACGACAAGACACTGGTTGCCAACGTCCTCATTGCTTGTTCAACCTTGGAGACTTTCATATCTCCCGCAGTCATCGTCAGGACACGCTTGCGGTCCTCCACTCCGAGTGCACTTTGTTTGAGGAGCAAGAAGGCATGGAACTGTTTGACATCCACGACTCCCAACTCGTCCATTGCCACCTGAAGTCGGTTGACGAAGCTGGTGGTTGATTCATCGGCCTTCTGGTTTGTCTTGTACAGGGCTTTCTCAAACAACTCGTACGTTTTCATCTCGGCTGATTCTTCCCAGCTTGACAAGGCTTTGAGCAAGTTCTTTACTCCTTCAGTTTTGTTGGTGAGAGACTCAGCATCTAATGCCTTCACCTGTCCCCACGCTGTACCCTTGCACAACATCGCCAGCCGTGGTGCCAGCATAGCTTTGTCACGATCTGGGCAAACCCCCTCGATGAATCTCACCTTCTCCACATACTCCCGCACGTTGTCAACTGCAGGATCGAAACTCGGCAGAAGGGACCAAATTGAATTGCCCTTCTCTTCAGAGCTGCTCGCCATTGCGGATCAACAGGCTTTACACGGTACCCCGTGAGCCCCCAGGGCTCCGCTACCAATGTAGCTCGGGGAGGAGTCTACAAAGGTAGGGACCCAGCTTCCCCTAATCCTTCGGGGTTTCCAACAAAAGGGGTAACCACACCCCAAAAGGCTCAGCCGGCACCCTGTGCCTATGGATGAACGTCCCACGTTACACTTCTCGGATTTGTGCGGCGTCCGCGCCGCTTGTTTTCCACACCTTGCGGAACTTGAGCCATTGGCCCGGTCGAACGGCGAGGTCTCCATGCTGGTACACCTGCAAGGCACATCCAAAGCATATATTGGCTTTTCACACATATATATATATATATACATATCCCATATATATCTTCATTGCATCCCTGGAAAATTCGTGATTTTTTTTAAAAATATACCCCATTCTGTAGAGTAAGACCCCCAATCGGATATTTTCGTGGTATCTGAAACATCATCCAGGTGACTGCGAGCTGGTCGCGCGCCTTTCATCGACCCCCCGTGGAGCGGCCGCTGAGCAAAGAGCAGGCCGATTTTCATAGGATTTCTATGGGGATAACATGGGATATCATAGGAATCTATATATATATATATTGGAAATAATCATCCCAATTGACTAATATTTTTCAGAGGGGTTGAAACCACCAACCAGATAGGTCTATGGGGATCACATGGGATAACCAACAAAATAAATGTGATTCTGATGATACGAGCTAGTTTTCCACTAGGCCTTCGAGTTCAAATGGACATGGTTGGAAGATCTTGGAAGCGTTGTGTGGTCGATCTGCACAAGCGACCTAGTTATCTGCGTCCTTTGGAAGAACTGGGTTAAATCGGATTTCGGTGGGGATCACGGAATATGAACATATATAGATGAACCATGATGAAGCCAGTTCATGTTTGCCGGGCAGTGGGTTATGGACAAATGCAGCATCTAAAAATCCCTTTCAATAAGTTCATCCCAGTTAAATGGGATTATATGTATATATTAAATGGATGATTTCCCCATTCCCCATATTCTTCCAGTTAAATGGGATGAATTTTCCCAGAAGTTTCCTAAAGCTTGGGGGCATCCCATTCTATAACTTGTCCCGGAAGGTACAGCAGCTGCTTGGTGCCAACTTTGGGCGTCGCTTGCAGCGCCTTTTCCAAAAAGGCTGCGGCTGGGGTGAAAAGGATGATTGACATATATTATGACTATTTATGACTATTATGACATATGAAACCACAAGTATTGTGATATTTGATAACACATTCAGGGTGAGATTTTGTTGCTTTTTAAGAACATATAGTTGATTTAGGTTACAAGCCAGGATCATATTTCCCTTCCACTCAGTCCAATAGAAAATATGCACGTCGCGGCCCCAAAGCGACCTCACGAAGATTCCTTGGGACGAAGAGGAAAATCCTTGGGTAATCATGGCAATGGACACTTCCCCCATCACAACCTATAGAATTATACAGTTTTGTTACATTAAAAGCCTGCATTTTTAGTGGATGATCTTATCAACGAATCTGCATTTCAAGGAGATTCCCCTGCCATTCCTGCCATGTTCGCTGACACTGTTGCGGGCACCTCAGTTTCCACGTCGCGAACTCAGGTCCGATGCGTCCCGTTTTGGCGTCTCGGATCAATTTCACCAAGATTGGCAGCTGGATGTGCACGACAAGGCCATATGGACCTGATCTGACCTGATCTCATTAAAATGGCTGTGTCTTTTCAAATGGGGTACACCCTCCAAATGATCATTTTTATGGTGAACATATTAATGAACATATTAATTGCCATATGGGAAAATGGTGATCAATCAGAATCATCAAAGTTCGGGGTACCTGAATTAATCCTTTCTGCGTCACCTAATTATGGTGGTTTTTTGGTATCCCACAAGGATCTGTTTTTTTGGGACTGGAATTTTCCATAAATCGACCTTGGAGGCGTGTTTTTTTGGGCGTTTTTTGTTGGGATGATTTGGGTTGGTGAACTAAGCGACATTGACTGGGTTCATTGGTTGATCATGGTTGATCCAGACTCAGACCCATCAATATTGGCTGAATTATCATCAATGATCTACACTAATCATTTGGCAATTCCTCAGTGTTTACGGTAGAAATCTGCTGACGATTCGTCACCTTTGGAGATCTCCAGGTGGAGCAGGTGAAGGTGGCCCCAGGCGGCAAGGGCGAAGCGGAGACTCGGCGCGATTTTGGACTGGGGTTGGTTCACTACAGGATGGCGCCCCCAAGATAGCTAAGTTGAGATGTAAATGGCTCAACATTTATGGTTATATAAGTATATAGTTAATGGGATTTATAAATCAACCTATAACTGGGGGGCACCATCCTGTATATGCCAATGACTGGAATATAATATAGATGGGGGATGTTAATATGAACACTGATGATTATAAAATTGGGTATATACTGTAAGATTTCATGGGGATTAAACAACGATCAATTTTTAAATCTATTTCGAAACAGAACCATATGATTTTCGAAACCATGGACCATGGGATAGATTGGGGACTCTAGTTCAGACAACCTCAATTGGTGCACGTCTTTATCTACTTCCTTCTTTCAGCCAACCAAGCATACCATAATACCAAACATACCCAACTGGGACATTGTTTTTGTGGTCGAACCACGACCCTGACTGTTAGGTGATAAGCTGGTTGACGACGGATCGCCACTTGCCCAGCTTCTTTGCCGCAGTCATGGCTTCAAAGTGGTGAGAACTTGACATTTGACCGTTTTGACCATTGAGAATTCGCGGGGGTGTCTGAAAAGTCGGTACCCCATGGTAGCCCTAAATCCATTGCTGAATCACAATGTGTCCTATGAAAATTGATGAACATTGCTTTTTTTGGGAAGATACCATGATATAACCCATTTTCTGACTGATCCATATAGATATCAGAACCACTGCGACCACAGCTGCGACCATAGCGACTTCATGGAACTCTTGGTGCCTTCGTATCCCTACTTGCGAGATCATCCCACTTAGTAACTGCTTACTCACCATAGTTCTAAGATGTTATAAGATGTTACCGATTTATCAATGGGATAACCCCCTTACCCTCTGGTAAACTAACATAACTATGGAAAATCACCATGGTTAATGGGTAAATCAACTATAAATGGCCATTTTCAATAGCTATGTTAAATTACCAGAGGGTAAAAAAACTTGCTAACCAGGCCCATCCAGCAGGCGTGGTGCGCTACAAGAGTGCCCGAAGCCTATTCAGCGAAGTGGCGCAGGGCGAGGTCAACGTCTACACGACGCAGATCTGTTTGCCCAACTCAGAGGTCGGTGGCTACAGTCCGGCAGTTGACCTTGGTTGGTGGACTTGTATTTATATATATAAATGTATATATGTATGTGTATATATATAATACATATATTATATAATTATATATATACATACATATATATATAAATAATATAGAATCTAAATTATATTGATTGATAAAACATAGTATATACCTTCATATATATATATATATTATACATGTAATTATCTATTTATCTGAATACTGTATGGCGGGTTAAAACCTGTGATTTCCGCATATATTTAGTGACAGCAATCAGGGGATGATATACCAGCAGTTTTAAGTAATCGCCATAGCCGTCCATGACCGAACTTGTGGGTCGATTCCATAATCCATTACAGTATGTATATAATTATATATATATATTATATATACATACTGAACTGGGAATCCCCCATGGACCAAAGGGAAGTACTAAGTTTTCCTCGTTTTGGACACGCATGTCTGTGAGTTGCCAGTCCCAAAAACCGGGGATTTTCCATTTTGTAGCAGGTGGGAACCTGGGAAATTCGCCTCCAGTAAACTACCAGACGCTGTTTCAAATGGTGAAAAAAATCGACGACTTAGCTATTAAAAAGGTTGATTTTCTTCCTCAGGAAGTTGCATCCTGCTGCCTGCAAGATCAAGCTCCTATGGAGTCTGCAGAGTCCTACTGTCCTACTCATTGAGCCCCACTTCCCAGAGATCCATATGATATCCTCTGGTAAACTAACAGTTTGCTATTGAACATGGCCAGTCGAAATAGTGAGTTTTCCCATGAAAATCGCATGGTGATTTTCCAGTTCACTTGTTAGTTTACCAGAGGGTAATCCACCATTAATCCCCATTAATCACCATCAACTATCATTATTAACCAATTTACGCCATTTATAGATATTTATAGTGAGTTTTCCCATTAATAGCATGGTGATTTTCCATAGCTATGTTAGTTTACCAGTTCGGGTAGCCCATGTCTCCGGGGGAACTTTTCCACTTCGCATTTTCCTCCGACAGGTCATGACAGATCCACTCTTGGGGCCTCCCAACATCCCGCTGAACTACGATGAGCCCTGGCGGCAGCAAAGCTGCCTGGGCTGTCGCAGTGAACATGATGCCATGATGCTTTTTTGTTTTTTGTTCGTTATCATGAGAAGATGATGTTAGTTGTAGTTAATTAATTCTAATTATATATAATATATTATAAATACAACATATCCCCATCATTGTGCTTGGTTGTAAATTAAGGCAATGAATGTTTGGTGGAGAAATGAGTTGGATCCTCAACTTTCAGACCCCAAATAGGATATGTAGTTGGTTGTAATATCCCATTGTATCCATGATTAAATTTCCCATTGAAACCCGATTGTTTGTTGTAATAATGACTAATATATATATATATATTATTGTCAAACAGTTTTTTTTCCCTGGCTATCTATTACTTTCCATTAATATACATGAACATATTTATTATCCAACAATATCCATTAAACATCATGAGTGTCGTTTTGATCACATTCCATTCTAACATCCCATGATATCCATCCCTATGGATCCATGGCCACTGTCTGAGAAGGTACGGCTAACCCTCCAAATTATACCCCAGTCCCACTTCCTAAGAAGGTACTTGGATCCATAGGGCATTGTAATAGCCCATGAATTGTGATATCCATGAAATATCCACGGTTAGACAGCTCTAAACTCACAGTGAAAACCTCCGCAACGTGAGGAGCTGACAGCCTTGCTGAACACCTCGGCCTTTCTGCCCAAGGAGGGGTTTAGACAGGATCGGTGCGACGGGGGAGGTCGAAGCTCAGTTTGGGGATGTGATAAAATCCATATGACTTGGGAAAATTTAATATGGAATTACATGGGATCTACATCAAGCTTTAATCACATTTACAGTAATCAATATCTCTCAATATGTCATAGAGTCATAGATCAATCATGGGATAGACTAAGATTTGTCAAATGAGTATTTTTTAGAGTATATAGATTATTGGATTTTCATGAATCGAAGCCTGCGACCTCACTGGAACGATGGTTAGTATGGGAAATTCATCCCCGGCCAAAGCAGGTTACAATTTATCCAGGATCGACCGTAGGATCATGTTGCCATTTGAGGGTTTTACTTTTTTTTGGATGAAAAATAGCACTGGTTTGAGTGCTGGGTGTAGCATGGTTTACCACCTTATATCACCTTATGGTTCTTGGTGAAATGGTGTGGTTTCAGCCAGTCACAACGGGTGAGGGCCCATCATCTGGTTGACTGACCACTTTCCCAGTTGCAAGGGAGGTTTTATTCCCAGCCTGGGGTCATCAGATCGGTGCCTCCGCCCTGCAGTGCTAGGAGAGCGATTCGTGGCGTTTCTTGGGGCCCAAAGACGATCCCTGGGATTTCTTGGAAAAGACCAACTTCTGTGTCGACTACAAGACCCTTGGCGTTCATTGATTTCATATATATATATATATATACATATATAGGAAAGCATGGAGGATCATCACCAAACATGGAGGAACTTCTCTTTTTAACAAAATGTTGGGAGGCATGGCATTGTGGCCATCAAAAAAGTGGGGAAACAACATGATTTTAGACCACTGAAGGGCCATCCCACATTTTCAGGGAGATCCTCGCCTCCATCTGGCATGGATTCAATGAACCTACCCCGCTACCCCAGTACAACTGGATTTGGTGATTTTCCTGATTTTCCTGTGTGTTTCCCAACATTTTTTGTACAAACCCAGTCAAACACACCATCTTGTTGAAGAGTGTTGGTTATATCTGCACATCACATTCCTATGATAATATGATAGCTGCTTTTATACATACCCCCATGCCCATTGATTGATTTTTCCTGGCATCTCCCCCCATTGAAGTTCTCAGGAATCCCAAGGCCTACTACACCAGCCCCTACATCCACACTGTGACCCTCGCTGGCCTCAGCGGCTCCTCAGAATATAGCTTCCGCCCGGAGGGAAGCAGCAGGCAGGGCTGGGGCTCAGAAACAGCTGGAAGCTCCGCAATGCACGGTGATGTAGTCCATTAATCCAATTACCCTCTGGTAAACTAACATAGCTATTGAAAATCACAATTTTTAATGGGAAAATCCACTATTAATGGCCATTTTCAATAGCTATGTTAAATTACCAGAGGGTAATCCATTAATCCCATCCCATCACCATCTGAAAAACCATCCCATAGGCCGTTCATATTTAGACATCCCAGTGGCCGGTCCCAGATATGGCCACTTCCGACGTCTGGTCAGGACCTTCACCTTTACTACTCCTCCAGAAGCTGGTGCGGGCACGAGCCGACCCTTGCGCGTGGGCGTCTGGGCACCTTGAAGCAAAGTGCGATGGGATCCAGCAGTGGAGAGTTGTTCTACCAATATTAATCACCAAATATAGTTGAAATATAGCCCAAATAAACTGTAATCCCCAGTAGATCCAAACAACTATATCCCCAACATTATATCCCAAATGGGTGGGATATCAAATAGTATAGTAAAACGGCATTTTGTAGCCAAAATCGAAGTGACATATAAGTATCCCATTGTTATCCCAAGTGATTTGTTTACTAGCGGATGTTGATTTTACCGAAACAGTGATGCAACCAGCAGAAATTGGAATTTTGCCAGCAAAAATAATGGGATATATAGTCAACAATTAGATGGTTAGACACTCAAAAATTGACACTTTCAAAAAGATACAGTAGCTTGAAAGCACTATAGATGTGATTAAATGATGGTGTGCTCACAACGACCTCAATGTAGATGCTGGTGAGGAAAACCATTCCAACATTGGTTTATTTCTGATCCAGGAATTGTTACTGTAGAATTTGCCCAGATGGTTGCTTGGCGGTAAAGTATATTACTGTATTATATATTATTATTCATTCTCTGTTGCTGCTGCTTTCCATCATTTTCCCTCATATAAAATGCAATCATGATTGATCTGAGTTTTGTGATGTGAAACCAACCAGATGTGGATCTAAAGCAAAAAAAACGTGGGAGTCTTGGCGCCCAGAGTCGCATTGGTCATGCGACTCTCAGGCAGACATTGGTATCACCAACGTGAGCTTCGGCCGGGACCTGAGCTTGAGGGCCCGGGGGCCCGGGCCTGGGACTTGAGGCAATGATTTTAGAATAAATATTTGGGATTTTCCATAGAGGTACCCAAAACTGGATGGTTTACAAGGGAGAATCCCATTAAAATGGATGAACACTGGGGGTATCCACATTTGTGGAACCCCCCATATGTTATACATATCCTCATTATATCCCCATGATCAGTGGTTTTTGCCACCATGAAATATATTGAAATATCATATTGTATCCCCAGACTGTCATGTGCCATGAGCCTCCCATCCCACAATCGAACATGGCAATGGAAAATCATGGAAAATCCCACATTCAGTTTGATGTTGCCATAGATTTCAAGAGGATACCAGACACGTTGCCACGTTGATCTGGGCTTTTTTGCGCATAGAATTTATAAAATATCAATGTGTTCCATTATGTATACCCATTCGTACCATAATACCGTACCACCATTCTTCTGGAAGAAATCACTATATGTTGCCCTCTGGTAAACTACTCGTAACATAGTGGAAAGTCAGCATATTTTATAGCTATATAAATCATCTATAATCATCTACTAGGCAATTTTTTTCATCAATTTTCCATACGAGCTTTGTTAGTTTGCTTAAGGGTAATTCCCATTACAATCCTCATGTTTCTTGGTGAAATCACCATAATCTCACCATAAAATCCCACTAAATCAACCATGAATCACCGTTACATCCCATTAAATCACCACTATCTGACCGTAAAAATCCCATTAAATCCACCATGAATCCCCAGTATCTCCCACTAAAATCAATTAAATCACCACTATCTTACCATAAAGAATCCCACGAAATCCCATTAAATCACCATAAAAATCCCACGAAAATCCACCATGAAATCACCCATTGCTGCGCCGAAGCGTGATGTCCCAGATGCTGCGCTTAGCACCCGAGCTGCTGATGTCCCTGGGGGACCTGTCCTACGCCGACGGCTGGGCGGAGCGCTGGGATATCTTTGGCGGCTCGGTACGGCAGCAACGGAAAACACCATGGGAAAACACACTTTTGTCCTGGTTGGTGGTTTGGAACATTAATGATGGTTAATAAAGGTTAATAAAAATCTATGGGTATATGGAATTATATAATGGGAATATATACCAATAAATATGGAATATGGTTTTATATGGGATTATAATGGGATAATCGTCTTTATAATGGGATTATATACCAATAATAGTGGTTAATGATGGTTAATCATCCAGCTGGCTGGTGGTTTGGAACATTTTTTGTTGTTCCATATACTGGGAACTATCATCCCATCTGACGAACTCCATGATTTTTGAGATGGGTAGGTATACCACCAACCAGTGTCTCATGAACAGGCTGTAGTCTCCCAGTTTATGCAGGCTTTTTCCCTTCCAAGAAGGTTTTTCCCTGCTTTGATTTGTGACATTTGCCAGCCATTTGGTCCAAAGATCTTGGAAAACTGAAACAACATGTGGCCTTTCTGAAAAGATGACGGGAAAAAACAACTATATATAACTTATATTAATAACTATGTTTTTTTGATTGGAACATTTTTTTTGGTGGGAAAGTGAAGGATCATCATTTTGAAATCTGAGTTGGTAAACCAAAGGCCATCCAAAGTCTATAACCAAAAGCGGTTGACTTAGCAGAAATGGCTCCTTGTCGCAACCATCTCGAGAAAAGGAAGTGTAGGGCATTGGGTTTAACACATTGGTTTGATCCATGTTTAGCAACATTCCGGAATCATTTGGGCTTGCAACCTCTACCAAATGGTCGATGGTCCCGTTCCAAGAGGGATGTATATAATTATTATCGAAATACGTTTGGAAATTCTTGAAATCTTGAAACTACCATAAACTACCTAAACAAATCTATGTGAAAGGGTCTTTTTTATTTCCCCAGTTTGTGAACATGAACTCCTCGGTCGAGCCCTTAGTGGCCTCAGGCATCATGATGGAACCTTTGATGTCCAGTCGCTATCACCTGGCCGTGGCTGGCAATCATGAGATGACACAGACTCTTGGTGGATAAAACAGGATAAAACACGACGACTTCATAGCGACCTCACTGAAAAAATGATGATATGATGGCTAGCTTTAAGGACATCATGGCGAAATGGCCTATTTCTGAGATTTTCTGAGTTTAGGATGAATCATAGGTCTAGATGGATCGGATGGATGTACTCAATGGACCTCATAGTGGTGGCAACGGTGTTGTTTATTCCTTCATTGCATTTGTATGGCTGAGGTTCCCGTTGAGTGGCAGTCAAAAAGGGCCATCATTTGTGATAATATATAATATATAATTGTATATATATATATAGATTTATGATTTATGATCCTGTATAGTTTTTGAAGACTGAGTGCTGGTACAGTCTAGACTTACAGTCTAGACTTACAGATTGAAGCACCCATACGCTGCTGAAACACTTGGAGGCAAGTGAACGTTGTACTGTAGATAGAAAATGGTCAGCTGATGGGTTACCGAATTCCTGCTTAGATCCCCTATGGAACCTCAAAATAGATGACTTGTCCACTGGTACTCGTTTTGCAGTACACCCCCGGTAAAGTGGTAAATCCAGCAATTAAACATATTCCATGTTCATCCAGTTACCGTCTTTTTGCCATATTTGGACGTCCTATCCACATTTTTTCGTTTTTTCACCAAATCTATATACCATCTGGTTATTTAACATAGCCATGGAAAGATCCACCATTTTTAATAGGTAAACCATCTATTTCTATGGGTCATCTATACCATGGCTATGTTAGTCATAACCAGATGGTATCTATCCAAACAAATGAAACAGCTTCAGGAACAATGCGGTGGATCTGATCCATCGCTATCCCATGCCATTCCGTCCATCCGGAGCTCCGAATCCCCTGATGTTCGCCTACGAGACGGGTCTTTTGCAGCTTGGCACTGACTGTTCGTTCGGAACTGGGTGGCTAAATCGAAGGAGATTATCCCATTTACCCCTGGCCTGTACTAAAAAGATCTAAAATAGTGCAGTACTGGTACCCAAGAATGGCCTTAAGTGAATAGATCAATAGATTAAACATGTTTCACCAAGTTTTTAGGGGGTATTTCAATGTATTTCATAATGAGCGGGGACGATTTTTGTTTGGACATAGATCACCTGGGATGACTGGCTGCCAGAGGTATGTGCTGGGCCTTCCCGGCAGCTACGCTGCCACAGACCCGAGCTCCGCGCAATGGGCTTTTGCAGCGGAGAAGTTGATGGCCGTGGATCGACAGCGCACCCCGTGGGTCGCGGTGATGTTCCACACCCCCTGGTGCGCCAAGAGCTGGAGGTTTGAAACCAGTTTGAAGCCATGTTTTTGTTGGAACACCTGGAGTCTGGGAGATAGTAACTGTATAGTGAGTGGGCAGGAAGTCATTTTTTGGTCCAGGAGGGACTGTTTGCCACCGACATCGATGGGGTCGGTGCGGTTGATGATTTGCATCTGTCTGCAGACATGCTCTGAAGAAGTGATGAGAGAGTGATGTCGATCGATATTGATGTCCTTACTTGATGTGCTTGTCGGGGTAGTGCTTTGCCAAGTGGAAGATCCGTTCGGTATAGTGTTTTGGCGGCGGGAATTGTAGATCATCTACCTGTGCTGCTTGTCAAACGACGATTTTGTTGTTTGGTCGGAATGTTGTGTGTCTCTTGCCATGTTGGGTGATGTTGGGTGTCTCTTGCAAAGCCCCAACATGAAGGACAGCGGTTCCAACACAGTCTCACCACCTTACCCGCAGAGTTGTCCAAGCATAGCCGGTCCTGGGCATTCTGCACACCGTTGGCCGGGTGTGAGGCGCAGTGGCAAGATCCTGGGAGTTTGAGGCCAACCCACTGATATGCTCAGTGGATGACAATGACACGATGCGCTAACGTGTCCATTGGGCTCCCGCCGTGGAGAGCTGTATCCGGCAACGCAGGAACCCTCCCTCGCGCTTGCCACTGCAAGGAGGGGAGGCCATCCCGCTTGATAATATATGATATTACATGATATTACATGATAATACTAAATGAGTAACCGACAAAATTATTGTATGTACTAATTTAGTCTTGCTTCGCCTTGGCTTTTCTGAGGTTGCACAAAACCTTCATAGCCGATAGGGGACGACCCTATACCGATACCCCGTTTGTGATACCTCTGGGAGTACTGAAATCTTCACAAGCGATAGGGGACCACCCTAATTTGTGCATGGCATTAAATTTAGCATTTTTTTTGTCCGCTACTCATATAAAGTAATTGAAGGGGGTGGAACCATGTGGAACCTCATCTACTTCGATGTGAGGGATAGAGTATTTCATTTTCAATTATTATTTGTCATTCATATGCTCCAAGTCCATTCTTTGAGGGGACCTGTCCATTCTTCTGCGTGACGGTGTAGCTTGGGAGGTACAACAGCAACAACGCTCATTTCGGAGAAGCATTGAAACATCAGTGGGACATGGAATCTCTTTTCTATCAGTCGCCTGGCATCAGCTGTCAGCAGCACTATGCAGCATCCCCATCCGGGTCATGACAAAGATGGGGATTTTGCAGAGGTTTTTACGTGCTGTTTGTTTGAAAGGGGATATATGATTAATATTGATTAATTGTGTAATCAAATTGGTTGGAGTCAAGGAGTCAGATCCTGAACACCCAGTATTTTTGGTCCTATTCTGGGTTTATTCATGTTGACCACTCCAATTTTCGGTCCAGTGTGTTGTGGGGACATGAACGGGGACATGATTTTCCGTATGGATAGCCCGGGATAGCCCGGGATAGCCCGAGTTCTTGGAGAAACGAGGTATGGAGTTGACCTGGTCTTCAATGGACATGTTCATAGCTACGAGCGTTCCTTCCCCGTCTACAACAACACGGTGGACGATTGCGCCTTGGAAGACGTTGGAATGACTGGGAAAACCACGACACAAAACGCAACCTTGTAACATTGACTAGAACCCCGACAAATGATCTGGAGGGTTGGAATAAAGTTAGAATAAGTCGGATGAATCATGATAAATTATGTCTGATAAATCATTATGATAAATCATGATAAATCTACAAGTTCCAATTCACATGTCATTTCACCACAATTGCTTTCACATTGCTTCGCAATTGATCCCAATCGATCCACCTGGCGTCGAGATCTCTCGAGTGTATGGCCTTCATATTGCCATAGGTATGTCAACCTTGTATCATATAAATAGCTATGGCCCTTGTCCATTCACATGCCTAGGTTATAGATTATACCTATTGATATTGCCATAGGTATAATTATGATATTATACGGTCCATAAAACATATCATATAAATTCACCTTGTATCCATTGAAACAATCATCCATAGTGATAACTCCGCTATGAGCAGCAGTACAACAGCCGTAATTCAACACTATCATTATTATACTGGTTATTTTAAGCTATATCCATTTGTTAAATCCATCTCCACCCCATCACCATTTCCACCCCCAATGCCTTCACCTGAAGGTGGCACGGTGCACATTGTCGTGGGCGATGGCGGCAACTACGAAGGTCCTGCCCTCTATGAGGGCCACCCCCCTGGGTGGCGCCAGCCGCAGCCACTCTGGAGTGCCTTCCGGGAGGCCTCATACGGACCAGGCACTGGCGGAGGGTTGCAGACATGATCAGACATGGCTACCAAGCGGCAACCACTACTTGTATGAGCATGTCATTTTTTGTAATGATCCATTTTTGGTGGTACAACTGGTGGCAATTTTGACACATCCAAAAAATTCGCGTTCCATTTGATATTTTCTTTGTATCCCCATTCGGAACCATGGTTTCGCATCAGGCATCTGTCCATACTTTTGGAGGTGTCACAGGCGATGCACGATGCACTAACTGAGTGAGAAAACCCCACAGGTCGTTAATAATTTAATAGGTGGTGAACAGTTGTCAACATAAATACGTATGTCTATATGATATATAATGATATGTACATATTGTTGACAACTATTGACCACCTACAAACCACCTATTAACCGCTGGTTTGCCACCTCTTTGAATGCTCCAGGCCTTCTGACTATCTACAACAGCAGCCATGCAGAATGGCGCTGGCACCGTGTAGCCTGCGTATTTCAGAACAAACACCATGAGCCTGTCAAACTGACGAAATTTACTTATGATGCTTGGCAAGTCAACTGATTTGGAACTGATGGGCTGGAAACATTCAAAAGGCATGACAGCTATACAGCAGCTATCTATGTATATATATATATGATACAGGTATACATAGGTATACTGTGCATGTATATAATATACGATTTTTTGAAATAGATAGACGTTGTTTTGTTCAGTGTGTCCAGATGTTTTAAACAAATTAGAACATTAGCATGCTTGTGTGAAAATTGAAGACCTCACATAGCCCTTAGATCACATTTAGACAAGAAACCAGCCATAGGAGTGATGTTCCTTAATTTTCTCCAATCAATCAACCACCATTTTCCCATCAATCAACCACAAGTTTTCCATCAAACTTGAGATACCGGAGATAGAAGTGAGACCCACCTCACTGTCCTTAAGACCCATTTGCAAAGGCGACGTGTTTTAGCTGTGACTCAGGCGCCGTGGTGCTCCAGACCCGATTTGGTTGATGTTTTGCTGTTCAAATTGTATCGATTATATATATCATATTATATCATGTTATATCATGTTATATCATATTATATCATGTTATATCATATATCATGTTATATCATGTCATATCATGTTATATCATATTATAGTATATCAGTATGTAGTATTCTATATGTTATATATATATATATTAATGTGGGAGCCGATCGCAAATGCAAGTCTAAGAATTATGAAAGGGCATGCGTATTTCAGCATCCGCGATTGTAAAACCCTGCGTCGCGATTGATCGGCGATTGGTTCGCGATTGAGACAAACACTTGTTGTTAAGAATCGACTATTGTAAGAGGAGAAATCAACATTACCTGGGCCTTCCAACTCCTAAAAGATATCAGTCGTTTTGCACAATCAGGCGTTTCATCAAATTTATGGTCGTATCGAGCGTTTCCCCAAAAAGTTAGGCGTGGTATGTCATGGCTGTGTTTCCCATCGGCATGGCCCTCCTCCCAGTTTTCTCACCATCATTTTGCTTTCAAAATATGGAGCCGCACATCCAAGTTGGTTTCTGTTTAATTGCGCGCTCCCAAAATTATACAAATTTACCAGATTCTTGGATTTGCGGGCGTTTTGCAGGTAATTTTGGGCGCAGTTATATATGTGCATTTATATGCGTTGGTGCTCGGGATATGAGAATGGCCTGGTATGTTCCTGGGACGCAGCCAGGATGCAAGCCATGTTTAGTCATATTCAAAATGTCAATTGTGGTGATAGTGTGGCCACTAGGAAGCAAAACCAGGCACACTAGTAGAATTAGACGAGATTCTGAAAATTGGGTTATTTTAGGTCATACTCCAAAACTATCAAAAATAATTGATCGAAGGAATGTTCAGGTATATTTTAATGGCATGATAATTATGTTACATGTCAGCCTAATACTGTATTCGTGTCTGCCTAGACACTGTGTTCAATAGTGATAGCCAATAGCAAAGAAGAATCAGAACAACAAGTTCAAAGTCTAACAACCCAGATCAATTCAATTTTCAAAAAATGTCGATGAAATCCGCGATTGGTTCGAGGTTGATCCGCGATTGTTAAAGCCGCCTGAGTAGGCCCTGGCTCACGCCATGTCTCTAAATGCTGTGATATTGTGTAGCAATGTTTTGACGATTCTCTGCGCAAAATAGTGTCGCAATGTGTCGCATACGACAGAACCCTCCCGCGACACCGCTGGGATCGCGGTTGATTCGCGGTTGATCGGCGATTGTAGCTGCCCCAGATACCTTTATTTTGATCAGCACCCATATGAAGATAATATGATATACATATATACATATTATTGATTATTGAATAATGTATTATATATATAATATTAGTAACATATTTCTGTATCCTAAGAATGCATCAATTTGCTCCATTTCTCGCAGCGGACTCAGGATGGTAGCACCAAATCCCTGGGCCGCACTCGGCCCATCAGCGCCTACTACTGGGACGGGGTGTCTGGCCCCGCGGACGGCCCCAAGTGTTCCACGGAGGGCGATAATTCAAAGCAGCTCAGATGCGCTCAGATGTTGGTGAACTAGGTGAAATATGAGATTTCGAATTCATGAATATATATATATATATATTATATATGACATGATATCTCATTATCTATCGATTTCTATGACAGATGTGTTTGTTGCTATTTTCTGGGAGAGACCTAAGGTTTGTCAGAGAATTAACTTTGCTTTTACGGCGCCGTGTGATAATCCCACACTTGCAAAACAATAGAATCATGGTACATAGTGATGTGCATCCAATCCAAACAAAATTGCTAACACCCGCCATTCTCCCACTTCCAATTTGGTTTTCGCCATGTCAGGCAAGCATTTGAAGCCTCAGACGTGGTGATGTTGGTGCGAAATCCTCAGAGATGCTCCAACAAGAGGTGGAAGAAGCCTCCTTCAGCCGCTGCGACGGAATTTTCCTTTAGAGGGAGCCTTGAGCTGACAATCTGGGCACATGGCGACCGAATTCGAGCCAACCTCATCTTAGATGATAGATAGAAGGAGAAGCACTCCCAGAATGAGAATAGTTTATTCTTGTCTCAAGTTCGGGAGTTCGAAGAATTGCGCAAAATTGATGAAAATGGAGTGATCCAAATGACGGGAAATCATCACCCTCCAGTTAGAAATAGTGCTTTTTGAGCAGAGGGTCGGTCATTCAGCCAAACATTATTTAAAATTACACATCAAAAACCTTCAAATCAAAGCGGAGTTCTGTCCAACTCCAGTTTTTTTAGGAGATGGTGACGTATGTGACGTGCAGCACGCTGTCCGATGTCCGGATAATCCGTCTGAGTTTCCTAGTCCATTTCCCTATCAGCCTGCAGCCTGCTTATGCAATGAATTATAAAACACATTTTAATACAGTAATTAAGATATATTAAGACACTGTACGTTTACAGAGGTTGAATATCATTCATCCCCATGAATATCTCACGGTAAGTTGATTCCCATGTGTTTTCCTCCTCTCTTGGAACGTCTCCCCAAGGATGACGCCGCACTTGGCGGTGCTGAGTGCTGCTTCGATTTTGGCCACGCTCATTTCGCTGAGAAGTCGAATGCCTTGGTCGAGCCCTGCTCGACAAAACGGCGAGAGATTGCTGAGCTCTCCGGTTTAGACAGACAAAATTGCAATGGGCTGCGAGATTTTGAGCATTTATTGTATATCTACGTTTCTTTTGATTACCGAAGGTGATCATTATCGAAGGAAGTTGAGAAGTCAAACTTCCGACAATAGGGACAGATGAAAAGCAGAGATGGGAAGAGTCAGAGAAGAGAAGAGAAGAGAAGAAGATAGAAGAAGAAAGAAGATCAACAAAGAGAAAGTCTCAGAAGAGGGAAGATCCAGGTGCGCGAAAAAGTAGGAAAGTTGCGAAACACCGTGTTTTTTCCAATGATTTGTGGCTCTGGAGGGTCGAAAAGTAGGCTCGCTAAAGCGGCGAGTGCGGAGCCATGTGGTCAGATGAGAGATGAAAAGTTGCACGCTGTTGTGGCGCGAAGCATATTTGGAAGTCAAAATGACAAAACACAACATTCTCGGACCACTTTTGGAAGTTGTGATGTCGAAAAAGTGCACGCCGTTGTGGCGCGAAGCACATTTCGAAGTCAAAAGTGTTGAAAACTGACGGGTTCAGAGCACTTTTGGAAGTTGAGATGTTGAAAAAGCGCACGCAGTTGTCGCGCGAAGCACATTTCCAAGCCAAAATGTACATTTTTGGAAGTTGAGAAAAGTGCACGCCGTTGTGGCGCGAAGCACATTTCGAAGTCAAAAGTGCAAAAAAATGAGGGGTACGGAGCACTTTTGGGCGTTCAGATGTCGTTTTGCGCGGCAGGCGCAGGGGATTGTGCACCTTGTCAAAAGTGAGCAAAACATGAGGATTTTGTAGCAGTTTCAAAAACGATGGCAGGCGTGGGACATTTGAAGAGGATCTGGAAAGATGCATTTCGCATGGCAGGCGCAGTACAAGAGACACATGAGGTAGATGTGTTAGGAGATCAGGGCGGAGATTTCCTGAGAGCGGTTGCATTTTGGAGCATCAGATTGTCAGTTTTGGGAAGATGATTTTGTGTGACAGGTGCAGCACTTCGTATGACCTGGCATCACTTTTTCGTGGCAGGCGGCAGGCGCAATACTTTAGACAGGTGGAGTGGACAAATCGCAAAACGCATTGGTACGAGGCCGTCAGCTTTGCACTCAACGTTCCATTTTTGAAGGAACTCTCGCAGAATTGCTTCGTTTTTGATCTTGCCAACTTGGAAAATTGAGGAAGTATCGCAGTCTCGCAGAATTGCTTGGTTTTTGACGTTGTCAATCAACTTCAAAAACTGAGGAAGTCTCACAGAATTGCTGCGTTTTTGACGTTGTCAAGTTCAAAAATTGGGGAAGTCTCGCAGAATAGCTTCGTTTTCAAGCTTGCAGATAGACAGATAGATGGATCAAAAGCTACAGCTACCACTACCACTACCACTACCGCTACACTACAGCTACAGCTACACAACTACAACTACAACTGCAACAAAAACCACCGCTACTACTTCTACTACCACTACTACCACTACCCCTACTACCACTTCTACGACTACTACGACTAGTACCGCTACTACCACTACTACCACTACTACCACTACTAGCACTACTAGCACTACTAGCACTACTAGCACTACTAGCACTACTAGCACTACTAGCATTACTAGCACTACTAGCACTACCAGCACTACTAGCACTACTAGCACTACTGCCACTACTGCCACTACTGCCACTACTGCCACTACTACCATGAGCGCAAACTCATGGTTTTGTCTCACCATGAGGATGGACATCTGGGACAAATCCCTCTAAAACTAATCGTAAACTCCTATTTGGGGTGGTTTGTCAGACCCATTTCTGCGAAGTCACTGGAGATGGTAAAAATGATGCTTTAGGTTTATCACATCAGATATATATATATTATATATATGATATCTACACCTAATATGGCTATGAATCAAAACCTATGATACCAGGAGGTTCCTGAAACCCCCATTTACCAACTGTTTCGGTGTTCAGGGTCGTTTTTTTGCTTAGCTCCACTGAGGCCTATTGCCATAGCAGGGGGGTGATTCATCGGGACTGAACTTGGATCGGATCCAGGGCTCTCGACATCAGCCGGAATCTGGATGTAGTGGAGAAGTAGTGGATCCATGATGTGCTTTTCATTTTTTTAGAAATTATACCATTGAAGATATGGGAAACTCAATTTTTTTCCACATCGAACTTGGTAGTATTATGTTGGATAACCTTTGGTAGACACGCATGGCAGTTAAACACGGTAATTGGCAAGCGCCCATTTTCCTATGACTTTCCCATGCCAAAGAAAGAACAATTTCTCAAAGGATGGTTCCAAATTTCTTGTTGGTTCAGATCCAATGTTCGTTGGTGAACGTGCAAGATGTGCAAGTTGTTTGGTGGTCAAAAACATTTATTTTTGGTGTCAACACTTCCAAGACCATGCAAAAAGGGGAGGCGTACTTATCCGAGTTGGTATATGAGTAGGTTAACTGGGACCCTACGGATTGTGGATGATTATGGATGAGTGTGGATGATTATGCATATTATATATATATATAGTTATAATTAATTAATTATATATATATATGTAAATATTCACTAGATTGGGGTTATCAAAGACTACAACATGTTACAACAGTCATAAACCCTTCCCATGTTGCAGCAGGACCTGAAACCGGACAACGTGCTCTATGCGACCAAGGTGTCCGGGGAAGATGTTGGGAGTCACCCGCGAAAGAATGGATGAACGATCCGCGGAAAAGATGGGAAATTTAACAGCAAAATATAGCAAGATTTGAATTATAAATGGGATAAAGATGGTTGTAACACAGAACTTTAGGAGAGATGAAGCTGTTTGTGAAAAAATGGAATGGCGACATCCATGTAATTTGAAATATGTTGGCGAAAAAAAATGCAGGGTCTCTTCAAGCACAGCTAATTAGTGTATTATACTTTATACTGTTGCCTCGAGCTGCAACCCTATGCATCCCCTCCCCTGACTCGATGGTGAAGTTAGGTATCATGGTTGCAATCCTGGTGAATCACTAAGAATTGAGCAGCAGAGCCGATCCAAAAAACCGGCTTGGTGTCATCAATCCATGCATCAATCCATAGGATACTCCCCGTAGGCCATGTTCATTTCATGGGAAATTCATCGAACCGGTGCTGTTCCGGCATTTTCCAGTGAGCCAGTGCTGTTTCCAGCACCGGCAGGCACCAGATAGTTCTGTGAAAGCCGTGCCCCAAGGGGAGGATCAGAAATTCAGCGAGGACAGCTTTGCACTTAAAGCATCTTAAAGCAATACCTCCAAAATGCATGATTTCATGATACTTTCATGGTGTTGCTTTGTCTTTGGAGTGATTTTTGCACCATAGATTACATCGTCGACAAAAATAGTACTGACTTGTAGCCAGTCCAAAGGTGATAAACTTTTCTGCCAAAACACTGATGAGGTCATCGACTTTGGACTTGCTGACTTTCTCCAACGCTACCTGGATGATTTGTTTCGCCTTGGACACTTTCTGTTTGATGAATTCCTTGTATTTCCTCGTCATTACAATGTTATGGTCCTTCTTTCATGTTTACATTTCTTCAAGTTTCACAGTTTCACCCTGTTGGTGAAAACTGAAAACTTCTTCAACTCATGTTCAAGTTATTTTCCCAATTGTTCATCGTTTTGCCATGGTTTTTTCCTCATTTCTTGGTGGGGTAAATCCACCGGCTCAATGGGCTGCCAAGGTTTGCGCCATGCGGCTGGTGGAAAGCCCATGGAACGCGATGCTCAGCTGTTATGATTATGATATTAGTTGGTGCATATACCTATATTTATTTATGGAGAGATAGATTATGTATTAATATGTATTAGACTATTCATATCATCCAAAATATGTTTGTCAAACTCTATATGATTCTGATTATACTATATTATATTATGTTATATTATATTATATTATATTATATTTTGATATATTTTGATATATTTTAATATGTAATATTTAATATACATGAATATATCCATATGTATGTATTTATATGTATATCATGTAATATTTATATATGTATGTATATTGTAGCATATATGTATATACATATGTATATATATATACACACTATACACATACATTATATTTTCAGTAATAACACTTTCGTTGTCAGCTCTGTGAGCCTGTGAGGCTGGAACCTTGGCTTTCATGGTGTGGAGTCCTAGTTGAAAGCAAAGCCCTGGAGTTTTGCTATGAAAATCACCTCTGCTAATTTGTTACATAGCTATAGTTCGATGATTTATCGCGTTTCTAAACACTGTGATTTTTCAATAGCTACACATAATTACCAGAAGGTATTGGTTTGTCCGTAAAATGGGATACAGTATGCCACCAACTTTACTATTTCAATGATGACAATAAACATAAGCCATCAATTTCGGAGGCAGACTATTTTCAAACAAACCCATACGGTTAATACATGCGTTACAAAACCAACAACGATTCATGAATGGGGGACATTTATGTGTCGGACAAGTCGGGCATCTGCTCAATATGGGGATATACCCTCTGGTAAGCTAAGATAGTTAATTATGGAAAACCATGGGTTTTCCTAGGAGATGAAAAAACATGCGGGATTTTTCTGCACCTATGTTAGTTTACTCTATGGCAGTTTACTTGACAGTAATCAATATGACTGCGACCACTGAGATCAACACATTTCATAGTGTGTGAGTGTTTGAAACATGGATAGAGAGGATGATAGTTGGGAAGTTTAAGCAACAACAGTATTTTTTGTTTTGGGATGGTATAGCCAATAATTTTACACTGCGTGTAGCATCCAAGCAGAACTCTTGCTGTACCTGGCAAGCACTTGTTGTAGAATGTAAACAGTCACTCAATCCTCAGCATTGGGCAAGCCGACGTCACCATCGCAAATGATGGGTGGGATTGGGGGGAATCATCAGAACAACGGTGAACTTATGCACTCTTTCAGATTTGAGACGTAGTGTATTTTGACTTGACGTATTTCTCCGAGATACATCCTAAATAAACAATAATAAGCACCTCTCAAAACCGAAACACAGCAACTTTACCCTCTGGTAAACTTTCACATAACTATGGAAAATCACCATTTCTCATGGCAAAATCCGCTATAAATGGCCATTTTCAATAGCAAACTGTTAACATAACCAGAGGGTATCACTTTCTGCGGGAGCTTTTCCCCCCTCGGGTCTCGGAGGGTCGCCATCCACGTCTCGCCTCGAGGCGCCCGAGATGCTGAGTTCGGGCGATGGATCCTATGGCGAGAAGGTTGGCTGCTTCGCTGCGAAGATCCCCTAAAGTGGTTTCGGATATGATATATATTTGATATATTTATATATATATATATCTATAGATATATATATATATTTATAGATATATTTATATATATACTAATATTGATCATAAAAAACTTCTTGCACCCTAAAAAAAGCCTTATATATCCTTATATCATATATATCATGGGTCATTAAATGTCCCCATTGAACATCACCCAACCATTAGGTATATGGTCTATAATGGCTACTATAATGGGACAGTTACCAACCCCTGTATATTATACATTTATAAGATTTAAATGATGATCCTCCAAGGACTGTCGCTCCGATGACAGGTGGATGTGTGGGCCATTGGCTGCATCCTTTTTCTGCTCGTCACAGGCGAGACACCGGGAATCATCCGAAAATTTGGCACTTTTAAGCAGGTGAGTGAAATATTCTACTTGATCTCTATATATATATATATATATGTACTAATATATATATATATACATAGACATAATAGGTAAAGCAACTGGAGAGTTGGGTACTATAGAGATCAATCCATTGATCTAAGATGCAGATGGATTGAAACAACAAAACAGTGGGTGTTTTTTGCAGGTCAACATCCCTTTTGGCCTGGCCGTGGCACCAGTCGGAGCGCCCGTTTCAGAGTCTGTTGGGTACGTTGAAACGAAGACGTTGAGGGTATTGCACTTCATAAATGGTCGATGAATGGGATTTAACTTATGATTTAAGCATCAGACATCATGAAGAATGGGAGTTTGGATGGATTGGTTAAATGGAAAAAAACACGTAGTTCACGAGACAATTCCATTGTTTCCTGCAGATTTTACCGTAAGCCAAATTAACTGACAAAAAAACGTATACCAGTTTTCTAAAGTGCGGCTATCACCCACCGAAGATTACTACTTCGGGTGATAGTGACTTGGTTTCCATGGGAACATGGGATGATAAAGTTGCCACGCACTGGGGATTTTACTCTCATCCCATCCTTGTTTGGTTTGTTGAGATTTGCATCTTTCTTGGCTCCATTTAGTGTGTGAATTTTCCAGCCAACCACGTTTGAGGACACCGGAGGAAACGTAAGCGGTTAATGGCCAATAATATATAACCTATATAGTGAGTATAATTTGTAAGCCTCATGTACAACCCATACTACATCCTTAATCACAATTGAAATCACCATTAATTAATCATCATTAACAGCACTAAATAACATTATATAAATAACATTGAATAGTATTAAATAGCCATTAATCACTTTAAATCACAATCAATCACCATTAATAATCGAATTATACGTTAGATTATTAATGGTGATTGATTAATAATCTATTCAGATGGTGATATTAATCAATGGTTAAATCAATCACCATTAATAATCGAATTATACTATTAATCACTTTAAATCACTTTAAATATTATCCATTAATCACTTTAAATCACTTTAAATCACTGTAATAGCCAATAATCAATCACCATTAATAGCCATTAATCACTATTCACCATTGATTTTCACCATTTATTCAGATACACCCGGGGAGACCTTGTCAGAGCCCAGGTGAACAGCAGTTGATCAGCTCCATCACGCAGGGCCAGGCTGGCGATGGCTGGCGATTCCCGGAACATGATGAAAAAACACGAAATTTCATAGGGAAAATCTGGGAAAATGTGGGAAAATGATGGCAAAATGATGGAAAATTATGGAAAAATGATGGACAATGATGGGAAAATGAGAACTCCCAAAAATATAAAGGAGGAACATCGGGGAACTGGGTACCCTGATGTTGAATCCAACGACTAGATCAACATGACTCACAAGAGATTGATGTTCAAGATCCATGGAATAGAAGTCAACCAATGGTCAATGTGTTTTTTCTGTTCGTGATTTGGATACCTGGGCATACTGTATCCTATTAAATCTGTCAATATTGGTTTAAGGAAAAGCCTGCAGGAACCCCCTGAAAAAAACAGGATAAACCCAGAGTTTCAACCGTCGGAAATTTTCCCGACCAATCCATCATCGCAAAGTCCCATGAATTTTGAGGGCGGCACCCTTTTTTGGGGGAGTGGGTCTTCATTAAAAATGAAACACACTCTAAATACCGATGCTTTATGCACTTGGAGGGTCTAAAACTGTGGTAAACCCACTTTTTTCATCATGATCTTCCATGTTTGATGCTTCCATCCCATTGATCCACCATCGCTGCCAGTTGCCGCAGCACCCCAATTTCCTGGCGGCGCCCGCGGCGGCCAAAGATCTGGTGCTGCAACTCATGGTACGCCCAGATGTCAGGGTGAAATGAGCTGTCATGGGATGGTGTACATATATTCATACTACATATAATATATAATATATAATATAATGTATAATAGATACTAGATAATTATATCATATATAACATATAATATATGATTATATATGATATAATATATAATATATAATTATATAATTATATAATTATATAATTATATAATATATAATATATAATATATAATATATAATATATAATATATAATATATAATATAATATATAATATATAATATATAATATATAATATAATATATTATATAATATATAATATATAATATATAATATATAATATATAACATATAATATATAATATTATATATAACATATAATATATAATATTATATATAATATATAATAAAATATAATAAAATATAATAAAATATTGATAACACTTATAAAACACACATATATATATAATTTATGTGATTTCACCATCCCTTGAGGTGATGAAGTTAGCAAATCAGGGGGTTTTATACAAAAGAAAACTCCATGTGCTAATTTCATGTAATGAGGTTTATATAGCAAACCCTTAAAAAAACAATGCAGATTCATGTCACTGCTTTGTGGCTTGGGTGCCACCATTTTCTGCTGCAGATTTGTCATTCCTACCTACCTCTTCTAACACTTTGCTATGGTATAGATGGCCCGTGAAAGTTGAAGATTTACCTACAACGAAACATGGTGTTTTTCCATCGCAACACCTTGAAACATCTTGAAACATCATGTTTTTTCCATGGCAGCACCTATGAACAATTCTACTTTTCCACAGCAAAGTGTGACTCATTCCCAGGGTGACCGTAGGTGAAAGATCCAACACACCGGACCAGCGCGGCTGATGCCTTGCGGCATCCCTGGTGGCTTAGCAGAGTGGGTAACAACTATGAAATAAACCATGCAACCAGTTGCATCTATGTGGGATATGGATATACCCCCAGCATCCACCAGCAATACATGGCTTGTGTTCACCACTTACACTGGTTGGAATGCACCCCCAGGATCCCCCAAGTACACTCGGGTCAGTGAGAAAACTGCGAGAATAGTTCGCCGATGCTTCTCTCCCCATTTTTTGATGCTCAGCTCAGCTCAATATCTTTGGAATGTCGTTGTTCTTCGTTTCCAATGGTTTGAGCATGTTTGAGCCACAACAGCACTTAAGAGAACATGTCAAGATGTCAAGGGTTCACGCCTGCATTTGGATATATTTGGATGGTAAAAACATGTGTTCAAATATCAATATATATATATAATATATATATATATACGGTACATGTTTATAACTGTTTTTATTTGTACATGTCCCCTTCTGAACCCGGTCACTTTGGGACTCCCAGCTGCCAGTTGTAGTTTTTAGCCATTTATTACAATTACTGTGAGTGGATTAGAGAATCAAAGGGGCTCTCCTGTTCCATCCAGATCATCCGATCTGGTTGGTTGGTTCATGGTTTGTCAACCATACTTGGGATGGTTGAAGTGACCTTTGGGTGAGCCCAATGCCATTGGCATCAAACCATCCCCGAACGGGCGGATTTTCCCCAGTGGATCCTGATGAAAGACACCCAGGTTGAAAGGCTTGGACCAGTCCTCGCAAAAGTCCCAGGCAGGGCGATGATTTCAAGTTGGGATTCACAACAGAAGAGAAGTTGCAACTTGTTCATGTCTTTTTGGGTGAATTGCAGAAACCCTCAAAAAGGCTTTGGCGCAGGCGAATCATACCGTTTCGTATCATTTCGTATTTCGCCCTGGCAAAAACAGCAGCATCTGCAATAGGACGATGACCCACAAGATGAAGACGGGGAACATCGAGTGAATTCCCGTGTCAGGATCAAGTACTGTCAAGGTAAAGCCATAACTGCCAGTACCAGGGCGCCGCTGTCGATGTTCCAATCAGGTCTTGGACAAATCCGTCTTCGATGGCCTCTGCAAGTATCAGGTCGCAACCCCAGAGAGTCTGCAGGGAGGCCTCTCCAGTTTGGAGTCAAGCTGGAATCCAGTAACTGATCCAGGTTTTACCTGATGTTTCCTGTCATTTGGTAAAATTATGTAAAATTCATATCCTGATTTCGTTACTTTCGTTTGATTTATTATCAATTATCATATATAAATCGATTTGCCACCTCTTTCCATCCAAGCCCAGCCCGCTTAATTGATTTTCACCAACGAGGCATCGAGCAAGTTGAAACGCGCCGTGTTGAAACTTCTGGCCACTGGGACAGGTCGCGGCGCTCCTTTTCAGCTTGATCGTTCGGGTGGAGGAATAATTGGGTTATTGGGTTATCAGAATCCCCAATGAATTAATTAACCAATCAATCATAAATTATCATATCTTAATAGTATAAGTCCCTATACTAACCAATCAACAGGTGTTTAAGTCTAAGTTATCACCATCCCCAATAGGTAGTAAATAGTATATGAACCAATCAGAACCAATCAACCAGGCTATTTTTCATGACTCAATTGCAGGAACCGCGGGAACTTTTATGTTTACCTCGGATTTTTGTCAACGCCTATGGTGCCAAGGGGCCAAGTTTCATGTGTGGTTTTTCCCTGGACCTTCATCTTAAAACAATATGAATATGATGTTAAGCACTTGCCTAAGGCCAATTCTGGGATTGGCACCCAATATTCATTGGAATGCTAGTGGAAGTTCATCAAGTGGTGGGTTTAGGGTGTTACTTTTCGGATCCCCCTAGGTGCCCTATGTGATTTGGTGATCCGCGACTCCTCCGAATCCTCTACAAAGTTTCTGACAAACGACGCACACGTGACCGTTGTTTAAGTTTTTTTTTGTCGAAATCCATGGGATCCGGCTTGGTACTGTATCATCCCTATTCCAGCAGCAACAACCATTTTCTTTGGTCATCACTACTTGTGGAGATTGGATGTAACTATATAAGATTAATATAGATTAATGATGTAATCTGCGTGCTTTTAATGTTACAGTGTATTTTGGCTGATTCATACCACACTCTGAGTGGTTAAACAATGTCGAAACCGCATCAAAGATCCTGAGGCAAAGGAGGCAGACGAGGAGCGAGTGACTTGGCACCTAAGAGAGTATATGGAGGTTTCGCAAAATGGGGTTACCCCAAGACCATGGTTGTTTCAATGCCAAAATCATACTAATTTGGAATGATTTGGGTTACCACTACTTTAGGAAACGCACATATTTGAACTGTTTTAGCTAGTACAAATTGTTGATAGTTGATGCACCTGGTTCAAGTGACTAAGTGGATGTTCATCCCGCCACTATGATAAAGGTATAGAGGTGGTATGCATCCAATGCCATAAACCAACCATGACTGGGGATCCCATAAAAATGGTGATGACTTGGGGGATGGTGCAACTGGCATCATGGCCTTGGGTGCACACCACAGTGCTGTTCTATTCCATGAATCTCCTATGGAAAATGAACATGACCCAAGTGTAGATGATTTACCCATCGCAATTGGATATCTATGGATATCCATAGACCGTTCATAATTAATTGATGATAATGATAATCATAAATTATAGATATCCATAGATGGGTCACAATCAAATTAATCAACCGTTCATAAATCATCTATGGATATCTATGGTTCAATGACCATGGGATCCCATTCCATGGCCCACGGCCGCCAGGTCAAGAAGTTGCGGGAGCAGTTCCGTTTCTTGGACGCGCAGCAGGTGGGAAATATAGCCTGGAAGAATCCGGAATAGGGATAGTTTCGTCTTAGTATCTTAGTCTTCTATAAGTTTTCCACAGTCTTCTCTCTAGATTTTCGAACTGTAGAATTGTGTAACTCTAGATTTTACAATGTCTATATCTATTAAAGTGGGTAAAACAATGCCAGTTGCACCATCCCCCAGTCATCACCATAGGTATATAGGTGGTATGTAAAAACCATTCCCAGTCATACAAGGTGGTGCCCCATAGTTAGCTAAGTTGGCTTATAACTCCCATAACTATGGTTTATGGTAGATATAACTATAGTTAATGGGGTTTATAAACCAACTTATAACTGGGGGGCACCATCCTGTAGGTGGTTTATGATATAGTTTTACCCACATTTCTGGCAGGACGGCTTCATCAGCCGTGAGGAGCTTCTGTTGGGGAGCTCAAGCTGGGACATCGCCAGAAAATTGGGTGATGAAATATAGTAAAAGATGGAGACTTATGTTTTTTTTTGACTATCCAAAGATAGGACATTATATAACTGATAAAATTGATTAGCCATGAAGTATAGTGGATTGATGTGCCCTTTTTCCTGTATTTTTGGAGGAACCTCAACGGATTCTTCACCTGACATTATGTAGATATTTTTCTTTAGCTATTCAAAGATAGGACATACTATAACTTATATATGATGGTTGATTCGTTATGAAATGCAGAGTCATACTACCTGGGTGTTCTAGGGATTATAGCTTTGCTTATTGGCCCATCGTTGAGAAAGGTATCAACCAACTAGTTCAAGTCGAGAAGTGATAGAAAAGTTGTAAAGCGATATATGTAATACGTATAACTACACGTATATAACTATATATATAAAGAGAGGGAGTTATATATGCATCATCACAGTCTGTTTTTATTGATGGCGATTTGCTTTTCTATAGTGTTGAGAACCCCTACACTCTACACCAACCTGAAAACCAACATGGCCCCCAAAAATGACGGCTTCCAAATCCAGAACTTTATTTTCAAAACCCATATGTTTTTTGGGGTTCAAATCCACTGACTAAGAAGCATTGGGCGCCGCATTCTAGGCGTGGGATGCGGCAATGCCCAGAGCTGCTTGACCCGATTGCGGTGCTGGTTTTGTTGGGTATAAAACTTGAGGCCTGAAAGGTCCACAAAGATCTATCACGTGTACTCAGCCAAGATGTGTGCAGTCACCGTATGCAGTTCTGTGTTGAAATCAGTGAAGTGTTGTCTCTTTTTCTAGGTTTTCTTTAATGAGCAATACTAATTGAAGTTCATGGTTTATCCAAATTAATATTATATTAATACTTCAGGCACCGTCAATGTATATGATTGATTCGCCTCCTGAATACATAAATGGATCTATGGGATATTTGGAGGATGGGATAGAACCACGAACCAGGCTGATGATTTGCAGTGTTTGGGAATCCTTTTTCTGTCAGGTACAGCACGGAAATGGAGTTGTGTGTGTCATATGTGCTGGGGAAGAATGAACAGCCAATTAATTCATGACATAAGTATAGTATATGAGCATCAATTTGTGATAATTTGTGTGTCAATAAGGTAGAAAGGGACACCCGGAAGAATTCACCCGAATCAGCAGCCCCTCTTTTTTTCGAAGTGCCGCACTGTTGCAGGGTGCAACAGTTTCCACTGGTTGACCAAAGTCGTGGTAGCTGGAAAGACCTTGACCAAATCCGCACTTGCTATTTGAGATTTGCCATGAATGGCGGTAGGGTCTTGTATATTAGGGGGATTTTATGAACATGGACTGCCTTATCGGCTTTATGATTTTTGAGTAGTTGAACATAGTTAAAATAGTAGTTAGGAACAATGGAATGGCTCCCAACTAGAAAAACGAGGTCCACTGTTGTCAGTGATTGAATGCTCAAGATGGCCAAGATTTGTCGTTCCTTTGGGCTTTTAATTTGACGCAGACCGAATATTTGATGGTGAGATATAACCATTTCTTTTGGTCATCAAAGCCCCATTTTGGATCCGAAAATCATCGATCTTCCCCAGTTTTGAGATGGTAACATCCCAAACTTTTTACGGTCACATCCCAATGTTGAACGATTACAATGGAGCTCTTCTAATATATGTATATATATATAATCCTGAAACAGATCGAATATTAGGGATTTTCATGGATTTTCAATCATATTCTCCTGTTATTTAAGCTTGCTTGAAATTGCCATTCTCAATTTGAGTAAAGATTATTTGAGATTTCCATTCTCATTTTGGTTAAGACCTGACATGTTCATATTCTGTCTAGTTAATGTATAATTATATCATCCAAAATACCGGTAATCAAAGATGTCAAAGGAAAATCCTCGAACTATTTTTGTAAAAATGGAGGTTTCTAGCTGGATAAATAATCAAACTTTAAATGGCTATTTCCCAGCTATGTTTGAACACCCACCAGGTTCAGCAACGTGACGGCCGCGGACTTGGCGCGAATTCTGCCTCCGGAACTGTTTACGGATGCTTTGTCGGCAGGGCCGCAAGAAATGCCACGAGAAAAATGGGTGATTTTCTGCAAGAAATTGTGGTGAAATGGTGGTTTAATGGGTTTTAACCAAGCAAAAATGGGATCTAACACTAGTCCATTGGTGATATTACCGTAATGGGATACAATGGGGATACAAAGGCGATGATTTTATTATATGTTATGAGATCTTATCTTAGAATATCTATATTGTAATATACACTATATAATCTAATTTTCCGTTTTTTGTTGGGGGATATCTATATCTGAACGTATATTAAAGTATTGTATATCGCTGTGCGTGTGCGTGTGTGTGTGTGTGTGGCTGAGCATGAGGGGTTTACTCCGACACGCTGGCAGGCCGGCGGATTCAAACACACCCATATATATATATATATACTTAGTTGCTCGGGCACTCGCGTTGCGAGCACTCGGCACTCACGTGCTGCAACTTACGTGCTGCAACTTCTGCCAATGCATTTTTCATGGACAGAAGTACGTCATTGGGTTTTTTTGAGTGAGAGGCATGTCGATGCTTTTTTTGGTGAATCAAAAATGCATTGGCATATTAGCTAAGATCAAGTAAGCCCTTTAAGGACTTTGGATAAAGTAAAAACCCTAGATATGTGGAGGAGTGAAAAAGGCCTTGTCTCTTGCACAGGCCCCCAGAGAAATGCATTTACTTGAGTGTGAAAAAAGCATCCGGCAACATGTATACTTTTGGGCTCCCCCAAAGCTTAGAACCTCAGCTGATGCTTTTTTAATCTTCAAGTAAATGCATCCATATGTGTCGACCATACCAAAATCCCTTGTGTTGCAACAAATGCATTTACTTGACAGTGAAAAAAGCATCCGGCAACATATATATTTTTGGGCTCCCCCAAAGCCTGGAACCTTAGCGGATGCTTTTTTAATCTTCAAGTAAATGCATCCATATGTGTTGATCATACCAAAAGCCCTTGCGTTGCGAAACAGCGTGTTGCAACGGTACGTTGCGCGTGCTGCGTGCTGGAGCTACTAAGTATATATATATATGCAACTAAAAAACGGACGTGTTTAAAGTTTTCACCTAGGAAAAAATGTTGTTGTTTAAACAATGAAAAAAAGGGGGTGACAACGCTTTACCCGCCAAAACTTTGCAAAAGTCGGATTTCACCATATTCTACACATTTCACCACCATATTTCAGGTTTGTTTTGGTGCCTTGGGGATGAGGACGATGAAAAACAGGATCTTACCAGCAAAATTTGTATGTCACCACCATTTTCAATTTGTTTTCAGAACCAAGAACGGTTGGTGACGTATGGGTTCAGCAATAAAAAGCGGAAAAATCATCGACCCGATGCGGGTTTGCAGTGGTGGCGGGATCAACAAGCAGTATACGGATGAATATACGGTATACCGTCTTGAAAACTCATGAAGCGTTGGAGCGCTGGAAACTATTTATGGAAACATGTCTTTGTCGAAGGTTCCCACACCCCCAAAAAAACGTATGGGTACAAACACATATAAAAACATGATTGTAGGGTTTCCAAGCAGGTAAAAGAATCACCAAGGACGTTCGCCGTATTTGGGAGCACCCAAATTCCAAGTTGAGACGGCCGCTCAACCTCCATACCGGGCCGCTGGATCTGAGGAGAAAATTTCCTGTACGGATTTCACAGCGGTGCCGTGAGCGGTGATTGGTGCTGGGAAACCCAAGCATTTTTCGTATCTTAGGTTCATATCTCTGTGTTGCACTTTCCTAAAATGAACTAAACAATTCACGATTCTAAATGAAACCATCCTCTCAACTATAGCAGTTCGACCTCGAGAAACATTATTTTTTAAAGAAATTGATTCCGAAATAATCTGAATGCAGTCTTACATCCCTCAACCTCATGGTAGGATTGATTTGCTAACTTTCCATCCTATTCAGGATGATAATCTCTATTTGACTAATCGTGGTTAGTGAAATATTATATATTCTGGCCATTTTCTGGAATACATTCATGGATAAATTGAACCTTGTGTATCTTTTTGGGGGTTACTAATACTAATTTCCTGGCACCCTTGACTTGTAGCGCCAGGCGCTGCTATCCCTCCAGGGTTTCCGCAAAGCCGAGCTTCTTGCGGCCTTCCATCGCTTCGACGTGCGCCGAGAAGGCTCCAACATCTTGGATTTTCATGTTCTTTTCATTAGCCCAACTGGATCTAGCTAGGATTTGTTGGGGGCATCTATCCGATACTTATATATATATATAATCATATTATACATATATATACATATATAATCATATAAACATGTATACATATAATCATACAAATATATATATATATATATATTATACATATATTTATATACATATTGTTACATTGATGATCATTGCTGGATCATATGATCATATTCATATCGATAGTTAACATTAGTTATATAACTGGGTTTAGAACCAACTTCTAGCTGGGGAGCACCACATTGCGAGGATTCGGAAATCTGGCTTTGTCTGAAGATAGGATCATGCTAGAATCCACTGGCACAAAGGGCGTGCCTTCTTCTTGAAAATGCTGGTTGGGCTCCCAAGGGATAAATGCTGAATAAAGATGACTTCAACTGGGATGCTTGTTTGCAATTTGTAGATGTTTTGCAATCAATGGACAATTCTCAATTTAATGGTCAATCAGCTGGAAATAACTGACATTTTATGTTATATATATGTTCATTTGCCACAGGTCCCTACAGTTCGAATGCTGCTAGTAGATCTAGCTGCAGGATGGTGGATGGTCAAGAGCATGTACTTGGAGCATTCATGGAGCATTCGGGGAAAACACCTGAGCAACGGATTGAAAGGCCACTGGTTGTTCCAGTACTGCCCAAAACTTGAGGTCACAAAATGCCCATTTTGTGTTCGCCAAATCCCAGTTGTCGTTGTGACAAATATCCCATTGTTGGTGGTCATTTCTTTCCTTGACTTGAAGACTTGTCAGTTTTGTCATCCATGTCCATGATTCATTCATCATTTTCTTGCTGAAATCTATTTTTCACAATCCACCCATGTTTCCATTACAACCCTGATCTGTCTATAATTTTTTTGGCTCCAAAAAATCTCAGATGACTATAATATTGGAGGTATAATATCATGGTACATGATATTGGATCCACCAATTTGTTGTTTTTTAAGTCACATCACATCTGATTTGAGACCCCTACCGGTCCAGGCAAAATCTCCTTGGGTGCCCTCTCCGAAGTCCTGAAGAATGCAGGGTCCGCGGATGCGTCCGGCGGAATTCATGCTGCTGTTGATATGTCGGGCGTTTCAGAAGGGGCTTTATAGTGAAAATGCTTCAACATGACTGTTTTTCATATGGGTTTGAGAGTGGAAATGACTGTTTCATATGGGTTAACCATGTTTTTTCTTCACATGGGTTTTATAGTGGAAATGGCGGTTTATGGTTCTTTTTGATATGCTCTTTGACGTTTTGATATTATCATACATATATTCTGTATAGTATTAATACATTCCAATTTATGTCAATTTTCTTGGTGGAAAATGAATTAGCATGATTTAGCATGCTGATACAGGCAATTGGATTCAAGGATACTCAATTTCTGGACCCACCTAACCCTCCGGTGTCATCAAGCACGGCTGGAAAAACGTTGCTGGAAAATCTTCCCCAATTACTTCGATGATCGTCCCTCTTTAATGATGTTCAATGATTGAGAGATTTCATGTGATTTCCCCATTGTGAGCCATGTTTGATTCCCGGAGAGCATGTGTTTTGATCGTGGGAATGAATGCGTGGCAGGCCAGGCTGCAACTGGGAGCATTCTACATAGAGATTGAAGAGTTACATCATCAAATCCTCAAAGAAAGTGACACATGGGGGTTTCCATAAATGGGGAATCCCCAATAGCTGGATGGTTTATTTCATGGAACATCCTATTTTTTAATGGATGATTCATGGGTACCGGGTAGCCCCATTTCTAGGAAACCTCCAAATGGGTGTGTCTGAAAATAGGGTATATTCCCAATTATAGCCATTTAATAGGGATAATGATCATTAACCATTGGGTAAATGGGGTACACTATTTTCAGACACACCCAAATGACTAAACTGGATCTTTGATGTGGGTTGCTAGTCCCACTTCCAGATCTTCCAGGCCGACGTCCAAGCTCGAAGCCTTTCGAGAAGCGGATGTGGGTCAGGCTCTATCCATGGGATGGATCATTTTACCCGGCCTGGTAAACGGGCTAACATAACGAACTGGAAAGATCCACCGTGCTATAAATGGGTAAATCAACTATTTCGACTGGGCCATTTTCAATAGCTATGCTTTTTTACAAGAGGGTACCTCTTTAACATTATTTAACTAGCCATTTAACCCTGACCATTTGGGGTTCAGAGATGTTTTTTTTTGCTGACCACAATATATACGAAAATTTATCATGATCTATCAAAACTTGATGATAAATGGGATGTAATATGATATAACTACGGATCTAGCCAAGAACACCGGGATGTTCACGAACCATAGTGGGCCGCGGGATATTATGGGACATGATGGGATATGGTGGGATAGGAAATACCAATGATACTGCGTAGGTAGATGGGTTGTTCGAAAACGAGGAATTCATTATATATAGCCATTTGATATGGGATGTTGGGGATCCTGTTTTCAGACAAGACCCAATAATAGGAATCGGGGTGTGCGTCTCATAGACGAGGACAAGAGTTCTTAACCAGTTGCTACGGGGTTCTGATGCCACGTGCAACTGGAAACGTGCAACCTGATTTCCTACCACATCCCACAGCTATTTCAAGCTGGCAATGACAAACCACGGGAAATGTTCGTTTGCCCTTGTATGCACTTTTTGTTCATTAAATGTGCGGAATTCGAAAAGGAAGGCAACGTGGACTTCTGATTCCAATGGGGGAAGGTTCAGGAATCAGGGCAACAGATGGAGTTAGCGACATAAACACTCATAAAACTGGGCATCCATTACCTATAGGACGGGTCATTGACTTACCCTCCAGTAGAAAACCTGGCAATGGCAAATCATGGCAAATCACCAATTTATTCCAGTATTTATATGTATATATATATACATGGATAGTTTGGTCCATCCAAGAATTACAAAAGCAGGTGATATACATGGATATACTATATGGGTTTGTCTGAAAATAAAGTACGAAACCCAATGGATGACAATCATTTTCCCTACTCAAGTGGCCCCCGAAGTGGGTTTTCCATGGTATTCCCCATTTTCAGACACATCCATATGCTAGGCAGTCAGTTTTGGAGGCAACACCTCGGCAGGATGGTGCCATCGATTTCGAAGAGTTCTGTGCTCTGATCAACGCTTAGACTTCGCCCCGCAACCCCCAAAGCACTTGGCGAAGGGGGCTGGAAGAAAACGGACTTGGCGCGGGACCTGTTTTCAGTGAATGTTCGAGCTAGGGTGCAGGATTGTGGAGTAGGGTATGGTGAAATTTCTGTCGGAGGTTGAAGGAATATTGTTTCTCTGATTTTCTTGGTCCTCCCCATTTGTTTCTCCGGAGTTATGATTCTGAAAGCGTTTTTTTTAACTGGATGATTCAGGTAGCTTCGGATCCAGGTCATGCAGTGGTCAGGGAGTTGAAAGCTATGGAACAATAGCCTCAATTCATCTCAGTTCTATATATTTCTCTATCCATCCCGATTTGAATATGCGTTTCATATTTTCCTTTAATGAATTCATGTTATATACATACCTCGGGTCAAGTAGAATCGAGCACAGCCTGTCCCCCACGCAGGAAATGAGCACCACAATGGCCTTCGCGGCCCTGTTGCGACGGCTGATGAAGGCCCTGGTTGGAAGACTCGTACCTGGGAAGGAGTCAAAGTTGCTATAATGTGCTTAAAACAATGCCATAAACCACCCCATGTTTGATGGTTGAAATACCACCCATTTATATCATTTGTGGTGAATTTGGGAATGGTTTATTATTGTTTTAACCACATTACTGCCAATTTTCCGGGTAAGTTATAACCTCATTGGCACCTCACTGGAATGATGGGAATTGTAGGGGCAACTATCCCAAAATAGCGTTATTTCCGGCCAGAGAATTATTAGAGGTTAATCAGATTTGTGGCAATGTTTATCGGGGAAATTGAATCAACATGATGCTACATCAGTGGATTTATGATGGGTATCCAAAGTTTGGACGAACCTTTACCCTCCTGTAATCAAATATGGCTGGGTGGACAATCCACCATTTATAGATGCTTCTCCATTAAACCTTGAGACTTGATCTATAGGGGAATCCCAGCTAGCCAAGTTTGATTACTGGTATCCCCCATGAAACTGATTTGGAGGATACTTCGTTACCCAAGCCCCATTTTTCGGTTTCTGAAAATGGTGGCTGCCAGAATCATCCTTAATTTATTGGGAGTTTCCCCGGGAAGCTGATGGTTTTGGGTCCTTTGGGTCCTAGGTACCGCGCCATTTTCAGATCCGCCCAGATGAAGTCTTTCCCAAAAACTGACTGTTGCTTAGGAGGGAATGGAGAAATGACCCATTATAACTATGAACAATCATCCCATTCCCCCATTCCCTGCTAAGCACCAGTAAGAAAGAAAATCTGGGGTGTAGTACTCCCATTCAACAGTCAGGCGGGAGAGTTTGGCCGACGATGCGTACCCATGGTCACGGACGAGGCACGGAGAAGGGGTGAGGTGCCAGCCACCTGTGACCCTCTGGGAATCAAACATGATGTTTCCATGGAAACCTCCATGTATGGAGGATTTTCCAGCACGCCATGTTTGATTACTGGAGGGTATATGATTGATACATGTTGATATATATATATATATATCATTATATATATATATATATCATTATATATATCATTATATATATATCATTATATATATATATCATTATATATATATCATTATATATATACATCATTATATATATATATCATTATATATATATATCATTATATATATATCATTATATATATATCATTATATATATACACATACGTATATTAGTATATATATAATTATATATATATTGATATATTTGTTTGTATATATGAATGTTCATATATGTTGATACTTGGGTGTGAGTCAACATTAAAGGATGTTGGTTGATTTTTGGTATTTAGCATTTAAGTTTAGGTCTACACAATTTTGACATACAGTCTCCCTTCTCAAGATTTGCACCAAGACAAGAGTCTTCGAATGGGGCTGTTTTGGAATCCTCAACATGCAACCTTCCTCCGTACCATTTGGCTTGGTTGATGTGACCATGATGTGAAAGGGTTGCTTCGACTGTGGCCCAAGTTAAAGGCCTCCGCTGTACCCTGATACCAGTGATCATCCATAGATAATTCGGAAAAAATGATGAAGCAAAAACAGCAAAATGAGGTGAAACCATGTCAACAGGAACCAAAACACACAACTTTCATGGTTCTTTATTTGGGTTCAACCTATCATTTGACTCCCCTTTCAAAGGACATCAAAGGACTTGGGTCAAGCTGATCCGTGGGACCCCAGATCGCGTATCATGACAGATTTACATTATGTATGTCGTGTGTATAGTATATATATATAATTATATATGCTAATTCCCTGGTGACCACTTCGGCATGGCATGGAAAGTCGCAGGATTTTTCGCCTGACGCCAGGTTCAAAATCGCTACGATACAACTGTAAAGCTTGGGATTTTCCATGGGGTATTCATGAGTGTTTTTTGCTGGATTAGTACAGCCATCAATGTTAATAACATATATTAAGAAATGATATATATATATATATATATGGTATATTATTACCATATTATAAAGCACATGATGGATATACAATAGGAATATTTTGTGGGATAGAATGAATATATCATAATATATCTATGATCTACTATAACACATAATAGGTTGAAATGGGATATCATTGGTATTTAACAACCTAACGCGGGGATATTATATCGGATATAATGGGATAAATATGACCGAGACATATTATCCTTGGGTGTCTGAAATGGGATATTTACTCTTACATGGCAACTTTGCGGGTGGAACATGATGTTAAACCAGTAGATGGAATGAGGTACTCTGTTTTCAGACACAACCCACATGTACTTGGCTTTCCATATCAATGAATATGCCTTCGCACATATACACATATGTAGGATTTTGCATGGATGGAGTTGTCTGAATTCATACCTCCAGATCCAATGGTTTTATCTGATTTTTTCCTTTTTGAAATTCCGTTGGGTGGTATATCCCAGTTTCAGACATATGAATCCTATAAATCCTGTGTAGAGCTCCTTATAGCATCAATGGATCCAACTCACCCAAAATCCTCCCATTTTTTCGGCCGAACACGAGAGGCCAGGACCTTTGGCATGAATTCGTTCTTCCACGAGTTCAAGATCCATGCACCTTTCGGGTCAGCCCAGTGATGTCTGCAGAGATTTTTGTACGGCCACCGAATTTTGGTTTGGGGGATCTATTTTGGTTAAAAGAACGATGTAATTTGCTTTTGCATTTGGGTTTGTCTGGAGAATTATGCTTGTCCCATTCAAAACGGCTAAATTGGGGTATAAACCCCCTATTTTCAGACACAACCACATGTCATTTTGTTGGTTATACAGTATATCCTATTAGATCCCACAAGACATCCCCATATATTTGGCGGTTAAATATGGCTTAAGCTTTGTTAAACACCCCATTCAATATTAGCAACGTCAATCTTTCTGCTGGCAATTTCGAAGAATTCATGAGATCTATCCTGTCACTGGATCTCTTTGCTCAGACAATCCTGGAAGTTACACATGGATCAATTACCATTCCCCCAACTAACATAGACCCTGAGAATCACTGTTGTTTAGGGGAATGTGGTCTTTCAACCTCCTATTCGGGAGGGTCTACAGTAGTTAGGAGGAGGGTAAACTACTCATATAATATTTATATATAATTTATTTACGTATAATATAATACAAATATAATAATATATACATATATACTATGAGGGGACATGGCGCAGAAGCTGTTTTGAATCAGTGAAAAAGGTCCACTTTCCAGGGCCGCAAGAAGCCATGCTAACCTCTTGCGCTTTGGCAGCGTGCCGCCTTTACAACGCTTATGTCAGGAAGCTGTTTTGCGTGCATCTTGGGTGTGTGGCGTGCACTTGTTGCCGTGCATCCCGTCCGCGCGCTTTGGAATATACTATTATAGTATACGGTCAAAGCGCTAAACGGGACGTAATCCCCTATTTACATGCGGGTTTGAGGGGCGTAATCGGGACGTACGAGGGGCGTAACCACAGATGGGAGGGACGTAATCCCTTATTTACATGCGGGTTGGAGGGGCGTAATCGGGACGTACGAGGGGCGTAACCACAGATAGGAGGGACGTAATCCCTTATTTACATGCGGGTTGGAGGGGCGTAATCAGGACGTACGAGGGGCGTAACCACAGATGGGGGGGACGCAATCCCTTATGTACATGCGTGTTTGAGGGGCGTAATCGGGACGTACGAGGGGCGTAAGCACAGATGGGAGGGGCATGATCCTTTATTTACATACGCGTTTGAGGAGCAATAGTTTCGGGTAGCGTGGTCTCCTTGGAGTTTGTCCACACCTGTTTTCGAGCCACATGCCTTCCCAAACATAATCCATTGCAATTGGTTTCCTCACAGTTCGGTAGTGGAGAATGGGTTTGGCTGTCAGTCGGCTTGTGCTCAAACGGCGCTGCTACCAGGGCCCGCTTTTGGGGCCGCATCCGCATATGAAAAATGCCTTCTTGATGGTGGACCGTCATATATATTGTATATTATTTATTATATATATATATATAAATATATATATTATATATTACATAAATCATATATATATATATACATACATACACATGTATACATGACACTAATTTCCAGGATCCGATCGGATCCAAGTATACAATTTTCAGTCGCCAGGCATTGATTTAAAGATTTAGCCCACCCCTATGTCAATCTTATATGGATACTTTAATCCTTTAGTCTTTTGGTTTTAATGGGAAAGCCACACGGCCCAAGCCTTCACGCGGCGTGGCCGTTATGGGGTTGGCACACCCCAACCAGTTGGGCCAAGGGTTTTAGCGCAAAGGATGAAGCAGTTAAGCTGATGCCTTTCGCTGCTGAACTGTGCTTGAAGTCCTTTGTGTGTTTGTGCCAGTTATGGGGTGACTACAGTTTCCGTATGTCCAATGTTGTATCTATGAATCAAGCCGGAGTTTCGGTTGAAGGCGATGTCACGGATAACTCTGGATACTACTTGAGGCAGACTTTTCTGGATATGAATTTGGGTGAATGCAGGCGTGCCCCTGAAGCTAGATGCACGG